TTCTTTTTATATTTTTAAATAAAAAGCTTTATAAATAAGAATTTAAATTAAAACTATATATATTAAATTTATTATTATTTTAATTTATAATTAATTTAGATTTTTAAATTAATTAAAGAAATAATTAATAAGAAAATAAAATCTTTATTAAAATTTAAATTCTAGTCTATTTCTATAAATACTTTAATAATATAATAAAATTATCTTTTATAGTATATTATTAAAAAAGTAATTAACTATTTATTATAAGCTTTTTTAGGTTTATTATTAAACCTTTATAGTTATAGATTTATATTATTAAGTCTTTTAAGCCTTTAAGAAGTTATAAATTATTTATTAATAATATTAAGTTTTATTTTATTATTTAAATAGGTATTTATTTAATAATTTACTTAATTATAAAGTATAATAAAGGTAATTAAATAATTTACTATTTTAATTTAAAAATAATCTAATTAGGCTTTAATTAAGATTTAAATCTATTTTTTAACTAAACCTAGTTTTTAATATATTATTTATTTAAGCTTTATCTTTAAAGTAATAATATTTAATAATATATTCTTTTTTTTAATATTTATAATAAGTAATTTTATTAAAGTAATCTTTATAGTCCTTAATAAGGTTATAATTTAGGTTTAAATTATATTAATCTTTAAAGTAATTTAAATAAAAGAATTAATAACCTAACCTCTTTTAAGAATATACTTTTTTTTAAAATAGGTATTTAATTAAGGCTATTAAATATTTCTTATTATATTTTTAATTATTTTAAATATAAATTATTTAGGTAATTATCCTTTCTTAGGTTTTTAATAAAATAGTTTTATTAAAGGTAATAATAAACTTAATATTAAAAAATAGTTTAATATAATAATAATATATCTAAGTCTTAAGGTTTTCTTTTAAAATATACTTTTTAATTAAGGTAAGGTAATTATAAAAGTCTTAAAGGGATTAATTAGTTTATTATTAAGCCTTTTTAAATTATTTTATAATTTAGATTTTTTTATTTTTAAAGTCTTTAATAAAAATAAAAATAAAACTTTTTAAAGCTTTTTAATTATTCTTTATCTTTATATTATATAATATAGACCTAAAAGGCTATATAGATTAAAAATAATATTTTAATAAATAGTTTTTAATTTATAAAAAAGAATTAATCTATTTATAGTCTTTTTAGAATTTTATTTATATACCTTAAAAAATATATTTAAGATTATAATATTATTTATTATATTTATATATATTTATTAATAAAGATAGTTTAATAATATTAATAATCTTTATATCTTTTTTATTATTTAAAATAGATTTATAAAATTATTAATATAGTCTATCTTATTATTATAGATATTAAGTTATTAAGATATTATATAGTTTAACCTTAAGTTTAACACTTTTCTATTAAATTAAATTTCTTTTTATTTTTTATTTTAACCTTTAATTTTATTAAGCCTAGGCTTTTTAAATCTTTTAATAATATTAATAATAAAATAACCTTTTCTAAGGTTAAGAACTTAATATAACTAGTATAATAAAAGTTATATATAGTAACTAAACTTTAATTAAATAAATATATATATAACTTATATAGCTATATATATAAAAGCTAGCTTTCCTTATATCCTTAACTTAATCTATATTATAAATATACTAATTAATTAACCCTTATAGCTACCTAATAGAAATTAAAATTAAAAAGTAAAGCTTAAGCTAAGTTATATATAGTTAGTTAATTAACCCTTAATTCCTTACCCTTTAGTCTATATTACTAACCTCTTTTATAGTTATTATTATAATAAGTATTACTATTTAAGTAATAAATATTTACTATAATATAAACCTTACTTTAATTTATAAGATTATTTAAAAAGCTATTAATAATTATTATAATAGGTAGGAATTTAACCGTTTTAAAGATAAGGCTAGAGATCTTTAATTAAATTTAAAATAAGATTTTAATAATTACTTTATATTACCTCTTTATAATAAGTAAAATAATTATAACTTAATTAAATTAATTACCTTTAATTATAAACTTTTAATATTTTATAGTTTAAGGCTTAATAAAAGAAATTATATTTAAAAATATATATTAAATTAAATATAAAAAGTAAAGAAATAACTTAAGTCTTTAAAAAGCCTAAAAAATAGGCTTATAAAAAGGCTAATCTTTAAGATTAATAGCTTTTTTATTAAGGTATTTAAATTAAAGTATATAACTTAATATAATAACTTAAAGAAATAGGTTATAAAGATAATTAAGGTCTTTTAAAAATAATCTATAAAGAGAAGTTATATATAAGGTATTAAAGGGCTAAGGTAGAAAAATAAAGGTTAAAATATATTAAAAGAATATATATTTAAAGTTAAAGTTAAAGTTAAGGTAACCTAAAGTTAAAAATAGCTTTAGGCTAATGAATTAAATTAGATTATATAGCCCTTATTAAAATCTTACTATACTTATATAATATAATATATTTCTTTCTTTTTTACTTTAACCTTTAACTTTATTAAGCCTAGGCTTTTTAAATCTCTTAATAATATTAATAATAAAAATAACCTCTTCTAAGGTTAAAAACTTAATATAATTAGTATAATAAAAGTTATATATAATAACTAAACTCTAATTAAATAAATATATATATTATATAGCTATATATATAAAAGCTAGCTTCCTTTATATCCTTAACTTAATCTATACCATAAGCTAGTTAATTAACCTTTATAGCTACCTAGTAGAGGTTAGAATTAAAAAGTAAAGCTTAAACTAAGTAATATATAATTAGTTAATTAACCCCCTTCGGTCTATATTACTAACCTCTTTTATAGTTACTATAATAAGTATTAAAATAATAAAAACCTATTATAATATAAACCTTAATTTATCATATAAGAAAATTAATAATATATTAAAAAACTATTATAATATAAAATATAAATAACTTAAATATAAAATTAAAAACCTTAAAATTAATATAAAATAGGAAATAAAAGGCTTTTTATTACCTTTTTATAATAAATAGGATAATTTTTACTTAATTATATTAATTACCTTTAGCTATAAGCTTTTAGTATTATTTTTTATATAAAGGAAAAAGCTAAATTTATAATATAGAGAAAAGTAGCTTAAAAGCCTAAAAAGCCTAGAAAATAGATTTATAAAAAGGCTAGTTTTAAAAATTAATACCTTTTTTATTAAGGTATTTAAGTTAAAGCCTTATTATATAGTTTAGTATAATAGCTTAGAGAAGTAAGTTAATAAAGTAATTATAATCTTTAGGAATAAACCGTAAAGCTAGAAAGAAGTTATATATAAGGCACTAAGGGGGGGTAAAAAGGTAAAAGGTTAATATATTACTTAAAGGAATATATATTTAGAGTTAAAGTTAAAGTTAAGGTAGTTTAAAATTAAAGGTAGCTTTAGGCTAAGGAATTAAATTAGATTATATAACCTTTATTAAAACCTTACTATACCTATTTCTATAATATAATATATAATATTATTAATTATATTATTAATTAGGGATAATATAATATACAATATTATTAATAATATTAAATTAAATATTTATATTTTAAATTTATTAGGTTTATTTTTATTTCTTTTAAGGTTAGTTTAATAATAACCTTAAAGATAAGGGAAGTTAGGTTTAATATTATATTACTAAATAATATTAATTTAATAATTACTTAAAGGATTAATACTAAGGTTTATTAAATATAAGCTTTTCCCTTTTTATTAATTATCTTTTTATATAAAGGATTTTATAATTATATAATTAATTCTTTTATAATAAGCTTATTTATAATACTAAAGGTATTTTAGGTAAAAACTAGTATTTTAAATAACTTAGGTTAAAACTTTAAAGTTATTATAAAAATAATAATTAATTAAAAGCTAGGTAGGTATAATAATTATATTATATTAAAGCTTAAAAAAAGGAAGTTTTATTTATATAGAAATCTTATATAAAATTTAGTTAGATCTTAGCTAAAGGCTAAGGTTTAGTTAGTAATTAGTTAGTAAACTAATTAGATATTATATAATAACTTTAATATTTTAATTAATAACCTTACGGTAAATAACTATAAATTACCTATAGTTTTAACTATAATTACTATTTATTATTTACTTATTATTTTAAATTATATTAACTTTTTATTAAATAAAAATAAAAAAATTATAATTAATTAATAAATTAAAATAACTTTTAATAGTAAATAGATTTAATTATATTAATAAACTTTAATATATAAAGACTTTTTAAGTAAATTAGGTTAGACTAACTAGTCTTTAATACTTAGCTCAGGTAATACCTTATATAAGTCCTTATTATCCTTATATTAAGCTTTAAATATAGAATAAAAAATAGTAATATTCTAATTAAGTTAGGATTAACCTTTTTAATTACTAGACTAATTATATATATATATTTAAGTAACTATAGCGGTTTAGTATAGGAGGCAGAGTTATAGTAAGATACGTTAGATTGATTTCGGTTCAATTATGTATAAGACCAAACTTATAACCCTTCACGGCCATAATGCCATTGGAACCGATTTGGAAACAGCAGTCGATTTCATCATGTTGCTCTAGCACCGTGAAGAGGCTGCTCTCAGTGCCCAGCCCGGCCCGACCTTTTCGCAGCTGCGGCAAGCAAGGGAGTACTCCATAGTCTGATCTGGTATAGTCAGCAGAGTCTTGAGCAGCTGGGAGGACAGGAGAGACCCTTACAGGCCCCAGCTCTGTGTGCGTAGACATGAATATATACAGGGACTAGACGGGTCTTGGCGCATCTTCAGATGCTGTGATGAGGATAGTTAATGAAAAGAGGGTATGGAAACAGCATGCTCGACATTGCTCTTTAACTTGTGAACAGGAGTCTGATACAAGAACCCCTCTTCTGCCTTGGCTTTGAGATGTTATAGATAACAGGAGGTAGTGGATTTATTTTATGCTTGTAAGTCTATATTACTAACGCCCTCCATCTTCTTACCGCCTCATCTTTCTCTTCTGGTGTAGCCCTACGCCAGTCCTCCAAGCCTTGCCGTATTCTAATCAGAAATACCTCTGCTTTCAGTGTCGTCATGTGATGTTTAGTGAGTTCCTTTTCAAGGCCTTTAAGGGTATATCCAGGGATCCCAAAGCACGCTGTCTACTTGTTAGCGATGCTCCTTTCCGAGGCATGAAGTAAAACACTTTATCGTAGCAAATGCAGATGGGGGAAAACACCACTTACCCGATCCTAGATTACCCACGATCCCCAGTCCGCCTCTAAGCAAGCCTCTTGGGAGACCCTTTATACCCATTCTTTTGGTGTCTTCGTAAGGCTTCACGACAATACCACTGAAGGCATCCCATACGCCAAAGCAAAACTCTTTGCCTGCGGTCTTGATTCCGCTCCCAAGCCCTGTGATCTCATCACGACGTCGAACATCCACATCAAAAATATTGTGTGGAGCGTTGTGCAAAGCATTTGCGACATTGTAGAAAAACGCCACCGGAGCTTTCGCAGTTGCAGCGGCCAAGTCGCATGCATATCTGCCTGTCACACGGGTGACGTAGAATGCTCGTCCGTTTCTGCCACCTTCGTGGGCCTTCCAGCTCTTTTTGTGCTGCGTAACTGGCCTACACAGTCTCGCAGTTGTCAAAAACGGGGGTTCGGCGCCGTAAAGAGTTTTCGTTGCCATCCTCCGTGCAATGCCTTCCATATCTGCCTGCGTCAAGTTGTGTGGGCCTTTGTTGACCTGCACACCTTGAACCTCACCCCCTTCTGTCTCTGTCAATGACTCGTCTTGCGAAGTTTTGCTGAAGCGTATCGCGCTGCCTGCTTGCGGTCTGTTCTTCAGGCGTGCAGCATAATCGGACGTTGCGGTTCCTATGGCTGCGGCAAACCCCGATGCGGCAGCTACAGCACCGATAATAGGATGTTCAGCGCCATCATCCACATACCAATTCTTGTGTTTAATTAGCTTGAGTTCCGTGCTCAGCAGCAGTCCGTTGTCAAAGAGACAGCCAACAGCGAAGCCACTAAGATGCGCCCCTGTCTTTCGATGGATCCAGATGGCGAGTCTTTCGGGACACAAATCACAACGAAATCTGTCTATGTCAAGACGATCTTGTATATCCATTGCTGCGCCTCCAGAGCCATCTTCCTCGCCGATTTGAAGAGCCATGTCTCTTGCCACCACTTTGACTTCTGGCTTCAAGGCAAACGTGATACTTTCTGCTAGTATCTCTGCTGTCAACTGTTTATATGGAACTGCCACAGGTCCAGCTCCAGCGCGAGCCATCATTTGACCCCAAAAAGGCTGGTCACCAAAGAAGGGAACAATTACAGTTGGCCGACCGGCAGCAATTCCAGCGGCTGTAGTACCAGCGCCTCCGTGGTGGACAACAGCAGATACTCGTTCGAACAACCAGTCGTGTGGGCAATTCCCGGTAAGATATACATTGTCGGGGACGTCTCCAACGCCGACGCCACCCCAGCCCTTGGATACTATCGCTCGGACACCAGCAATGCTAATGGCCTTGAATAGCATGTTCGTGAGTGCTTGGGGGTCATCTACAACAATCGAACCAAAACCGATGTAGATTGGCGCTGGGCCTTCTTCGAGAAACTGCACCAGATCCAGGGGAGGTGTATAAGAGTTCGCCAGTGGCAGAAAAGAGAAACCCGTGATGTTGAGGTGGTCGGCCCAGTCGGATGGTTTGGGTATTAATGTTTCTGACCAGAGATAGCTGTAAGGAACGCGAAGGCTAGACAAAAGTTGAAATCCCCACATCGGACTGACTGGGTCGAGATGTAGTGTTTGGGTACGGAACTTATTGATCAGATCACCCAAGCTGGAGTTTGTTAGTCAATAGCTCAAATTCTTCTGGAGAATCACTCACCCCTGCCATGTCAACAGTTCCATCATCATAAAAGAGAGGTAATTTGCAACCTTGGCATCTGCATTACCGTAGCTCATTGCTGCAAGAGGATGAGGAAAGGCTTTGGTAGGTGACCAAGGCATGGTGAAAACCATGTGAAGAGGGATACTGAGTTTCTGAGCACAGTGAATATGGCCCATGGATGGAGGATTGGCGATGATAACGTCGGCAAGAAATAGATCATCCGCGTTGGCCACAGTAGCAGCTTTGATAGGTTCCCCCATGCCATCACCCGCTTCGATGCAACTTCTCCAAGTACCCGAGATAATCTCTGACATTTCCTTACGTCTCTTTCCAACTTCTCCACCCTTGATGCTGTCCTTGTTTGGCAACAACCCGGGATTCTTGACCATGTACGCCATGAGAGCCTCTGGATCGCCCCCAATATTGAAGAACTCAACCCCCTGGGCCTCAACAAACTCCTTGAAAGCAGCATGTGTGCATATTCGTACCCGATGTCCGTATGGTGGTTTCATAAGCAATTGCGCAATGGGAATAAATGGTTGCACGTCGCCCCTAGATCCTACGATATGGATTGCGATGCTGAGGCGGGGGCTTTTGACGGGTTTCTCTACTCCAGGAAGAAACGCGAGGCTGTTTGTTCGACGGGTTTGAGGAGGTGGCGATTGTGGGCAGCTGGGCAGGTTTTCAGAAAAGGAAGATTTGAAGTGATCACACCATGCTGCCAGCGCCTCCGGAGTGTCGTGGAATTGAACTTTGACGCGCCCATCATCGATGACTTTACTCGAGGGTCCTATGTCTGAATCGGAATCGTCAATCGCGACATGGCCCAGTCCACGAGATTTTATGCGATGAAGGGCCATCATAACATTCTCTCAGCACCTATCGAAGGTAGAATTAACGTGTTGGCCAGGAGGTAAAAGTCAAAGTTAAAGTCAAAGCCAAAGCCAAACAAAGTCTAACAACAAGCCGAGGCGCCGTCTGCACCGTAAGCATTCCATCGCTCGTGAAATCATTTCGGCTTTAAGGGTGCGGATAGGAATAATAAGATTCAACATGCATGTCAGACAAGATGGATTGGCTGGATTTGGTTTGCATTCGTTCTGCTATGGTCTAGACCAAACTATGATTCTTCTCCTAATGACATGATTAGTTGTGCTGACGAGCGAGCTGGGGTGGTAATGATGATCCTCATGGTAGGCGACCCACTAACTTTTAGCCCATCAAGCCGTTAGAGTCAGCACTTTGAAACGGGGAAAGGTACTTGGGATCTTTGGTGGCTCCGTTTCTTAAACGGTGAGAGGTACCGTGGGCACAGTGCCTACTGTGCTTCCGTTTGTACCCAACACGTCCTAGTCAGACATTACTCCGTTTTGACCTTCGCTACCTCGGCGCATCAAAGTTCCCTGCCATCATTCTCTGAATTTTGGCAACATTCGCATTACCACGGCGCTTGAATGCTTCATAAGCCAACCTGTGCGCATGTATCCCTTCAGAAAACAGTGCTCGTCTATCTTTCCATCCGGTCATCGACCGCAGCCTTTCGCTCCCTACCCACTGACTAAGACTGAAGACAAAATGCAGCCCTGCTGGAAATGACGGTTCAGCAGCACTAGCCGCGATAAACTGCACACCACCTTTGAAGCCATATTCTCTGGCCACGGCTGATGCAATCTCGTCTAGAGTTTCATAGCGACGGCCAGAGACGTTGAAGGATTTACCGCCTACAGCGCTTCGATCCGCATGCTCAGCAAGCGACACGTAAGCTTCACCACAATCGTCAACATGAGTAGCATGCATGATGCTTTTCGCATCCCCGGGAATCTGAAGCACTTGGAACCCATCTTCCTTTTGAGCTGCCGCATAGTCAAAGATGGCACCATAGTAGCTGCTTGGATATCCGAAGACACAAGTTGGCCTAATGACGGCGGCATCGAAAAGGCTGGCATAGTCAAAGACCTTTGCAGAGTTGATCGTGCGCTCTTTCACCAGCTCCGGCCCATTCATTGGAGAGTCTTCAGTATGGGGAGCAAGATCGGGTGCCTCGTGAAGTGCCGTGGTGCCATAATCTTTACATCCGGATGACCAAAGGACGAGGGGTCGGACTCCATTTCGGTTGCTTTGTTCGGCCAGGGTCTTGACACAGGCGATAACTTCTTCGAAATGGGCAGCGTAGCCCGGGATCTTCTCCGTACAATTGACGATGACATCGAAGGTGTTGGCTTGCTCGAATAGAGCATCTAGAAAGCTGAGATCGGTGAGGGACCCGACAATTGGGATAACCTCAGAAAGAGCAAGCTCCTCTAGCGCTTGCGGATTTCGAATGAGACCAAAAGTGTTCCAGCCAGCTCGAACAAAAGCGCGACATACGGCCGACCCAATGTATCCGTTTGCACCGGTAATGAGCGCGTTGCGTGGTCTGCTTTCACCCATGATGACGGTTCTGATCAAACCAATTGTTGGTATTCTTGCGACTTACTATCCAACATTACTGGTTGTCTTTTATACCTTGTCGAAGTTACCCTTTCCCCTTCAATAACGGGCAACTGTTACACGCACCGGGACCGGCGCGAGTAAATGTCTACCATGACCGTACCGGGCCTGGTGCAAATAACATATCATTATGATAAACTAATTATTAATCAATTCAATTAATTTAGTAATGCACTTATACGCACCGGTCCCGGTGCGTATAACAGTCGCCGAATAACGTTAAGGATCATGTCATTACCTTCGGCTTTAAAGGATCTACAACGTTAAGGGTTTTCCATGGAGATATAACGTTATGTTCCACCTACTGAATGTTTCTTTTCCTGCGGGTTCTCTTAAGCCATGTGCGTCCGCTTATGGGCTTTCTGCGACTCAAACGGACATTGTTGAGAAGATGCGTAATCTTATAAAGACGGAAGTTCCATCTTTTGCTTGTCTTGGCTGATCGGGGCACCCCAACGTTGTAATCGGGATCCTGTGTTGCTCGATTGTAAGAGCTATTAGCAAAGCATATCATCTACGGATAATGGCATAGATAATTAGGCATTGACAGACGCTCCGTAACCTGCAGTATGTATGTAGTAAAAAACTAGGAAAGGTGAAATACCGCAACTCCAAGAACCAGCTTGGGAAAGCATATCGGTACAGTCGCCAAAAAGAGAATACCGCAAAAAACATACAACAGCGGGGATTCGCTGGTCGTCACCGACCCAACTACTAATCCGCCGGTTAGTGGCTTGACTATGGGAGAGCGGACGGGATCCCGTATTTTCCACTACCTTTGGTCGTATGTGCTTGGTAGGTGCATTAGTTTGATATATATCACAAAGTACTTTGATGATATTACTGTTGTCTGCTCGTCTTCGTCGTCCGCCCCCAGGGATATCGATTCACATAATGTCATTGTAGTTGTATCGAGTACCTACCAACTATACCTATCTCTAAGAAACGGAGACTTGTTACACTAGTATACTAAGTAATTGCAACGAGAAGAGCACAACTTGACAAGCAGATGTTATAGTCCTACTAACTTGGCCGACACAACAATGAGATGAACCTTTAACCCCAATCACGAAAGCTTGTTGTTACTGCCATACCACATCATAATAGGTGAAACCAATAACTAGTCCGTGCGTAGGTATCGTAGGTTGCTGGTTCCATGGCTCACAACCCCACAAATGCTTCTATAGTCATAACGACTCGACTCGCAAGATAAAGCAACGGACTTCCAACCTTTGTGATCGTCTGGAAACCTTCCCACTTGAGGGTCATCTTCCTGTATTACATACACACAACAGACGTGACGACGGATACCAAAGCGCTCGTCGGCCATAGCCACCGTTCTGCCCCAGACGGAAAGGAGGAAATCCACGAGATCAGAGGAATGGCTCCGAATGAGGCTCCTAGGAGGCATAAGAGTGGTCAGTATCTCGTCATATAAAGATTAGTATCCCATTCTGTGATGACGTTGACGTCTTCCTCAATCTCATTGACGGTATGTCCGGCCTTTTGGGACCTTGTCTCTGGTGTCGAAATAGTCTCTTCCGTATCTCTTTCGTGAAATTCCATCACTCCCACCTCATCGTCTCTGCAGTCGCGTGGAACAACATACCACGCAATCGAATCATTCTGCTTTTGGTCTGGATCTGACACATCATATGTGTTTTCCATCGCCAGGCTCTCGAACTTGTCCCATTGGAGAGAAGTCATTCCCGGCAAGTTGACGAAAGAGGCGGTAACAATATCCTTATGCTTCTCCCACCAGAATACGTAAGTGACAAGCCCGTTAAAAACATAAGCCAGAGTCATTGTTTCGATAGTGGCCAAAGGAAGTTGATGTGCTGCGCGTGTAATATGCTGTAGTGTGAGCCACACAACTTGAAGAAGCGCAGCCAGTTTGACTAGACCATCGACCTTGTTTTTGTCGGAGATGTCGTCGCTGGCGAGACCCCAGCTTCTGTGGTCTTGCCATGATATCAAGTCGTTGTTTAAGAGCCATGCATACTGCCCCGGTCATAGAGTCCGATAGCCCCCATTATTCCCGGTTTTATAGCACACCCCCATCATACAGAGGTAGAAGTCGTGCACAATCTTGGATTTTTTTTATCGGTGGTTTCGACGCATCGTCTCATTGCTTTACGGGCCTGCAAAAACTCCTGCAACGACTCGAGGCAAACCATCTCCGGTGCCAGAGCAGCTTTGACAAGTCGGCAAAACGTGTATCTATATCGAAAAAGACGAGAAAGGTGGATGCATGAGTGATTTGCCGATCAAGGATGATTAGCGAAGGTGTGATGTGATGAGATACCTTAGTGTTACATTGCGTAACTTCTTGAATCTTGAACTCTTCAACTAATTACTGCAAACCTCACTATCCTCCGCTACCAGGATCATCTTCAAAATATATACCCCATGATTATGACATCGACTATTCACGCGGCAAAAGGACTGGAGTGGCCAGTTGTCTTCGTGCCTTCTGTCTATACTGGATCTATACCTCATTCAAGATCAACCTCATTTTCTTGAGTCTTCTCTCTTTCTGGCAACACTATACTTGTCTCTTAACATGGTCGTGTCATCTGCATTAAAGCCAACCATGATGGCGCTTGGTCTTACACTGGGTATTCCAGCGATGCTCTACTTAAGCGTCCTTGGAGCGTTGGTCGTTGCGCCCTCACTACAAGCCCACGCGATATATCTTCACAAAGTCACTTTGACGTGGTCCAAGGATCTCAACACTCCGGAGCAATTTGGTTTCGCTCATCGCCAAGTTACTCCCTTTTATATCCCAACTCCCGATGGGGTGAAACTACACTCCTGGCATGTGCTGCCTCTGGCGACCTACGAGTCAAATCAACAAGACCTACTGGCACAAGGGCCCAAGGCTGGCTTGATGGGGATGTTCGAAGAGACTCTGAACTTTCGTCTGTTGAAAGAGAACCCAAATGCTCGCTTGGTTCTTTATTTCCATGGGACAAGCGGGACGATGGCAAGCGGGTGGCGGCCTGACAGCTATCGCTCTCTCTATTCCGCGGATCCTGTGAACACACATGTTCTTGCGTTCGACTACCGTGAATATGGCGAGTCAACCGGCTCGCCAAGCGAGCAAGGTATTATCACCGATGCTATTACTGTTGCCAACTGGGCCATTCATACTGCTGGCATTCCACCTGAGCGGATCGTCATCTTTGGCCAAAGCCTAGGCTCAGCAGTAGCTATTGCGCTTGTCAATTAGGTCGCTCAGATGAAGCCTGCGATTCATTTCGCTGGGCTTGTTGTTACAGCGACATTCGCAGATATCCCTCAGCTGATGGCCACTTACCGGATTGGTGGTTTCATTCCTGTGCTTTCGCCAGTTGCAAAGGTGAAGCCGTTATTTGCTTTCTTTGCAAGACAGCTCTCCAGAACTTGGGACAACATGCACAGATTGGGCGAGTTTGTCAAGTTGGCTGAAATGTACGATATCACCCTTCTGCACGCCGAGGATGATACAGATATTCCCATGGAGCATTCCATCAAGCTCTATAGGGAAGCTATCCGCGCAGCAGAAGATGCGAAGGACTTGGCAGGGAACGAAGAAGCACTCTTAGACAGTATAGGCAAGGCTGAGAAAAGCCGGGGTGAAGGGGGCTCGTTGACTATTTGGCCCACCAAGAAGGGTGATATCAGACTCGAGATTTTGAAGTATGGAGTGCACGACAAGATCATGTCCTATCCTGCAACTGGGCTCGCGATCAGCAGAGCTTTCGCTTCTGTCAGCCACCGAGTGCACAGCCCATGAAAATGGTCTACTATGACAAGAGAATAGAAGTCAATTGCGCATTGGCTTCATCTGAACGTAACGTAGATCATAGCCTCCGAAGGCGGCACATCAATGGCTCATGGTCAGAAAGAACTAAATCTGGTTACAAAAGCAACCAGCGAGCGTCTCGGCCTGCCCTTATATGTAAACACGGGGCAGATTGGAGAATGGAGGTTCATTCATCCCCGAATCTATTGCCCTATTTATCAGGCTGCTAAGCCAAACAAAAATTCAGGAAGAAGCTAGTGAATGAGCCATGTATTGCACAAGCCATCACTTAGGGATAACACCAAATAGATACGCGCTGCCCTCTCCATCAGCCAATATAAAGACTTCCCATAGACCTGTGAAAATTGCTTCTTGTGATCAGGGAATTTGAAGTTACTAGCGTAGCACGATGTGCATTCAACAGAGACGGATTCGCTCAATCACAAGCAACTACAAGAATAAATTGGTAGCTTGAGAATGCTCATCTCTCCCCAAATGACTCTCTCGATCTCCTTACCACCACTATTTACACGAGTTGCAAATCTAGCCATTTGACATTTAACTGATCGAGCACTTTATACGATTCTTCCATTTATTCTACAAGTGCTCCAGTTGTGCTGCGTACAATCGCCTGGCTAGCCATATTTTATCACTAAAGAGTCCTTCCTCAGATATGCTTGCAAACACACTAACACTAAGAGTTTGACTGGCGTGCAAATTACTTGGTGTCCAGTTCAGCCAGATGATGCTTCAGCTACAATGGTCTGACATCTAGCCATAGCATTACTGTAAGATTGTGGTAGAAGGAGCTGCAAGATCATCACCTCATGACGATCTACACATGACATTAGTCATGACACCATAATACTTCCAGGTGTTCAATACCACAGCTTGCATCGCCCCATATCAGGCGACAAACCCCATCTTTCAAACCGCTTAATCTTGACTCTTAGAGTCGTATAGCGTTCTGATATATGAGAAGGATCTTTAACTGGAAGGCGTGCCCGACATTGAACTCATCCACAGCATCTCTGCTTATTTCGTGACTTCGTCACTTGGTGTGCTGACCGTGACATGCTGACGTGCCAACGGTGTCGCGACTGTCGCCTTCTAGACATTAGTGCGATCTGCCAGCGGCGGAGACTCCTCGAGAGTTTCTGTTGAGGCAGGCAGGTCGGTCACTTCATCGTCAGGCATAGGCGTGTCTCCATCTGGATTTTGAGTATCCTCCCCGTCCCCGTCGCCCTCCATCATAGCAGCTAGGCGAGCTGCGCGTCCTTCCTTTTTGCGAGGGACCGGGGCTGAGACATTAGCATGTGGTCCAATGGAATCAGGTAACTTGAGAAACTTACCTCGACCATTCTCCTGGACATAGAACCGTCGTAGCAGGGCGACAGCTTCATCACGGCCCCAACCGCCCTCGATTTCGTAACCAGGTTCAATATTTCCGCCATCACCTCCACCCGGTGGATACGAGACACCCAATGTACCACTGCCGTCTGGAAGCTGCGCAGGTTTGGGAGTTGGGTGGGCGCTGGCGGTCTGCCCATCGGCGCTGACTGGAAGGGAATTGGCATGGATGCTGAAGACACCACCAGTCCCACCAAACTTGTCGTTCACCGCGCCAAAGTAGACCTTCTTGATACCGAGTTGTCGCAAGAGAGAAGCACACATGACGCACGGTTCTACGGTGACATAAAGGATGCTCTCCCGGATAATCGATCTATCGACCCTGGCGTCGGGATGAACCTTCTGCCCATAAGGGTAGAGGTGTCCCTTGGAACCATCTTCGTTGCCCTCGTCAGGAGGTCCAGAATCGACAGAAGATGCATCAGAAGCCGCAGCGGACTGTTCCTCAGGCTTAGGCTTGGGCTTGAGGTACGTCGTTCTTGGTCCATCTTTGGGGGGGTAGGATAGTAAAGCACCGAGTGCCATGAATTCAGCATGGCGAGTACCGTTTCGAGTGACATTTGTTGCATTCATGCCACGAGCAATGATCTTGCCATCATGAACGAGGACACAGCCTACAGGCGTCTCGTTGGTTCTGAGCGCAAGTCGGGCCTGTATAAGTCGCTTAGGTTAATCGGGGAGCTATGTAGACAGGAGACAGGCAGCCTGTTGATCAGGGGAGATTGGCGCAGGCGGGGTGGAGGATATCTGAGACTCACCATATCAAGAGCTGCTTCAGTGAACTGCATATGCACCGCTCGCTCAGCTACAACAGCGGGATCGGTGAAGATTGGGGCGACAGGCAGGACAGGAACATCAGGTTTGGGAGTCAGAACGGTCTTGTCATCTCCAAGTTCCAGACGAGAGAGAGCTTCGGATAATTGAGTTGCATTTGGAGGTTGGTTTTCTTTACTCAGCTCGGCATTTGGGACGCGCTGCTTCTGTGAGGACGCCATATCGTGGATGTTGACAGAAGTTCCGGCGGCTGAGGGATATCCTCGTTGCTGATGATCTGTCGTGGAAGGTATCTCCTGATGCTTTGCGATAGAAGAATCTGGTAAAGTATCTGCGTTTTCCGTTGCTTGGGCGCTGTTGTTGTTGTTGTTTTGGTTATCTTGCGCCTTGTTCTTCAGATCCTTCTGGTCGTGGGTTTCATTACTAGTGTTGCCCCTGCCAGTTTGGTCGGTGTCGCTGGCACTGGCACTGGCACTGTCACCGTCAGTTGGCATCACCCGACCAAAGAGACGGCGTATGGCCTTCGCACCTGCCGCCTTGGCCGGTGAAAGACCAAGTGATTTCAGAACTCCCATGTTTGCTTCGTTCAATGTTCTTTGAACCTCTGTATACCTTCACTCAAACAAATTCTCCCGGTCTAATCCACCTTTTTCTCGGCAGCCAGCCTTCAGTGTATCTTGCACTCCTTCTGTGTTGATGTCTTTTTCCTTTGTTGCTTACAACATTCCGTCTCTTTCGATTTTCCTCTTTTGTTTTCTTTGGCCCTCGATCCTTGATACCCCTTCTTGGGGGTTTTCTATCACCTTGAAGTGACACCCTTTGTTCTAATTCGAACGCAGAGAGTGGAAAGCTACAGTGTGATGGCTTTCTTTTCAGTCAAAAAATTCGATAAAAGGCCAGATCAGAACCAGAGCTTCGAGTTGGCGTTTCCTTTCAATCCGTTGGTGATTGCTATCACTCGATCACAAGCAATAGATCAAGCACACAAACGCCACCTTGGTTGAACGTTTTAATGAAAATTCCCGTGTGACGATTTAGATACCAGGTCGACTTTTACCGATGCGGTCACTCATGGGCGCTGCTGCTCTTCCGTACAACGCTGGCTTCCTACCAGTACAAAAATACAGCAGGCAGGTTCCTAGGCGTATTAAGGCGGAATGGTTATGCCGAAACAGTGACAGCAAAAATGAAAACAAAAAAGGAGGTTGCAAGGCCACTAGTAGTTTCTCTTCGGTACGTTTGAAAAGTTGAATGAAGTTGGCAGAGCCTCCAAATTTGGGAAAAGAGTTCAAGATGCGCATGTCCTACTTGGACCTGGGAGAAGATTTGATATCTGTTTCCTGACGCTAAACTACATGTAGATAGGCGTCTGAACCGGATGCCCCGCTTAAAAATCAGCTCATCGAATTACATTCCTGTGCTCTAAATGGACCCCAGGTTTGTGTAACACCAGTTGGTCGCAATAAATCATAACACAGCTCGTCTTTGACAGTACGCTTCTTCATAAAGTCACAGCAGGGTATCGTTGTTTACATGGGTTGTTCAGTCGTGGAAAGCAGCACGATTTAAATTATACGGCCTTTTGAGGCTAGTTCAATTGTTTTATGGGCTCGATGCTCGCTCTATAGCAACAGCCACACCTCCCTATCCGGCGCCTTTCCCCTGGCATTCGCTCCCAATGCTAAATTGCAAATTCGACAAGTAAAGAAGTAGACAAGTTCTATGATGGATTAAACCCCAGACTGGTAGACAACTCCATGTATTGCACTTGATGTGTAACAACAGGTTGTTATACGATGATTAAGCTTCGGCTCATCAAAATCATTCGATCGACGGGCTTCTTGCAGCTCATTGTTGTGCTCTGTAGCCTAGAGGCATTCTGCCAAGTTCTGGGCAAGAGTCCATTAGACTTTCGCTTAGTAGGCGCAAGAGAGGATGTCCTCTGCTCAAATGATTTGTCTGGGTGGGCAAATTGCTGGGAGACGTAGGACCAGATGGTGAACGCGATCAGTACCGCCGCGATAGGCATGAGAACTCCCATGCTTGGCTGTCCATACATCGACGCCAGACCGATTGCAACAGGCTCAAGCAAGACGGACGTAGGAAAACGTTGGGATGTATCTCCCGCCACATTGTGAATCTCGACATCTCGAGAATCTTGTAGCTGCTGTTCGCCTAGAGCACCGACATTTTGACAGCCCCGTGACAGGGTCGTGGCTTGAGTCTCGGTTGATCGATGTTGGGACTCTGCGCCTGCGATTTCGGTCGATTGAGAGCCAGTTTGTGCCGGTACTCGTATCGTTCCAGTCTCGGTTGGCCGAGAATCTGGCTGTGCTGTAGTTAATCCGTGGGCTTCGATAATATCGCGACTAATTGTCACCTTTTTCCTAGTTAGTTGCCGTTCCATTAAGATTGGGGCAATAAGTGAGACACGTACGTTACTCGTCGAAGACTCTGAAGCATTCACGGAAGATTGGAGGGTCGACACAAGGGTCGATGAGTCGCGCTGTGAGCTGGCACTCGTGCTCAGAATATCTGAGCCAAGGCTAGATGTTGACGGCTTGGAGTAATACTCCAGGCCAGCTCCAGAATCGCGATTAACGGCATCGCGGTCGAGCTGGCCATGGGTAAAGAGAAGTTGTTGAGGCGCGAAAGAAGCAACCACAGAAAGTGACTCCGATTGATCGCCAATCAACTCACCACCGTGACTATTCAAGCCATTCGAGGACTCGTTCGGTGGTAGCGGGTTCGGTGCCGGTGACCTAGGCTGACTAACCGACTGCTTGAAAACTTCAATCGGAACCATGCGCTCATCTTCCGAGAAGGAAGACTCAGGAGAGTACAGATTAAAGTCAGCATAGTTGTGATTGGCCTCTACCTGGTTGAATGGTAGGTATGCCGCAGGGTCGGCTAGTCCTGCAATCTCGGCATCGGCCGTAGCACCACGACGACGACGCAGGTCTGGCTCTGTTGCAGGAGAAGCAGGCTTTGTAGAGTACTCAGACAGAGTGGAGGAGGACTGGGGTGACAGGTAGCCCTCGGGATCGTTGAAGAAGTCATAGCTGTCATCCACAGCAGGGAACTGAACGAACTGCTCCCATGACTCGTTTCCAAGCTCCTCTGAAGCTGCAAAGTTGTCCAGATCTACGAGGAGGTCTTGCTCGGACAGTCCTATTTGAGGAGCAAAAGTATCCTGGACAGCCATAGGAGCAATCTTTGCTTCTGAGGCTGCTGTCTTTGTCTTTTTGGTAACCTTGGCAGGCTGAGCTGATGTGCTGGAAACACCGCGCTTCTTGTGGCTAGGATCGCATCGAATCTTCTTCTTCTTGCAGCTCTCGCAAGCCTTGATGATTCGCATGAGGTGAGCGTGATCCCGCTGCTCCTTTGTCTTGGATCCTCGGGAGGCAGAGTTGGTCACGTCGCGTCCATCCTTGGTCATGATCTTCATTCCCGGCAGGTTGGAGAAATCAGCAGGCTGATGGCTGGAGGTAGACTTGGGAGATGAACGACGAGAAGAGGTTGAAGTGTTCACGTGGCTCCAGTCCCAGTTGGACATGACAGGGCTCGTGTTGAAAGAAGATCCATAGCCAGAGTCCTGGAGAGGGCTAGCAGTAGCAGGAGACTCAACAGTAGCCGAGAGTGTGTACACCGGGTAGAACTTGAAAGTTTGTCCAGTCAGGTGCGCATACTCAAAGTAGTCAAGAGAGATGGAGGTACGCTTCTCCTGGACAGAGGCGGATCCAGGGATGTAAGCGTTTACCAACTCGTCGAGCTCAGGGGTTCCCAAAGCAGGGAAGAACTGCAGCTGAGCACCAAGAGCAGGCTGGAAGACGGAAAATCCTTGAGGAAGAGTGTTCGAGTGGGACGCCATGATAAGCTTCGAAATTCCGGTCAGGTTGTCTTGATAAGGCGGAATTCTGAAGGACGGAACAGAGTGTTGGAGTTACAGTTCACTCTCCAAGTCCAGTATCAGGCGAGACTGTGAGCGGTTACGTCGATGGGCTAGAAGCGACTATTAGACGACCAATGCATAAGTTAAACAAACTCGGACAGTTGCTTACTCCGACCTGCTTACTCTCACGTGAAGTTTTGAAGGTACTCAGCAGTAAGTACTAAGAGAGCTAGGGAGTTTTTAGTTCGCACGAGATCGGGCGTGTAAGAAAGCAACGGGAATTCTGCGCCAAAATTGATGCGCAAAGTCTTGTTTCGTTGACGCGGACCAGGTTGATGTGTAGAGGGATAGGGAAATAGGCCAAGCCTTGAGGTACCGAGCCTGTCGCCAGCTTTGTTGGATTATCTTTCAATATTTTTCAATATCTGGAAAAGCTGAAAGACTGTGACGACACACAAAATCCCTTGTTCAAAGGAGGTAAAACTGATCGCGATAGTATCGAGAGGAAGTAAGAATAAGAGAAAACGCCTGAGGCCACAGGGGAGGGCGTCGTCGAAGTATTTCACTGTCAGGTTTGAAGCTCCATTTGGCCCGGGATTCGCTGGGAACATGGCGCAGCAGGTGGAAGGAGGAGTCTTTCGGCGTGCAGAAAAGGGTAAAGCGTAACAAGGCGGATTGACTCATCACGGCCAATCATATTGATGGACTTTTGCGCAATCCACCTAATGAAGCACAACCATTGGCCAGTTCAACCCACCATCTGCACCATCAAAGCTTGGACTTCGGCGAGGAAATAGCATTCTTGTTGGTCAATGCTCCAAGCCCCCTGCGAGGGTGAGTCAACTTCGGCAACCCCAGGTTTGATAGTCGTTCGACCCCTCGTCTAACATTCCCCATGCGGTCCAAACTCAGATACGCTACGGGTAAGTAGGAGGCTGTAGCATGGCTCAGCGATAACTCGCATCACTAGATCTCAAAGGGAGTCACCGCTTGATTGGGGAAGCATCGAATCATATCATAATTATTCGAACTACCTACCAGAAACTCTTCAGCTGTGACTCTTCATTGTCCATACCAGTATTGTCTGTCTTTGGGCAGCAGGAAGACATTAGGAGACCATGTCAAGGAAGGTGAAGGCTTAATAAAAGTACAGAGTTTGACATGTAAAGTTTGTGCGGGCTTGTGAAGGAAGATCTTGTAGATACCAGTCGGAATTCGACAGCCGTGGCCTCTTGGGAAGCCCTCTTGGTTAAACTGAACCGCCAGTGATGTCTGGATTGATGAGTTGGGAAGGACTGGGCATGGGGCCTCTTATATATTGCAGTGGAACTGACAATCCTATGCCTAAGCATGGTTAGGTTTCTGGGATATACAAAGGAAGCAACCAAGCCTCATCGGGTCCGCATTCTGCGTCCATCCCTTAAACACTATTCACGACTCCAAACCCAAATATCAGCCGGCGTGAAGCACGCCGAGAATCGAAACAAGGACAATTGTGGGGGTTGACACCATCTCGAGAGGACACTCATTATGAGTAACACTTTGGACATCCAGATAGGAAGTCTATTAGAATAACCCAACTCAGGGCCTGTCGTGAATCCACACCAGTTCACCTAAATCTGATTTCCCACCTTGCTGATAAATCACGATAATTCCTTGAGACTGGCCCCGAAGTGACTCTTCCGGCGGCGTGTAATCGCTCTGTGCACATCCACTACTTTGCTTTTCCTTCCGGCTCGCCGGACTTCCATACTCGCAATAGAAGCGCTGCAAGTCTTCCCCCGAAACGTAATATGCCAACGAGCTCCAACAGGGCCTTTGAGATTGGTGTGTTGAAGCTTGCGGTCTCATCTGCTGTACAGGTATCGTGATCACTCCCAGGGTCTGCTACCGGGATGACTAGAGCTTGGAGAAGAATTATCGATGCTGATATATCACATCAACAAGGCTATAGCTTGGTGAAGGCCCAGTCACACTGATGGCTGGTCCCTCGGGTATAGCAGTAAGTTGTTCGACTTGATCGCTCATCATCTTGTCGGCGCTTGCCCATGACAGGGTTTTCATCAGTCCGCAGCTCCGTGTCGTCTTCGAACGCACAGTCCTGTGCAAGCCTGAGCACACTATCTTGACAGGCGGCAGCAGTCTACATGCCGTTTCTCAGTGACGACACTGTAACTATACACCAAATGGTGCTTCAAACCACAGCTTTCGATGAAGAATTATCCGTCCGTAGGAGTAGAATTCGCTCAGGTTGACATCATTCATCAATTACAAAGGGCTGTTCGCCAAGATATTGACACGACTGCTTCATTCAAATCCATTCTTGTGGTGCCTTGATTGATAATGGCGTGGTTCTTATTAATCCATCTACACGGGAACGTGTTTTGCACTGAATACGACAAACCCATGTGACCCAATCAAATCACTGTCGAGAAGGCCCTTTGGAAGGTCTCGTCATACCAAGAAGATCTTCTGCGTGTCTGCTCCAGGCGCCGCCGTTTGCTTTACAAAACCCTGGTAACTCTGACTGTGGCATGGTGGCTGCGGGGGTTGTCGCCTTGAAGGGCGTCGCAAGAACAGCGCGAGAATCCGTTGTCGGCGCCAATTGCACCAAGGGTTGAGGCGGCAGTCCAGCCGCATCCTGCTTTCTTGCAGCCTTCCTACCTCTAGTTGCAGGGTTAACAATACGCGCTGGTTGCTTGGTTTGTGACTTGTTCTCATTAATTGGGAGCTGGACTGCCTCAGGCTCGTGCGCCATGGGCTGGGTATGTCCTAGATCGTTCGATGCATTTTCAACTCCCTCTAAAGGTCTCTCAATCGTTGAACTATTGTCAATAGGCTTCTTGGCCGCTGTCGGATCATTGTGGCCGACATTGAAGCCAGCAGTCGGGAAATCTTCAGGTGGCATAACAAACCCAAGGATTTCCCTGCTCTTGACGCTTTTTCGAGACATCTTGGTGATCCTAGGACCGGAACTTGGCTTAGGTTCTGACTTTCGATCAGGTTCCGATTCTGCGGACGAGTCCTCTTTTTCGTTGTCGGGTTTTGACAGAGAATTGTCCGCTCCAATTTCATCATCGTCGCTCAGGATAGCTTGAATAGCCTTTTGCCGACTACGGCGACTTGGGTTCGCCCGTCGACGAGGAGGCATCACTGAAGCTTCATGGCCAGGAAGGTTGTTGACTGGAATTTTGTCGCTATTCGGTCCAACCTCATCATCCGACTGATGCAATGGTTCGTCATCCTCACGACCCGTGTTCGGGCCTTTAGTCGCGTCCTTATACGTGTCCCGAGCCGTATTCTTACGTGACGTTGCTTCTGTCTGGTTCGACTCGAGATCCTTGGCCGACTGAGTAGCAGGTTTCCGGGTTGGTATACTAGAATCGCTCGATATGATCGATGTTTGCTGTTTGGGTTCCTTCTCGGAGATGTCCATCTCTGCAGCGTTCTTCTCTACGGCGTCCTTCTCTACGGCGTCCTTCTCTACGGCGTTCTCCTGGGCGAGTTCCGACTCGCCGAGAGTTGATACTGAATCAACAATCGGGAGTTGTGTAGTGAGCACGTCGCTGTCTACTCCAGATGACGATGGTAACGATCTTGCTGTAGACCCTGTCCGACTTCCTTGTTTGTTTTGGGCAATCATGAGTAGCCCTCGTCTCTGTCTCGACCTGATTCGGAGCTTCGTTCTTGGTTCTTTGGCAGGTGGGGGTTTATCAACGTCGGCTTCCATAGTCGAAGCTCTATCAGCAGCTAATGTCCGTTTCATACCATGAGGTTCCGATCTGTTCGCCAGTTTAATTTTTGATGATTCTGAAGCAGCGGTTTGGGGCTGCACTCGAGCCGAGGATTCTTCTTCGTCTTCGTTGATCACAATTGGATCATGTATCACCTTCTGAACAATCTCCGGTACAGGCCTTTTATGTGTAGAAGTAGTATCATTACCAGACCTCTTCGAATGCCCCAACCGTTTGCTACTTGGGGACACTGGCGTTCGGTGAGCAGATGCTGTACCCTCGCTTTCTACCAGCCAGTTGAGAAATGCGACTTCATTGGAATCTGCTGGCTGTTCTTTGCCTCGATTCGAACGCCCTGTTTTTGCCACTTCACGTGCAGGCATATGCAAACTGTTTGGTCTGCCTGCCTCCGCCTCTCGGCTGCGCTGAGCATTACGGGAAGTTTTTGGGACTGGGTCGACGTGGCGTTTTTGTGGTTTCGGCTCTTGACTGATGAGCGCCTCTCTTGGTCCAAGTGGCTCTCCAGTTCTATTGTGTTCGTTCCCTGCTAAAAGTTCTTTCAAAGATGCTCGTTGTGTGAGAACGCGACGAGGAACACTTTGACTAGTGACATTGGTATCTGTCTCTTTAGACTTTGATACTAGGGGTGGCGATCTTGAACTTCTATTAACATGTTGCAATTCGTTCGATGGGTCATCCTTTGTGCTGGAAGATAGGACTTTGGATTCAGTCGAGCTCTTCTCTTGCAGTGTTTGACTCCGAGCTAGAGGCATTGAAGACGAGAATGGAGTAAGTGTCAATGTTGTCCCGAAAAGAGCACGGGCATGCCCCATCTTGCTTGGAGGAGAGTCTTCTCTCCTGCGCCGTTTGGAGGGGCGAGCTTCTTCCGATGGTGAATCCTGCTGCTGGCCAGTGCTCTCGGTCATCTTGCGCACTTCGTACGGCGAATGAGGTGAAACAACAGCTCTCCCGATTCTAGACGAACCTCCCACGAGATCATTCAGTGGGCGGTGTCGAAGCTGAAAGTGAGGAGCATTCTGGTCGTTTCTCGGAGTCTGAGTAACTACTGCAGTTGATCCTGGTGTTCGTGTCCCAGCGTTCGTCCTCCGCTTTTCGACTTCCTTTGCACGTTTGTCCAACAGCTCTGTTAGATCCTGTTCTCGTTGACCAGTGCAGTCTGAAACTTGCACGATTGCAGAGCCACGATCAAGCTCGAACTCGTCACCGGGCTCGAGATCGCCACCTCCCTGCCAGTGGGCATCACCGATGAAATGGCTTCGATCATCATATACCATTACCCGTTTGTTGAATGTGTGATATTTTAGGACGCCATCTTGCCAACGTTTCTGCTTTCGTTTGAGGTCATGGGTGAAGAGACAAATAAAGTCAACCACAGTGGCAGTTGTAGGTCCCAAGTTAGAAGTCATGACCCTAAGTGAGAGGTTCAGCGTGACGTTAAAAGCCCGTGGAAAAGAACTTCTTTCCGCATTTCGGTAATCAAGGAATCGCTTGAGTTACTGATCAACCCACAACAACCTTAACATTTTCCGACACGAGATATATAAGGTGGAACGCGTAGAGTTGAACTGAACTGACTCGACCACCAGGCAAACGCGACGCCAGGTCACGTGGGTGGCGCCCCCCCGCTACAGATGGTTGCCTAGAATTCACCTACCCTACGTGATGGTTGCATTACATCGAAACGCGCTTCTGATGATACAAACACTATACCATGAATGCGGAATTTCAAGATAGCTGGCTGAACAGCTTGTAGTTATCTTGGCGATGCCATTTAGGTAATGTACGTTAAACATTCCGCCGATGTATTTATACCCATTCAAACTTTTCCCACTGCAGGACTCACGACTCAATTGTGATGGGATGAAGTGTCCATGGAGGGCCACAACAATGGCTTTACAAATACAATTTATTCTATGGGTATCATGCCTCGACACGTACGGTATCTTATTGAACCAAATGCAGCTAAATAACACGCTGAATGCCACCTAAGGAAAATATCAAGCCATTGAAGGGCACATCCTTGACCAACGCCTTTTGTGAAGTAAACCGAGCCCAGCTAATTTATATGTAGAATCTATGCGCAAACTGATTCTATATTCCATCATGTACCATTCCCTAACGACTCAGGTAGTCACCACCACCAATGGATTCAAGGTCCATGGGGGTGACAGGGCCGGGACTCCCCAAAGGAAGTAGTCTCGGTGATATGGGCTTGTGAGAAGCAGGAGTAGCAAAGCGTGAATCACGGAACGGGAGAGAGTCAAGTGATAGCCCGCCCGAGTTCTCACCAGATTTGGCCGAGCTACTCAAAAGCTCATTAGCAGCCATACTTGCTTGCGCGATCATATCGCGTTGGTACTGTTGCAGCTTGCGGCGAAGCTCGGTCTCGGGGTTCGATTGACTGCCTGTTCGAGGGATGGCATGGGCGTCAGATCCGATGTTGGAAGACATACTTCCAGTCAATGGAGGTCGCAAATTAGCTTGGCTGCCGTTTCTATTCTCATAGTTGGATGGGTAGTATTTGCCCATGGGAAGTGGGTTATCGTGAAACCCCGGAGCAAGAAAGGAAGCGACAGGTGTATTTGATTGAGACATGGCTGCACTCTGGGCAGGATGCGAGGTAGGACGATCCGCGTAAATCGGTCCTGATTCCGAAATAAGACGGCTCATCCGTGCGTCTGGGTGATGCTGGAATGGATGTGGACGGTGGACACGACTGTTGGGATCCTCGTGAAGTGGGAAATAACCTCTATAACGACATCAGTTTGAGTCAATTGACAAATCTAGATAATTTTGTCTTACCCAGGCAGATCACCTCTGGCTGATAAGGGCTCGGGCGGAGTACGGGTAGGAGCGGAGGTGAAACGCTTCAACTGAGGCAGATCGATAGCTATAGGCCGAGCGTGACTGCGGCTGCGAGGGGTTGAGGGAGCAGATGGAGTGCCAGGCGCAGATCGAACACGGTCATCTGCAGGGGGAACATGTAAGTAAATAACTTATGGAGAGTAAAAGGGGGGCGAATGGCTGGTGAAGATGGCCCATGACAACAAGATCGAAAACAGGACAATGAGGTATAGAAAGAGGGATATAAGAACTATTTTGATCAAAAGCCGGTAGTGCAGGCGTCACTCAACGGCCAACCCCGGGATGAGAGATGGGGCCGCTACCCCGCGATGGCTGGGCTTGATTGTGGGGAGATGCCAGTAGCGCGAAGCATGGCCATTTCTTCCGAACTGCATTGACTCAGAAATGGCTAAACTGAGGAAAACATGGGCATATGATTGAGGGGATAGGGAAACACGAGCGAAGATCCAAGAGGTAGGATGCAAAACGAAGGACAAGCATGACAAGCTAACCAAGAAATGTTGACTCGGTGTTGTTTATTGTGGATGGGAAAATGGACATGGGAATGTGAGATGTCTAAGACGGGAGGTGCGGGAGCCTCCCGAGACCTCAATCCCGCCCCGCGTTTCGCGCCAGTCAATTGTCGGATGCATCATTGGTTACTCGAACAACCTGAGTTGCGCCGATAGGGATATGGATGCATCGCGCCGTACGGTGGTAGTGTGGTAGCGGGTCTTGAATTCGACCTCCTAACGACGAACGCCCCCTTCCCCCCACAGCTTGCATCGATTCGTTGTATAGTTGGCTAACGGTGCGCAAGTAGAGCTCACACCATGTGTCAGGGTTTCCTGGGTCCGTTGAGGGGTCATTGTGGCGTTTGACCAGTTTGCACGCAGAACGTGTCTCGCGTCAGAGATTTTTGGTTGATGCCAGGTGCCGGGTCGAGCAATGCCACCCTCCGTCCGGGGTCATCGGCCGGAGATGGCCCCGATGTTGGGCCGTAAAGGGTTTGAGACCACTCACTTGAGGGCAGGTAGTGGAAGATCAATGGAAAGGTGGGGTGGGCAGGCAATCAAAAGACAAACACGCATTCCAGTTGTTCCACACAATGCTTACCTGCAAAATACGAAGTGCGAGAGCCGATGTCTTCACCATCGAAGAATCCGTCTCGTCCTCCGCCTGGCCTCGAGTGTGAAATCGTCGGGGTATTGCATCCGGAGAGGTTTAAGTCGCCAAGCTCGTCGGATCGAGGGCTATGAGGAGAGTTGTTGGCGGAAAGATCGGAATTGGTGGACATGGTGCGCCCCGACATGGAAGGCCGCAGTCGGGGCGACATGTAGGGGGACTTGATAGATCTGGCGAAGCTGGCCATCTTATCGCAATCGTGAGTCGATGTCGAAAGGTTGAATTTCTGAATTTTCGGGTTTGGGATGTTCGCTTGGTTGGTCAGACAGCCCGAGTCGTGGAGCAAGCGCCAACGCCGGTGCATATATGAATGGGGTTTGAAAGACCTGGGTTGTTCGAGTGGACAATATTGAGGCTCGCGCGCACTTGGGGGAGGACGACAGTCGGAGGTTGATAATTAACAGCGAGGGGCAGTCGGTGTAGCAAATGATGGGATAGCCAAGGAATGTCCGCGGAGTCACAAATGCAAGAGAGAAGAAACTCAAGCAGCTGGCTGGAATTGAAGAATATGGTGGCAGCGTCAGATGTAAAAGGCAGACAGACAGACACAGAGGTTCAGCAGTAAGGAAGGTCAGAGATGAGAAGTGATGAGAGAGGTATGGATGGATGCCTATTCGGGCGAGAAATGAAGATCGAAGGGTTCTGAAACGGTTTTGTTATCGCAAGCGAGTCACTCTGATCTTGCCTCTCTCCCGTTCCTTCCATGCCAACCACCAAAAACCAAAAAGTGGGAATATCGAATGGCTTCCGCTAATCATGTCTAGAGAGTCTCAACCTGGAAGCGAGGAACGTCGGGACGAGGAGCCAAAAAAGCGCCATAGTCCAGGGCAAGACGAGGTTTGGTGGACCACTACAACCTTCTACGGCATGCTCTATGGCTGCATCTCCGACGCCAGAGCCCGCTTTTTAAGTACCACGTCAGAATCGCAACATGCACGCAGGATTTTGGCAGGTATCTCGCTAGACTGATGAGGGATTAGTTGGGAGAGATGACCCTTGATTTATACCTTGTTCCATGCGCCGTGCCTGTACATTCGCCAAGGAATACCTGCGGGACGACCCTGTAGACCATCACAAGCCACCAACGCAAACAAAGAATACCCAAGCGCAGATTGTTGAGACAAAGAGTCAGATGAAAGAGACGATGCCTGCTGAAGGACGAATGAAAGCCCTCCGTGAGTGTTACAAGCCACGCAACTGACTAGAATACAGATAATCCCCGAGATATGCTGTAGGGACCCTTTGAAAACCGTCCACGGATGCGTTTGGTCAATGACGATGTTTCGCGGCGCGCCACCCGACTCCGCGATAATATTTCGATTCCCAAGCCCAAGTTTTAGGGCACCAACTGTCGCTTTGTGGAGAGACAAATTTGAGCAAGGTCCCTTGTAAATATTCATGGTGCATTAAGCAAAGTGTGATGAATAAAAAAACGGGAACTTGTGATGGTATTTGCTCACAATCCGCATTATGGATATTTGCAATCTTGCTCAGGTATCTTTGACCCGCATCATTATTACGGATGTCTTTTTCGCAAAATATTCAATGCGAGCGGTCAAAGGTTTTCGCTTCAAGTGTGTTCAAATATCCCACGTGCAATTTCTCATGGTTTAACTTACCGCCTACGAGGGCTAGGATCAACACGATGATCCTTTCAGTACAGGTGCCCAAGTTCAAGTTGCATTGCCAAGCTCTCTAATACGGAGTACGGATACCAGAATCTCAGTCAACAAAAGAACTGACATGAGCAGCGCATGCTTGCAGCTCTAGGTAGCAAGCGGCCCCCACTTGAAGCTTCCCAGCATATCTGATCGACGTCATAGCGTCGAGGAGAAGTGATTTGGCCCGCTCGCAAGCGCCGCTCGGCTTCGCTCATGGAAAATCATCCTCCCTCCAGAGCCCAAGCGGGACGAAAACTGCAGAAGCTCCAAGCACCAAGCGGTAGAGTAGCAGAAGCAGCCACTCAAACGTCGGACCCTTGAAAGGACCCTTTCCCTTTGGAAACCGTCATCATCACATCACTTCAAAATATTAGGGGCAAAACTTGTCCTCCATGATCGACGTTTATGCCCCTCTTTTGTTCTGTTTTCTAGTTTGCTGGCTGGCTGGTCATCCTGCGCCGCCATGGTGCGATATCAACATTGCGGCGCAAGATTTTGTCTCTCAGGGTACGAGGGTTTCATCCTGGGGGGTTATCACTTGTCTTGGCGCAAACGGTGTTGGTGGGCCTCTGGTTTTGTGTAATAATCGTGGGATTGGTAACCACATATTACACGCAAATGTAACTTATGGTGGCTGTCCATTGGGTGGGCAGGTTTCAGTAAAGCACAAGCCATTGATAGATCTAGAGACACCATCTCACAATGTGTTGCACGCCTCACGGGAGGCTGCAGCAGTTGGTTGCATTACTAAAGTGCGATACTCTGATTTAGTTGGTAACGATGGAATTAAGTTCAATACGGCTATTAGTGTTTCAGGAACAGGCCAGTCTCTCGTAAAAAACAATAAAGAGCAAAGCAAACAATGGTATCAGAATCATATCCCATAACGCAACACACTACCAACCCGACCAGCGGGCTACGCATTACCACTGCTTCATATCTTTCCCCACTGTGAGTTACATCTTGTGTGTAACCACATTTCATAATCCTTCTCTTCGTAAGGGATTGTTGATCCGCACATATGAATTTGATTAGACGTGGGCGCGACCAGTAAAGCGGGATCGGGTGTCACGGTGCTTCCACCAGTATCCCAAGGCCGCCAATGTAGCAATGAGCCAAAGAAGGGCGCTGGCAAGATCGACCCAAACAGCGTTCTTCATGCGTCTGACGCCTTCGTCGCCTTCGGCATCTTCACTGATGTACATCTGCAGGTGTGATGGTCAGCCAACAATGTCATTGATCGGCTACGGTAGGCCACTTGGTGAGCAAAACGTACCTTGCCAAAGACGCCAAAGAGGGCGATCCAGAGGACAAACAGAATAAAGTCCCATATCGCGACGGCAAATCCAGCGATGCGCAGGATGAAGGGAACAAAGTAGAGCACGCATGTCACGGCTGAGATACTACCCACAACCACGGCGTAGACCTATACATTGGCACCTGTATCAGTACTGTATTGCACATTGACGCACTGCTGCACGTTGAACAACTTCCACTCACCCATTTAGAGTCGGAGTATTTGCCCTGTTGGTTTGCGTGATCAATATCGGTGCCATACAGACCACATGTGGCCAGCGCCAACGCGAAGCAGAATAGGTGGATGACAGAAAACACCACGTAGCTGATAGCCAGATCCTTGATACCCATCGTTGCTGTGTTGCGTCGGCAGTTCAAAGTAGAAGCGTTAGGGAGTTTCACGACAAGAAGATTGCCGATATGAGGTTATCTTGGTCGAAGCGGGCCGTTGTCGTTGAATTGGACTTGCGAGAGAAGGGGTATCGTGGGTTTTTGATTAAATTAAAGATGAGTCTGCTGCAGAACGTCACTTGGTGCTTTAAGGTTAACGGGGTATGCCAGAGATTTGCCTTGGCACAGAGCAAAGTGCAGACCGCTGGTTAATCAATAAATTAGCTAGGGGAAGCCTCTGCCGTCATGACTACGGTCAACGCGAGATCATCTGAAAACCTAACAAAAATTCATTTACCCTTGGAAATTGTCTTGATTCACTAACATGACCTATGACGTATGTTAAAGCAAGCTTGTTTTAGTCGCCTTGTGACCCCTGACGCTCCATTGCTCTTGTGTCAGAGTCACTGTCGGATTATCTTACCTCCGTTGTCGGAAGTTATGCCCCGATGACAACCGTATCGTTCTACTAAGACAATTGCAAGCCGTTAGTGAATGAGAATGAGATGAGAATTACATGTTTGGCTTATGCTTTACCTTTCGATGACTCTGACTTTTTTGATGGCCATATGCTCGAGCACTAACTTGTTATGACGGGTTATGCTGTTCCGCATTCCCGTCTCGTTCGCCCTATGACCACCTTGAAAATGAACCACGAGATACCCATCCCAAGGATCACTCATCTGTGGTTTATGGCAAAGTCTTGCTAGCTTTATTGTGTGCTTCACCTGTAAGTTAGGGCGGATAGTCAAAGAAAGGGATTTCCAACTTTAAGGCTGTTCTGAGGATTTGTCAGTTCGGCGTCATTGATGGCGTCTTGCGACAGTCCCATTCGCGACAAACCGGTATACCAAGACAGCTGTGAGACATGGTTGAGATGAAATTGCAAGCCTTGAAGAACACTGCGGATTAACGTTGCTTTCCAGTTGGTGTTGTGGATATTGCGTCTACGGAAATGAATCTAACCAAGTCGCCATTCATGACTTGTAAAAACGGAGCCAATGCGGCCTACAAAGTCTAACGAGAGTAAACCGGTTGTTTGTTCGGAAGTTTGATATGTAAAATACAAACCTTCCGCTTTATTCAAACATAAGCTTTAACATTCATGGGTTTGTTGTTGAAATATTGAACTGTAAGTTGTTGTGGATAGGGTAGCTTCGGGCCCAGAGACGTAGCCAATCAAATAGTACAGGCCATACTACCTCGGTACCCACGCTCTTGAACAACGAAATCACGAGTATCTGTAACACAACGGTATCCCACACTTGCGACAGTTATTTACGGTAGATTGGAATAATTTGGTCAATGCGAAGTAAGAATATGCGAAATTCACATTGAAAATGCACAAAGTCGCATTACTTTTTGGAGCAGCTTGCACTAAGCCTCAGCTGCGATTGGCCAAAAACTATGTTCAGGAGGCTGTGTAACCAGTTGCCAGTTTCAGCCCACCAACTTATCCAACACGTTTTGAGTCACATGAACGTGAGCCTCCGCAGAGCCGCATGCAGAGCCGCATGAGTTAATGAAGGAACAATTTGTCTAAGAAACCCCTGAAACGTGAGGCGAATTTATAGGGTCCAGTTACGAGGTTGTTGGTATAACAGACTACTATAAGCCCGCCCATAACTACACGCTCTTGAGGCACAGTCTAGTGTTTAACATCGCCTCAGCGTACTAAGCTTTATGTTAACACGACTATGACTCCGCTGCCATTGCCCCGTTCATAGCAAGCAAGTGAAGTGTTACGCAGTTTCGCAAGACGAAAGATCTAAAGGTTCAGTAGAAGGGGCTATGCTTCGATCGCCTCGGAGCAATCCGTCTAGACGCCCCTACTTTCATCCTGTCAACTATGCATCGTAGCCAAACAATGATAGTAACTATTTGGCTCGAGGGTCCACTGGCACTAAACAAACTCGCTTTCAAGCAAAAAAGCATCGCAAGGGGCACTGTTATTGTTGTCTTGGGAGTTTATCCCCGTGTGCTCACCGAATTTGACAATGCCGTCAGTTAATCCCCGTCAACTGCATTGTAGTTTTCCATGCTATGTCACATAATGATCAGTAAAGTACACTCGAGGATAGTCCAATCTTATATAAAGTAAGAACCTCTCAAAGGATTTAGGATCTCGTCGCTCATCAGACTTGCTTCACACAATTAGCTACCTTACACAACACGCAACACTCCTCTTTAAGAGACTCTCTTAAACATCAAAGACTCCAAACTCAACAAGCCAACCGCAATGGCCGCCGATAGCTTGTATGTTGGCTGCTTAAGCCCTAGCTTGCTATGTTTGCTAACAAGACATAGCTCCAACAACTACTCTGGCGAGCACCGACGCCAGCCTATCCTCTCTCAGAGTTCACACAAATGGATCTGTGTAAGTGAAAACTAAATACATCTCAGTCTGTTGCCTCTAATTCCATGCTGACTTATCCAAGTGTAATTGTGGCCAGGGATGGTTTAACGTTCACACAGACCTTTTGTGTCCTTCATGCCAGATTCAGCGATGTGGGTGCTGCACCTATGGCTAGACCAAGAAACAGGACCAAGAACGATGCATCGAGTTTATGATATGTCCCCTGCAGAACTGGGAAAATGGAGTCAAATTCATCAGCAGAGCATGGATGGAATTGATGCATTCGCATTTGATGCTGGAGGACTTTTGTGTTTGGCTTGTTTGTTTAGATTCCCTTGACTACCAAAACGACTAGAACGAGGCCCACGCCTAGATTGTTATAGAAAATCCAACTGTTTACTCTCTTTATTAATACCCTCACAAATGCTTGCCTATTGCCAGGGTCGGTCCATGCATGGCAGGTATACTTAAAGAGCTGTGATGTCGACCGTCGATCTGTTCTGTGATACCAAGTCTCTGATTCGTAACTTACACTCAACTTCTTTAATCAAGAAGAACGACATCGCCACGTCTAAAGTGTAGACGCTTCCAGACCCGACTTACACCAGCCCCTGTACCGAGGCATGTTGGTTAATATCGCCCCACTCCTCTGACCGCACCTCTTCATCCCCGCGGTGCCGTATCTGGTTCGTTCTCGGCTTCTTCAACATACAACATCTCGCTATTAATATTTAATTCGAATACAATTAAGTCATGGCAGATCTCGGACCTCCTTTCCTCCCTGTCTCTGGGCTCCCCAACTTTCGGGATCTTGGAGGTCGCCCTCATCCCATCCCGTCCCGCCCCGGCTACACTATCAAGTCTGGTCTCGTCTTCCGTTCAGCAGAACCGTCCCGACTCACTGAAGATGGCGTCTCGGCCCTGCAGAACCTCAAGATCTCGCACGTCTATGATCTACGCTCCCGCACGGAAATTCAGCGTTACGCCACAGGCACTCGCGAATGGCCCGGTGCTGAACGGGTCTTTACTCCGGTATTCTTGGATAAGGATTACGGTCCCGAGGCCATTGCGCTGCGCTTCCAGAATTATACAGCTGAAGGTAGTCAGGGCTTCGTCAAGGCCTACCAAGATATCTGGGAGACAGGAACGGGTTCCATCAACACCATCCTCTCACACCTAGCTAAGCCGGATCCTTCGCCTTTACTCATCCATTGCACTGCAGGCAAAGACAGAACTGGAGTGATCTGTGCCTTCATCCTGTCGATATGCGGCGTGGACGACCAGACAATCGCTCGCGAGTACAGCTTAACGGAGGTTGGGCTTGGAGACTTTCGAGAGGAGCTTCTCGCTGCTGTTATGAAGAGTCCTGAACTAAAAGCGAATCCTGAAGGCGCCAGACGATTGCTTGGAGCAAAACCTGAGAATATGCTGGCTGCCCTGAAAGCCTTTCGAGAACAGCACGACTCTGTAGAGCAGTATGTTGTAAAGAGCTGTGGGCTCTCAGAAGACGATCTCGAGCAGATTAGAAAGAACTTGATCGTACCTAACACAACTAATTAGTAGTAGTCTTGATGATAAGCATAGGGCAAGCTCCCAAGTTCGCAGGAATGTCAACATCCAAGCTTAGATAGTGACCTTTGCAACGTCAATAGAAACTCAATGGTCCCTCTCCAGACATCATCACCGAATGCAATATCACATATAATAAAAGCAAGCGCTGTTGTTCTTTGGACGATTTGTGGTCCATGTCTAATTAGTATGTGACTTTATACATGGCGTTGGTATTCATATTGTACAGTTGCGCCTCTTGAAAACCACCCATATCCCGCATATAATCATACACTTCAAGGTACCGACGTAGGAATCTTGACCAGACCACGCTTGCGGTCCTCGAAAGGAGCACCATACCGCCATCCAGTTCCCCTTCTTGACCGACCATCACGTCCAACATCATCGACGTTGATCTCCTTAAATCGGAACTCGTAACGGTCCGTCTTGACTCGCTTTGTCTGTGCCTCCTCGCGCTTACGCTCCTCCAATATCTTCTTCGCGACTCTGTCCTCATCACTTTGTGTCACCTGTCGGAACTTGGTCAAGGCCTCTTGGCGTGGAGAACCCTTAATGATTTCTCGCTCCATCTTGATCAGCTCGGGTTGAGGCGATCGTTGATCGGCAGAAAGCATCTTATCATGGAATGCCTTAGCGGCATCTTCTCGTGTAAAGTGTCGAGATTCTGAAACGGGCTCGAACAATTGTTGCATAGTAAGATTGTGTACATGAATCTCATTGATGGGCTCATGCTGCACATTCTCAGCACCTTCCTCGTAGTATGTTTTGGGAAGCATCTTCATGACTGCCCTGGCATAGGGTGTTGCTAGTGGCTTGCCCTTGAAGTATGTTAGCATTACTATAGACGCAAAGTAAAGAAACGCAAGCCTCATGTTGCAAAATGCTATCAGAGTATACAAATGTATAACCATGTATGTGTCTTCAAGACTAATCGAAAATTTTGTTTGGTCTCATCATATAGCAGGGCAACATTGGGAATGATTGGTGATTGTACTTACTTCGGCTTTCCATTGATTCTCAACCTCCTTCAACCGCACGACAGCAGCAACTCTCCTCACGTCGACGTGCATTTCAGCAGACACCGCCTTGAGGGATTCCCCCCTTCGCGTCACCTTATCGTAGATGGACTCTCGTGTGGAATCGGCGAGCACGGGCTGACTTCGGAACAAGGGGTTGAGAGGGAAAGGCTGATCTTGGTGAGGACCCAGGTAGTTGGGACTATTGCCAGGCTCGGCAAGATTCCTTCCACTACCAGAGTTCAACCACTCAAACATCCTCGCACGACCCTTGCTCATCTTCTCGCGGCATGGTGTTGTCGAGAAGGTTCTGAGGAACGGGGAGGATGTGCTCCTTGAGGAGATCGAGACGGCGGCATCGAGGCCAGCCAGCGGCGTCGATGCACCGCACACTCGAGGAGGCATGATTACAGCAGGTTCAGATATTCTCTGACTGTCTGCTGCATTACATGCGACCCAGGACCAATTGATTAGAACTGGTTGGATGTCAGGTCGGAAAAGGCTGAGCTTGTTTGGAGGTGTTTAATGTTGCTCGCCAAGTGCAGCAATTTTTCAGCCTTTCGGAATTTCTGATTCTCCGACGTCAAGCTGTCCACAAGACCCACATCGACGTTATTCACGAATACGCTATCCGGAAGGTTAACGATACACGTACGTACATAGTAAATCGTAATTAATGGTAGTGGAACTTGTGATAGGCTTTTTCACACAAGAAATTCAAACCCAAGTCCGTTCATCCCATACCTCTCGGTTCTCCTGTTATTCCTAGAAAGAAAGGCTGCAACGGCTCACGGCCTTGCTGTGCCGGCTTAAGCGGACTCGATCAATGCGAAGGCTGGACAAAAGATTTGTGTGTTTTAATTCAATCCCTCATGTCTATTAGAGAGCTTCGGCCATTAGAACTGCAGCAACTATGGTATTATAAACATTGGTATTCGTATGTATCTGTTACCTGCGCCATCATGCTTGCAACCATTACACAACTCCCTTATTACCCAGCTCCAACAACCAGCAAATGCAAAACATCAACCCTGCGCTGAAAACTATGGATAGCAAGTAGATAGGTCATTGAGACAGCTTGTGTTTGCTGCTGCCTCGGGAAGTATATCGAACCAGTAGGTCACCTTCGGTCGTTCTCCTCGTCCTGGACCAGCATTTTATACTTCTGGTGCCCATCACCAGCCAAGCTATTAACCAGGCTTGGTCATCGAGAGACGGTTTTTCTTCGACTTGGCCTTGGCTGCTGCAACTGCAGCTTTCTTGGCCGCCTCATTCTCCTCAGCCTCCTGTGAAATCTCCTTCCACTTACGCCAACCATCAAAGTCGATGAGAGCTTGCATGCAGCCCCATTCCATGACCTTGCGCTCCAACCAGACGAAGTTCACCGGCTACATCATGAATTAGTCATATATAGCAAAGTGTTAGAATAAAAACAAACGTACCTTGGTCAAGAAATCATTGCAACCGGCGGCCAGGGCTTCGTGACGGTCGCTTTGCAATGAGCTAGCAGTCAAAGCAACAATGATGACAGGGCTCTTGAATAGATCGGCGTTCTCAAGACGATCTTTATCGTCGATCTCATCTGGATTTTCTGTTGTTATTTCACCTTCTGGAGAAGATGAAAAGACACCAATGGAGTTGACCCGCTCTAATCTTCGGATCTCACGGGTCGCCTCAAGACCGTTCATGACTGGAAGCTGAATATCCATCAGCACCAAGTGGAAGCCTCCAGTTCTCCACTTCTTGACAGCATCACGGCCGTTCATGGCAGTTGACCATCGCACTTTGAGGCGCTTGACGAAAGCCTCCAAGAGCTTCAGGTTGATTGGGTTGTCTTCAACGATCAGAACGTTGATAGGAGGTACACCGCCGTTGAGCATGCCCGGTGGTAGGTTGGGATGTTCAGCCTTTTTGCTTTTCTTGCTTTTCACCGTGGGTCGAGGTGAGGCTGGTCTGACCGGAGGCGTTGCGATGCGTACTGCAGAAGGCTCCGGGGCGGGCGGCGTCGGTAATGGAGGGGCAGTAGGCGGCATACCAGGAGCATCTGAAGAGTTTGAATGAGTCCGTGAATGTGGTAGCCTCGGGTTGAAGTGTTGCGTACCGTGGTTCGCATGATTCGCGGCGGCGGCAGCGGCTAATGACACAGATGATCCGTTGGCTAACAGCGTAGGGGACGATGTGTGAGTTCGGCCCAATCTTGGACGGTCCGGGCGATCTCTGTAGGCGCGTGATCTACCCGGGGACGGGATAGGAGGAATATGGCCAGTCCCTAAAACGGCAATCGAGTGCGCAGTTTGGGGATTAATATGCGCCGGGACTACCACTGGAAGATGAGGTGAGCCGACAGCACCACCGTGAGGACCAACTGAAGGAGGAAAGTAGCCATCGCTTGTTTCGGTAGGCCGACCGTCCTCGTTATAATAGACGTTGCCGACATACGCTGGCACGGCGGGACGGGGGGAAGCTTTGGGCGCACGGCGCGGTATATCGATCACCAAGGCTTCTTCAACGGTTTGGCCACCTGGATAATAAGCGTCAAGGGTTCGTCCCATAGGCTCCTCGGGGTTCAGGATACGTTCTTGATGTTGATCTCGAGGAACAATGCGGATATTAATATCGGGAGAATCGAAGCTTCGACCAAGCGAGTTTGAATATTTGCGGAGAATCATATCGCGAACATCGTCGACGAGATCATCTTCGTTGACTGTAACCAGAGTTGGTGAGGCATGAGGTCGTTTGACCCAGATCTTACGGTTCACCATGTTGGCGTTGATGGGCGCGTAGGTACTGGAATTAGTGTATCCAGGCTCGTTTGTGGTCGGGTTCGAAAGGAGTGTGTTGATTAAGGACGTTTGACGGTTTGACAATAAGCTCTGTCGTCTGGGCGGCAGACCTGGTCGAGGTGTTGGCGACCCAGGGATTGAGAGAGTTGCTGACTGTGGAAGGCCAGGAGATGGAGCGACGAATATCGTCGAAGTTGCCGCAGCCAAAGGCGCAAAAGCGGCAGATTTGGGAGAGTTAGGAGCTTGATCTGGACTCAACGAGTCGTCGTCATTGTGTCCAGCAAGCTCAGGAGCTGCGTCCAAATCTAGACTCGCAACCGCTTTGGGGCGCGCAGTAGTCGATTTTGGTGCTGTGTCGTGCGCGTGTTCGTGAATACGGTCGAGATGTGAGCTTGCCTGGCGCTGTCGCGATGGAGACGGCTGTTCGGATGGGTAGAGTGAAGGAGAGATCAACGGTGGTGGATGAGTTTGAAGTCGAAGTTGTGGTGGATGCAGATCGCTGCCGAGCGGAGGTTGGTCGCTAGAGCTAGTGGCGGTTGTAGCAGGTTCTTCGCCGAGGCCCTGTTGGTCTATAGGCGGAGCCGGCTGTTTCAGTGCTGCGTCGCCCACTGTGGGATGGTTGTTAGCGGATGGGACCGCTGCATCATCAGCGTTTATTTCCGAGGACGTCTTTGCGGGCGAGTCTGAACTCGAATTTGAGTTTGTTGCTTCTGAAACTCCGCGAGAAAAGTTGATTTTTGCAAAATCATCGCTATCTTCTCGTTGTCGATGCGAGCTATCGGGCGTCGCGATCATACCACGTCGGCTACTGACGGTGCCCCTCGAATTACTTACGGCACGCCGAGACGACCGATCCCCATCCCCATTCTGGCGAGTTCGATCACGATCATGGTCCCATAAGTGACGGCTTCCGAGCGACGACGCGGTATCTGTGGCGCTATGATTTGAAGAAGCTTGCGAGCCTGTTGTCGAGTGCCTTCGTTTTGTAAACTTGGCTCGAAGGCGCGAGGCAATATCTGAAGCTCCCATTAGATCGACATGGGGATCCTATGTTGGCAGGACGCGGCCGGGACGTGGAGTCGGAAGCTTCAAGGTGAAATCGGGTACCAGGGAGAGTAAGACAACAATCGATCCGATCGTTGGCGAAAAGATTGTAGGAAGAAATAAACAAGACAAAAAAGAGGAAGTAATGAGAGAGAGCAAATGAGTGACGACAGTAAAAATGCAGATAAAATCGGTACCCAGTCTCGCAATGTTGTCGACGACGAGCAAAGCTACTCGAGCAGGGTATCAAAGCGAGGCTGTTAGGGATTAAAAAAGGGGAATAAAGAAATCGACGATCCACTGACGGGAGCCAAAGTCGAGGAGAAGAAGATACAGAAGAAGAAGAAGATATGCTTGTGAACTGGATATCACAGAAGCAGAAAATGATTTCCAAGGGGGGTAGATCCGCTGTTGCAGTGTCGATGAGATTCAAAGCTTCCCCCTCGGATATCATCCAAGCAAGCTTTGGGCTCGCCGCTCATGCTCAGGCTCAATATGGCCGCGATTGCGTGGGTAATTTCGGCCGAGTCAGCGCTGCCCTGGAAGTTGTACAATGCACAGCGCATTGCACCCATCCAGAACCGTTACATCCATTCAAAGACCACCCGAGCGTCCCCATCAGACAGGGGTAACCCAAGTCAAGACGACTTAATTCCCGTCCCAGCTCCATCGTATCATGTGTCAAAATATTCTCGACGTGGGCTCTGGAGCGTGTTCAGAGTTCTTTAAGATGGGACCCCGGTCGATTGATGCTTGAAGCTGATAGTTAAACACTGATTGTCGGTCAGTCTGTCGTCCACGTCGAAAACCGCCAGTTGTCTGAGACAGACAGACATAAAGTCGTCTCTTTCCATGATTCCACTTTCGACTTTATGTCACATCTCATGCTGCAACACGCTCAAAAGCCGACAGCCCTGCGCCGCTTGTGTTTCTCTAGTTAGCATGACATGACCCGTAGCTTCGGCATCATACAAAATGCTCGCTATGCATACTGGTTGGCGAATTGGTTCCGCACTATTGTTTTATAGTGTTGCTAGTGTGTTGGTCTCTGATACTGATGTCTATTTGGTTCAAGTCTGCCAATTATGGTCAGATACTATTTGCTAAGAGTTACCGTATGCAAATATGATTCTCCGATTAGTTCGTTCCGCTCCAAACAGTTACACATTCCAAAGCCGAAGTAGAAGAAAAGACAAACATGCTAATTGCGCAAGCCAGTACGTATTCTCCCCATGATATGGAATACTTGGGGAGGTTAGAGGCAATCTTGACTTCGAGATCGATCTCAACGGTGATTACGAGAAGTGGAACCTCATTAGGTAGGAACGGGCCACAACATAAGGTAGCTCTAGCAAGCTGACATAATTCATAACGCATTGCGTCGCCGCAAGTGTACACTAACCTTTGTGTCAAGCATCACCACTATCACTTTACGTCCATTATTACTATCCACAACAATAGTAGCCACATTGCTGGTCGTCACAGGCACTTCTTCATGGCCCCTATAATACCTCCAGGCGAGCGACAGCCTGATAAGCCTGTCCCTCGTGTGCCCAAATCGCCATCTCGAGCTGCACAGATTCAAGCGCAGAACAGACGGCGAGAATGTCTCGCTCGTCGTCCATCCTACTTTGAGAACCTAGAGCACGAGCTCGCTGGTAATGCCGTACAATTCGACTGTCCCTAACTCTCACCCTGACTTCGTACCCAGATCCTGTATTGTATGAGCGGCTGGTGAAGAGGTTTCAGACGCCCTCGGAACGTGAGGCCGAGGGCAAAGCAAAAGGCTATGGCAGGACCCTCGAGGCCGACTTGCAACGAGGAGAACTCAAACTCTCGCGGCTCAAGGAAGGCGATGTCGAAGGCGTAGAGAACCCTACTGGTGACCTTGAGCACCCATGGGAGAAGCCAGCCTCTGACAAGGCTCACGGACTGCTCTTATGGCATGCGTTCCTTGAAGAGCGCTTCGTCCATGGTTTAGACGAGGACTTTGACTATAAACCCATCGATGCGGATGAGGACCTCGATACCATGCTCAGGCGAGACGCTCAAGATGCATGGTTCGATGACGAAGAACCGAGCTGGATAGACGAGGAAGCAGCATCAGCACGCTCAACGGCACGTCAAGGTGAAACTGGAGTCCAAGACTTTTAGATCCGCAATATCTCGTCCGACCCCATTCGAACGTCAATCAACCTGGGCCTGGCCATCTCAGACCCTCTCTATTTTAGCCAACGAATGACACGTCAAAAATGACGATTCCATGAGCCGTAGGACATTGCCACCTACCCTGAAGCTAGCTGAACCATGCATTTTTGACGTGCCCAGTGCCGGCATTTTACAGCATTCTGCCTAAATACAATGACGGCGTCGCATAGGCAAAGTGGTGCTACACATAGCGGAAAACATATGGCCAACTACACCATTTCTCACGACATTCTGGTAAAATGACCTAGAAGAGCTTTTCGCCTCAAAGCAACTACTTTAATCACCGCCGGCTAAAGGAATTGTCTCCCATCACATCAACCAATATTATCCAACCCCTGGCATTCACTTTTGCCTCAGTGCTTGGCTTCCATTCTTTACTCAATGATAAGTTGTGGAACTCAACCCGGGTAATTGGGTGGACTGACTGGTTAAATGAACCGCGATAAAGTATCAAGTCATGTTCACAACTAACGCGGGGTTAATTATCCATTCTCATATAGCAGTTCTCATTTAAATATCAATGATCGCTCTCTTTATTCAGTGACTTTTGACCATTAGTCTCAATCAGAACAAAACAACACATCTCATTCAAACTCACACATCATGGCGCCCCTCATCACAACCGTATACAGCGCCGACCCTTCAGCCCACGTCTTCAATGGCAAGGTCTACATCTACCCTTCTCACGATCGTGAGACCGACATCAAGTTTAACGACAACGGTGACCAGTACGACATGGCTGACTACCATGTCTTCAGCACTGACAGCCTCTCCCCACCTGGCGAGGTCGTCGACCATGGTGTCGTCTTGAAGACAGAAGATATCCCCTGGGTATCCAAACAGCTCTGGGCACCCGATGCCGCCGAGAAGAATGGAAAGTACTACCTGTACTTCCCAGCACGCGATAAGAAGGGAATCTTCCGCATTGGCGTTGCAGTTGGCGACAAGCCTGAGGGGCCTTTCACCCCAGACCCAGAGCCCATCAAGGGAAGCTACAGTATTGATCCAGCAAGCTTTGTGGACGACGATGGACAGGGCTACCTGTACTTCGGAGGTCTTTGGGGTGGACAATTGCAGTGCTACCAGAAGGGCAATGACATCTTCGATGCCGAGTGGCAGGGTCCCAAGGAGGTCAGCGGCGAGGGTGTGCCCGCTCAAGGACCCAGGGTGGCCAAGCTCACCGATGACATGCACCAGTTCTCAGACGAAGTCCAGGAAATTCAGATCCTCGACCCAGAGACTGGCAAGATCATTCTGGGAGATGACCACGACCGACGCTTCTTTGAGGCTGCCTGGATGCACAAGAAAGATGGCAAATACTACTTCTCGTACTCAACAGGCGACACACACTTCCTCTGCTACGCTACAGGCGATAGCCCTCTTGGCCCCTTTACCTACGGTGGACGTATTTTGGAGCCTGTGCTTGGCTGGACAACACATCACTCTATTGTTGAGTTCAAGGGCAAGACATATCTGTTCTACCACGATTGCGAGTTGAGCAAGGGTGTTGACCACTTGAGGTCTGTTAAGGCCAAGGAGATCTTTTACGACGATGATGGCAAAATAATCACAACTACATCGGACTAGACGCTTATGACCATTGATTGCATCAACGAATAAATAGAAATTGTCGTAAACAACATAAATAAATTCCAAATTCTGCTAACACATCTCTGTCATGAACTACCCATTTGAAAGTACAACCTCTTCATATACATATCGTTACTCATCAGCATCAACATCAATATGTCACTCATACAACCCCGAGCCGAAGCTTGTTCAGAGCCTCTTCGTACCTGGCTGGATTATGGTCAATCAGCATACTTGTGCCGAACCTTAACTCCTTGAAGCGCTCCTCGACATCCTTGACGTATTTTAGTACAATCCTTTGCGCCGGCCTGCCGATATGGTCTTCTTCAGGTAGCAAAAATGCATCGCGCCTCAAAACTCGTTGAGTCTCTATTGTGAATACTTCCCCAGGAGGCACAAGTTTTCGATTTGTCATGCCAGCCCTCAGACCTTGCAGGACTGAGTGACCCCATTTGGACGTATCTCCAGAAGGAACCGAGGGCAAACCACCATACCATTTGTCTGCCACACCAGTCTGGAAGGATTGCCATATCCGCTGACGGATTTCCGCTTTGGCCTGTTGCTGATCGTTCTTGAAAGCAAGCGCGACGGCCTGAAAGTCGTGTAAAACTCCCAATGAAAGGTAAGGAACAATGTCGTTTCCATGAACGACAGTAGTGATGAGGCCACGAGTTCGCTTACGAAGAGAAGCTGACATTGTGCTGGGAGGCCCATATGCATAAACATGAATGGGCCGCCTTGATGGTAGAGAAGAATGAACAGGGCGAAGGCCGTCAGATTGATCGTCACCGACTGTTATTTCTGGAGCACAAATGGCTGTTACGAAACCGGTTCCAGTTGGATTCGGCTCAGAAAGCATCACCCCGAGTAGTGCCGTGACCGCACCGCCCAGAGAATGACCACAAAGAACAAGTCCGTAATCAGGAAATTCGAGCAGTGCCTCCCGGAGAGTCAGCAACACACGCCTATCACCACCATATAGAAGTCGGCGAGCTGAAGCATGGACGCCCTTATGTACTTTATGGCCTCGACCACGCCAAGTCAAGGTGTCGTAGTCACAGGTCATATCAGCCAGGACATCCTCAAAACCCAGGGTTCCTCGACAAGCAAGCACAACCGCTTTGGCATCATGATCCAAGGAGATGTAGTGCACTAAAGGCACACCGGTCCCTGTTGAGCCACTTGAATCTGTTCCTCCTTGGGGATCAACGATGGAGGCAAGGAGAATGCTGTGCGTATCGGACTCAGTGTGGTGAACAAAATGTCTGACGTCTGTATGGGTGCTATCCCAAGCTCTCAACAATGGCATATCTTTGGAGATCCCCATGAACTTGAGAAATGCTGATCCATATGACGCAGATGAGAACCGCATGTACCTTGTAATGTTGCTAAGCACGTGGCCTTGAGGGAAGATTCCATTTACTATGCCATCACGTCGAAGTCCCCCAAGTGCATCTGAAGCGGTATAGGCGCTCTTCTGGTGATAGTATGAGAGAACCACAGACGATTGTGAATCATTGGAAGCCAAACTCCAAAGACTTGGGCTTCTTCGGATAACCCTGCGGTGACTGACAGATATTTGTGAAGGTGCGAGAAGACTGTCATTCTGAGCTTGTTGAGCCCAAGGCGAATCAATCAACCCGCCGCTCAAGGAAACGCTAGAAGAATGGGCTGGCGACACATATCCGGAATGGACAGAATACATGTCTGTCTGAGATATCATGGAGTCTCGATGACGGTCGTGGATAGAGACATAACTTGTACGAGAAGAGTTGCGTGGGATGAGCTCTGCCTTCTCGATACGTTTCTGGTCTGTGGAAGAACGCGGGCTATGAATGGGTTTGTTGGCAGGCTTCGCAATGGTTGAGACTCTTGATTGCGGTCTTGGTTTGCCTTCAGGCGGCGGCGAATCCTTGCTCCAAATGTTGGAGATCGATTGACTGCCTTCTCGAAGAACTTGTCTGAGGCCTGTTTTTCTTTCATTCGACTGGCTGGGAGTAGTTGAAGAATCCCACTTCTTCTTAGATATGACTTTTTTGGGAGGTGTAGGGTTTTCACGCAAACCATTTGATTTGCTTCGGGTATGAGATGATGTGACGGGGGCTCGTGGTCTCTTCTGGTTTGCTTCACGTTGTGGGGTCTGAGGTTCTAGAGGTGAAGATGGTGGTGAGGTGGAGTTTCGTCGTGTGAACTTGCTCTTCTCATCCCGTGCCACACTGCTCCGAGGTTTCGCTGTGGCCTGCGGAGATGCCCGGGATGGCAGATCATTAGTACTCTGTACTGGCCTTGAGCGCTGTGGTGGAGGCGATTTGATACCCGCCGTGCCCGGTCTCTTGGGAAGAGGGGGAGGTTCTTTGGCTGGAACCTCTGGGGCCGAGTCCTCCTTCGATACATCGATGATAGAGGCTGTGGTGTCTCCTTGGAAAGACGTTTCTCCAGTCCTCGATCTCTCAAGTCTATATACAATACGATAGCTCGAGGCTTCAGGGCAGTCGTTCAAAATCTGGCTAGAGCGTTTGCTCACTTGAGTTCCTAATCCTGTAGTCTCAACGATCTCAGCGCCGGGTAGCAGAGGCAAAGGGAAAGGGTGAGGACCATCAACATCGATGGTGACAGTCTGTGTTGATGACACCACATTGGAGATAGAGACAGACGTGTCATGTGGAAGTTTCTTGACCATTTCATTTTTGAGTTGGTCGATGACTGATTCCTCCTCTTCGAATGATGTTGATTGAGAATTGCCAATGACTGCTGCTTGTAAATTGTCGGTGCTATTGTTTCTGGACGATGAACTTGTCGGGCTGGATGACCTCGTAAAGACAGAACTTCGAGGGATACGATCCTGAATGTCTACCCGCTCACCATCATTCAAAACAACAACATCCCAGATGATCTCCTCGCACTCTTGACGTTGTCTTTCCTCTTCGACCATTTTCCAAGAGTATCTTTGCAAGTACGCCAGAGCGCATAGTCCAAGAGCGAGGTCTGTCACACCAATAGTATCACCATGAAGCCCTGTTGCAGGATCATGAAACTCTCGTCGAATGAGTGTGATAATGCCTGCTATAGCTCTTGAAGAATCAGTTGAACCAAAGATCTGATCGAGTGAGGATAATAGTATTTGAGAAATCCCCGAGGCCATGGAGAAGGTCGTGCTCGTGAGGTTGAAGCCTGCACTTGTCCAAAAGACGGCCTGGGACATAGCATGATGTAGATGCTCGAAGCTCCTCTCGATGATGGATTCTGCTTCGGCAGTAGATATGTCGCTCTGGGATCTCGAAAGTGTTTCCCTTCCCGCTTGCCCTAGAACAGTTTCGACCATACTGCGAGCGAGCTCCAAAGATGACAATGTCGTAACTTTTGCAGCACTGAGGCCGAAGGAGCCAACCCTTGAGCTCAGACGAATAGCCATACATGTCGAGCGTGTTGCAAGGCTCACGGCTTGAGCGACTGGAGGGGGAAGCAGTGTGCGGCCTGGCTGTGGAGGAAGATCCTCGGCCGATATGATGCTTGAGCTATCCATGACGAGAATCTGTCATTGAGGCCCGATCGGGATTGTGTTAAGGAGCGGAAGAAGTATTTTGTCGGGAGATGGATCTAGATAACTCTCGTTGGAAGAAGTCTCGAGTATATATGTTCATAGAAGAGCAATAATGACCACGAGGTCCAGATGCTTTGGCTCAAGGTCGAGGTTGAGGCGGCTAAGTCCGTGAGTAGCGTAGTAAGTGAACCCCAACGTTGGCCAACTCGCCACCGTTAACATCAACACCAACACCAATTACATGGTCGGAATGTAAATAAGAGCGTGACAAAGGACTAATGGCATGTTGCCATGGATTTGGTTGGATGATATGAGATGATACAGGGGACAAGACTCAGACAGAAGGGATGACAGGACGTGAAACAGATTTGCATGTGATTGTAAGATGGAGAATCTGTACCTGCCAAGCCTGCTCTATAGATGCTTAAAATGCGCCCTGGCAGCCGATTCTGGCACGGTGTGTAAGTCGCTTCACGTGCTTCATGCTTTATCTTGGCCGGATAGGAAATTGATATAATAAGATTATAGCCGTGACCTCACCGAGTAAACATTCCTGTGTTGAACCCGGCCTGACATTTTGGTAGTATCAGGCATCGGTTGTGTGGAACATTCAATCTCTTGACACAACCCTTCATGCCTCGGAAGTGATAAGAGGATGACGGAGATTTCCAAGTCAATAACCGGCAATCGTACAGAGCAAACATAAGCCAGATTGCAGACAGAGTGAAATATTTGACCTGAATTGCAATGCACAGCTCGCTCTCTTCGCTTTGCGGAACATTGACAATTTCCGGAATTGAGACGCTCGCTCTCGTCCAATCACAACAAGGTCCTGGTTCCGTGGTCTAGTTGGTTATGGCATCTCGTTAACACCGAGAAGGTCCCCGATCCGGGCGGAACCTCTTTTTGTCCTTTCTTTTGTCCCTAACTCTCGACATTAACCATTAACTTGACCCCTCGGGATCGCCTTGAGGCTGTGTGTGACTCGCCGATACGACCCCTGAACGATAATGGAAAATGTCCCCCAATTATAGAACCTGTGGGGGGCACTAACAGAAGCGCAGGACAAGCTTAGCTTAAGGCTCCGCCCATTTGTTGGCTGAAAGTCTGAAACTGAAAAGGCCAACCTCCAGATCTGACATTGATAACCTCTCAACCATCTTACACTTATAAACTTGTCGCCTAGATTTTCTCTTTCCATTCCTCTACACAATTGCCTCCTTTTTGGTAAAGCCTATAGACATCTTTGTTGCGACAAAGCCAGTTCCTCACACCCCAACCCCTCGAAACCACCCCGCCAAAAACTCCCCCGCCAAATCGACACCGCCATGGCTCAAGACGGCATCTTCAGCGCCGACCTCCTCTCCCCCGAGGTCCAGGCTGTTCTGCCCGAGGGATACACTCTACGCGCTCTGCGCAAGTCCGACTTCAACAGCGGTTTCCTCGACTGCCTGCGCGTCTTGACCACCGTCGGCGATATCACTGAGGACGACTTCGTTAAGCAGTATGATAACATGGCCGCTGCTGGCAGCTACTACATCATCATCATTGAGGACACTTCGCGCACAGAGCGACCTGTTGTAGGAACTGGCGCTTTGATCACCGAGCGCAAGTTGTAAGTCGATTCTCCCTGCTATTCTACGGGCGACAACACTGACCATTTTCTTTACAGCATCCACAGCCTTGGCGCCGTCGGCCACATCGAGGACATCGCCGTCGCAAAGGACCAGCAGGGAAAGAAGCTTGGTCTCCGAATCATCCAAGCACTCGACCACGTCGCCGAGCAGGTCGGCTGCTACAAGAGCATCCTGGACTGCAGTGAGGCCAACGAGGGTTTCTACGTCAAGTGCGGCTTCCGACGAGCTGGTCTCCAGATGGCCCACTACTACGAGGGTGGCAAGGGTAAATCCCAGTGATTTCCTTACTTATATGACATTACGAAGTGTCTATGCGTACGCATGCACACATTTCTCTTTTTTGTATTTGTTAACTCAGTGCGTTGCACAGAGGCTAATGCGGTTTCGCATGGTGCAGGAAGCAAAATCTAAAGAAGATCCGATATCTAGGATTAGAGGGTAGAACTGATGACTGGGGAAAATAGACGGTATTTCTTGTACCTGGGGCTTACAAGAGCATAGCTTAGGCGTGAAGTCTTACACTCTTCCAAGAAAGAATTCCAGTGAGCTTCCCGCTGTGTAAGATGTCGTGCAACACGAGCCATCAGCTGAGTGAGGTTGCTTATTCGGCTTCCGATTCTTCTCAGCATAGGTATATTTGAGAGTGGCAAGTATCAAAATTGAAATGCTGCTAGATGATCCTTTTTACACAACCTATTGACCTGCTTACTTTCGAAGCAAAATTACCCTCAATAATCTTCAGGGGGAAAAAGGTACTCCTGAAATTGACCTTCGAAATGTTGAACGAGCTTGACCTCTCATTCATCAAAATACGGATTGCTTCACTGCAATCGCTGTAAGTGATAGCAATTCCAACTTGTGAAGAAGAATGCATGCCAACTTAACATTCTAGTGTTCGATCCAAGACCCCTTCGGCTTTCTATGTTACTCGGCGTCATATTAACCGTGTCACGATAGTCACTGATTCGAATGGCACGCCTCGACTAGCCAGACGGAAACTTGTTCGCGCACGCCGTTGATCACTTGAGTTGTCAAAACATCAGAATGGATTAAACAACCAGGATATCATTCTTTATTTTCGCACTCGTTCCGTAAGAACACATCTTCAATTACGTCGCTTATCGACCCATCCATCCGCCATCAACGACCAACACATGTCCACTCACGTAGCCACTGGCTTTACTCGCAAGATACACCGCTGTGCCCTTGAAGTCCTCTGGTGAGCCCCAGTTACCGGCAGGGATGCGCGAGGTGATACTAGCCAAGCGCTCTGGGTTCGCAAGCAGAGCCTCGTTCATATCGGTAGTGACGTATCCGGGGGCGATGGCATTCACGGTGATACCCTTAGATGTCCACTCGTTGGCGAAGCTCTTTGTGACCTGGCCAACAGCGCCCTTGGATGCGGCGTAGGCTGGAACAGTGAGACCACCCTGGAAAGTAAGAAGGGATGCGAAGTTAATGATGCTGCCGCGACGGCCAGTGACGGGTGAGGGTTCGAGGTTGAGCATATGGGCACCAACATCACGGCAGAGGGTGAAGACGGAGTTGAGGTTTACTTGGATGACCTAGAATTGTTAGACACGATGTGAAATGAAGATTGACCAGCTCTTACCTCGTTGAAGTCGCTATCAGGGAAGACTTCGCATGCGTGTCGTCGCTGGATACCGGCGCAGTTGATCAAGATGCGAATCTGGTGGCCATCGGCAAGGACCTTGGGCACAAGCGCAGCAACAGATTCTTGCGACGATAGGTCGGCAGTGTAGATAAAAGCTTTTCGCCCCAGCTTCTCGATCGACTCTTTTGTTGTTTGTGATGTAGTATCTCGCTGTTCGTTATGTCAGTCGTGAGTTCTGGGCTCATCATGAGACGTTACCTACCTGGATAAGGATGATGTCTGCGCCAGCCTCAGCGAGGCCAATTGCAACTGCCTGGCCAATGCCGCGTGTACCACCAGTGACAAGAGCCGTTTGGCCTTGGAGAGAGAAGAATGAAGCAGCCATTTTTGGAAGTATTAGAAATGTGAGTTATTGACGTCGTGAGCAATTGAGGGTGGTGTTTTCGTTTTATCCAACGAGGGGCAGATACCACCGTGGGGTACATCACTATTAATGATGGATCGGCTACCAATTTCCTCCTAAATTCGGAGCCGGATGGGCTCTAACTGTTCTTGAGAGGGACTGGGTCGGGTTAGATCACCCAATCGGTGAATCAATGTACTGTAATACAGGTCTATTTAGTACTATACATGCATTCGGCTTTGATGACCGGAGAGAAGACCGTAGGCCGAGTACCCGTGATGGAAATCCCCGCAGAGGGGGTGATTACTTAGTATCATGGGGTTGGTGATTGTCCTCTCATGACTTCCTTTGAATTGGTGTCATAGCTCATGGCTGATCTAGTAAACTCTGCATCAGAATAGAGAATCACAGTGGTATAAAACAAACCATTTCATGACGGACAGAGCTGCCTGCTGTCTCATTTCAATTCTGGTTGATTCGGAGAACATTTCCCTCTTGGGCTTCTCCAACGACTCCAAAATAGTGGATCGCCAAGTTTCAACGCTTCGAAATTTAGCGCTTCACCCCGCGGGATACTGGCAGACAGGCTCAGTGGGGGAGGGGCTGTTGCGGCTTGGCCAGTCTAAGTGTATGATACTCGACGAATGAAGAGCATTGCAGAGATATAAAGAACGTACCAGTAGAGCCAAGTTATTTGTACTGTACTAACCTTCCTACCATCAGTAAAATCTGCAAGGTTCTCTCTTTTTGCTGTCATGGGAATGGGGGCATTGGACGTCATGGGACCCCGCGGGGTATGGAACTATCGTGGGGCGGGTTCCCCGATGTCGTCTCGGCCCTCTCTCCGCGATGAAATGCAGTATTTGGTTCATTTTAGACTAGTATAGGCTTGTCGTGGGAGCTTTAAAGATATTTCGTCTGATATTGGTTCCGTCTTCATGAGCCGATCCCGGTCCCGCCTTTTACTAACCCACCTCCCGCTCCTCATCTTCATCCATGATTCCCCAGTAACTTTTTGCATCTATTACGACGTTCTTGGATATTCTCTTCTCAATTACAATCGAATTAGTCTGTCAATTGATAAGCGGCTTCACTATACTCATTCGCATTACTCACTTTCCCACCACCTTCTATTACATACCCTCATCATGGCAACTGAGCGTGTCAAGGCATCCGTTCTTCATGGAGAGAAGGACCTCCGTCTTGTGAGTACCAACACTCTAAAGTTCCCTTTTTGCAAGCAAGTTCTAATTAAAGACACAGGAAGAGCGTGACCTTCCCAAGCCTTCCAGCAACGAAGTCCAAGTCGCTGTCCAGTCTACCGGCCTATGCGGCTCCGATCTTCACTATTACAACCACTTCCGCAATGGCGACATCATCGTTCGTGAGCCCCTCACTCTCGGTCATGAGTCTGCTGGTATAGTCGTAGCTGTTGGTTCAGAAGTCACCCATCTCAAGGCCGGCGACCATGTTGCTCTTGAGGTCGGCTTGCCTTGTGAGGCATGTGAGCTATGTGGTGAGGGACGTTACAACATCTGTCGAGGCATGAAGTTTCGCAGCTCCGCAAAGGCAAACCCTCATGCTCAAGGAACTCTCCAAGAGCGAATCAACCACCCTGCTAAGTGGTGTCATAAGTAAGATACTTGATGTTCAAGACAAGTTGGAGCAATGTGCTAACGCGAGTCTAGGATGCCCGACCATGTTACCCTCGATCTTGGCGCACTCGTCGAACCCCTCTCAGTCGCCATGCATGCCCGAGACCGCGCCTCGCTCCCCAAGGGCTCAACCGTTCTCGTTCTCGGCGCCGGCGCCGTCGGACTTCTCGCAGCTGCTGTTGCCAAGGCCGATCAGGCCAAGACTGTTATCATTGCCGATATCCTGAAGGACCGTCTTGACTTTGCTACTAGCAACGGTTTCGCCGATGCTTCTGTGCTCGTCCCCATGGAGCGCCCACAAGCCATTGAGGACAAACTTGCCTTTGCTCAGAAGGTCGCTGCTATGGTCAAGGAGACCCAGGTCAATGGGGAGGCCGTTGGTGAGGTCACAGCAGTCTACGAATGCACTGGTGTGGAAACATGCGTGCAAACTGCAATCTACGCCACCAAGCCTGGAGGCAAAGTCATGATCATCGGCATGGGAACTCCCGTTCTTACCATCCCGATGTCAGCCGCCGCTCTTCGCGAAGTTGATATCGTGGGCGTCTTCCGCTACGCCAACACATACAAGGAGATCATCGAGCTCCTTGCCAACCCTCCTGCAAACATGCCTGACGTGAGCCGCCTGGTGACCCAGAGATATAACGGCATGGACAAGATTGAAGAGGCGTTTAAGATGGCGGGCAAGGTGAGAGATGAGCAAGGCAATCTTGTCATTAAGGTCGTGGTTGATTTCAACGAAAAATGACTACATGGTCGACTGTAGAGTCAGTGGTAATCGCTGTATGAGTTTTACGAAGAGATATTTCATGAGTGGTGCAAAAGGCGAATGTGTTGGGTGCGGTTTTGGGGTTCATAGATACCTGGCTTCCTAGCAAAATGTTAAGTTCGATTTTCTTGATGCAAGCAAGCTATGCGGCGCAGTCTTAATCTCCTCTCCTAATTGTATCAAATGGCCTATAGCCCATAGCTCAGCAGTCGGCCTAAGAGTGTATTGTAAGAACTAATAAGCGACCCCAGATTTTCTACCGAGTAGCCAACAAACAATTGGATGGTAAAAGACATACAGTATATAGATAGATCAATCTTCTGTCCGGTATGTACTTTGATGCTCTGGCATATGAGCTGGCCCATTGGGGGAGGAACTGCGTCTTGCAAATATACGGGCAGCCCAGGTGTAACTCGGCAAAGTTTTGAGATATATAGAACTCTGGTATTTCTTTGCTTATGTATTTTTGAAGCTAACTTGAAGCCTCTAATCTATTCAACAGGTGTAGTGCCTTTCAATGCCGCTTTTTGTCTTCATAATCTCATTTCTCTATCCCATTCTTAGACAACTATAGCCGTCCTTTGATTCACGACTTGTCGGGGAAACCAAAGTCGATGCCGAAAGGAGGATAGACATATCGCTTCAATTCACCCTTGTTTTGGAGCTCAGCAGAGTAGTCGTTCAAAGCCTTGACATCCTCGTCGTCGAGGTCGATGATGGTCTTGTTGGCAGTGATGCGCTCAGGGGTGACTGACTTAGCGAGCACGGTGCTACCACGAGCGACTGTACGACGGATCAGTAAGAGGTTATAACTTAGTGTAAGTTCTAGGGACTTACCATGGTAGCTGAGGAGGACGGTAGAGGCAGAGACACCTCTCTTCTCAGCAATCTTGACGACAGGCGCAGCGGTCATGACGGGGCCACCGGTGCTACCCAGGGGGCTGTAGGCCTCAATATGGATACCCTTCTCCTTGCAGAAGTCGACGATCTCCTGTTGGGGAAGTTCGGGGTGGTTCTCGATCTGGTTAACGGCGGGAATGATGGTGGCGTGAGGCAGAAGCTCCTCGAGGTACTTCTTGCTGTACTGTGAGAGTGTTAATTGGGCTCTAGTGGAAGCGTCGCACAAGCTCGACTTACGTTGCAGACACCGACGCCCCTAGTCTTGCCAGTTGCGGGAAGCTTCTCCATTAGCTTCCAGCCATCAACATGGTTGTAGTCACGGATGACATCTCGAGAGCCGTCGGCCTTCTTAGGGAACTTGTCGTCGTTGCCGTCGGGGTTGAGGAGAAGAGGCCAGTGCTGCGATTGATTAGAGTCAGAGGACTAAGTGAACCTGCTAGATAGTTACTCACCACAAGGAAAAGATCAACGTAGTCGAGTCCAAGGGCCTTCAAGCTCCTGTCGAGACCCTGCTCGGGACGAGTGTTATATGTGGCCCAGACCTTGGTAACAACAAAGATATCTTCACGCTTAACACCCGCCTCGAAGGCAGCCTTGAGACCAGCACCAACCTCCTCCTCGTTGCCGTAGCAGTAGGCGCAATCGATCATCTTGTAACCATCCTTGAGGGCATATGTGACGGCCTTCTCAACCTGACCAGCAGGGGATTGCCAAGTTCCTAAATTAAAAAAGAAAATAAGAACGTTAGCTAATTGAGCTTCACAGACTCGAGACAAGTAGGAGGAACGCACCTAGACCAACAGCAGGAATTTCCTGGCCAGTGTTGAGCTTGAAAGTAGTAGGAGCCATTGTGTGAGTTTTATTGAAGTATGGGGGATGGGTTGAGTTGAGGGATGAGAATGAAGGATAAGAAAGAGATCTAGGACAAAGCAAAAGAGAAGAAGAAGCTCTAAGCAAAGCGGGAGACTTGCAGGTTATAAACCGCTGCCACATCATGAACATGAATGCCCCTCCTAGTCCTCATACGTAATTATCTACCGAGGGCAGTATTCTACGTAGTACTTTACTCTCCTGTTCTCAGCCCCCCAAACTAAAGTACGCTCATCTTTGCGGGGTTAAGGCCGTGAACCCCGCCAAACAATAAACAATGTAGAAGCGCTAGGTAGGTTCCCCGAAGTCCCGAACTGAAGGCCACCTTTGCCTCATGTAGCAGCAGGTTTGGGGTGTAATTTGGATGCAGAATCGTTGATCAATGGGGATTTCTCGGGGTGGGGTTGGTCCGAGTCTTGCACGCGATGGTATATACAGAGTTGAGTCTAGCACTGGGTGGCCTTGGTGGTTCGGTGAGAACCCCGGTCACTAAGAAGCTTGGTGCCCCCAAAGGTTGAAAGACACCATTCACATGCAGATGATCATTCCTCCAACAGAAGTTCTAGATACATTCTTTGCTATGGACTTGCTCGAAAGTAAAGGAGCATGAGCTGAAGGTGTCATGGCTGACAGATCTCTTATATAGTTCTACCAACGCCGGTCTGTTGTCACTGTACTTGAATTATGTGTCGGTGGTAATATGCCTCGCAAACGAGCGTGGGGGTTACCTCTTAAGTCAACCATCAAGGAGACCCCTCATCATGAACATTTTTACTCTACTCATTTACAGACAAAGATCGGTACTTATTACTTAATGTTGTTTCAATGAGGATCTACTGATTCATTATTAATCCTGAAACCCCCAACGCGATGGTTTGACGAGACTTTCGCCAAAACCCTTGCTTCTCTATACTGTGTCGCTCTCATCCAGCTCTAAGGAAACGACAACAAAGTATACATACATACATATGGAAGAAAAGTGCAACTATCGAATCATACCCATTACAACAAAACGTATACCATAAACTCCCTTCCCCAGTGCCGAATTTTCTGCGCCCGCCTCTTTTTCTCATGGCATGCGTTGCTTCTTATAACAATCAAAGATTTAGCCCGAAACAAGAACCCAAAGTCTGCAAGTATGTTAGTGACTGTGTTTAGTTGTGCAAATCAAAGGGTACACCTCAAAGACTATGTCCTTGGTGGCGTACCCGAAAGTGTGCGATGGGTAAAACTTACAAGAAGAAGATCATCAGAACTCCAAACATTTTGGCGATTAACCACCTGTTACTCGATACTCGGTTCCAGTACTTGAGGAGCTCTCGTTGCGCCCCCTCAACGTTGTCGACTACGTCTTCTGTGTTGGCATCGATGCGCTGGATCATCTCGCTCTGTTCTGACACCATGGTGGCTAGTTGTCCAAAAATGCTTCCCAGCTCGCCGATTGTCTTCTCGATCGCTTCGATAGCCTCGCCTCGCTGCTGGATGTATGTGTTGGATGGCTGTGCCTCCTCCATCATCAACAGCTGCTGGTCGCCGACAGGGTTGAGTGAAAGGGTATCTTGGCCGCCGGGCGCAGGCGAATTGCGAGCTGGTGTTCCATAGAGGGGCGAGGCGGATTGTTGGATAGATGGCTGAGTATGTTGCGACACAGAGGAGATGAAGTTCTCTGTTCGTGATCGCGATGCCTGGATGTTCTTGGTCCTGGCCTCGAGAACATCTTTGAAGTTGACGGAGACATCTGTGAGTTTGCCTTGTAGTAGATATACAACGTTCTTGTTGTGCTCGCCTTCTTGATCAGCTTTAGGGTGTTGCTGCTTGGTGAGTGTTTGCAGGGCACCGATTTGCTGGTTCAGAGACGAAAGATCTTGCTTGATAACAAATGTAAGCTCGTTAATTTCTACGGGACGGTCGTCGAAGAGCGTTCGTCGCTTTGCCACTGTTTTTCAAGGTTAGATCCATGGATCAAGCTATGCATTCGCACCACAGAATTGCAGAGTATACTCACGTTGAGCTAATTTCTCCAACTTGGCCATAGTCGCCGAGATGCCACGTCCGATTTCAGCAGCGTTGCGGGCGAAGTCGGATCGCCTCTGGGGGCCAGGAGCATGACCGTTGGCAGCATCTTTTTGCGCATCAGTCAAAAGAGACCGGCGCTGAGAGCTGACTTTCGACGAGGATTGTTTTCGCTGTGCTTGTGCGAGTACCGATTTGAACTCGGAGGTTCTGTCTTGAATGGATGCGACAGCCATGGTGGCCAAATTAAGAGGGGTTAAGGATAATGCCGAGATGTCAGACTGCGGCCAGCGCGGCTTTGTGTCTCGAAAAGAATCGCGTCGATGTTATAGTAACAAGAAATATGCCACCTATGCGACTTGTGTTTCACTGACGATGTGTCGAGCCGTGATGCTGAACGTCGATGTGGGAGGGTCCGAATCAGGTCTCGGTTGGCAGCGCAGGCGAAACGGGAACGTCGTCGAGGGTGGGCGAGTGACGCGGACACGGAAGCGAATTGCAGGATTATTAGAAGGGAGTAATTTGCTGGCTGGAACCGAAACTGTAGATGGAGTATAGTGTGCAAGAAGTAAACTAAAGCGTTGAAGAAGTCGCAGAGCTTCTAAGGGATTGACTAAATGTGGAAAAGGCTAACTTAGACACGCAACAAAGAATGCCAGAGACAAATGAGGTTTGATTGCTGCAAAGGAGATTGGATTGACTGATTGGGGGGACGTGTCGTTGGCTTGTCCCACACAGTCAGACTGGCCGGGGCAGGGGTGGGTGGCGCAGATGCTTTGATCCGCCACGCTGGCTCTTCCTGGCCCAAGACTCTCCACAATGTGGCTTTGGGTGTGGCTAGTATTCAAGGTAATGAGATGGAAGAAGCAAGACATCTAGGGTTGAAGAAATGCAGCGTTTTGTGAAAGAACTTTATCATAGATCTATCTACCAACATAACCAAACAGGTGCCATCTAAGGCATGTCATGTTGTTGGAATTTAAAGTGGTTGATATGAATCAAACTTTACAATCAAGTCTTCAAGTGTATCTGTGCTCCGTAACTAGGCTTTGATTTCTGTCATCACCTCAATTCGCATAGTGGAAACCTCTGCCCTACGTTTAACAGAAATACCAGGTGTGAATTGGAAATGCTAGCTTCGTATCCCAAAGTTTCATGGCCGTGTTTGCTCTTTATATGGCTCCGAGTCCGAATCCTCGTATCAATGCCCCATCTTGGTTCGATGGGTGGAGCGGACCTCAGGTAGATAGCCTGGCTGAGCGAGAATGATACCATTCATCAGTTTCCTTTTGCTTCTATGAAGCACAAGACATACAAGTCGACACATTGTACCTCCGTATTGTTCTCAGGTTAGGCCAGCAATCGAAAAAAGTTGGAGTCAAGGAGTGCCCCTCAGTCTCCCGGGACGTGTCATCGTCGACGTCACTCGTCCTATCAAACACACCAACAAGAACATTGTTGCCTTTCTCGGGGTGATGGTGGTACGCGTGGATGTGTAGCCAGAAAGCGTACGGTACCTGGGTTGAACGATATGCAGACTTCCTACTCATGTAAAAACGCAGAAGTTGAAGTCGGAACCACGAGGTAGAAGCCACAGACTTGCGAAGCTCGTCAAAGTATTGTTACCATGAGACCCAACACACAATAAATATGTTTCTAGACGAGAGACGACGAAGCATTCACTCTAGCTGGTGACGAAAACTGAGGAACTCAGCCCCGTTAATCAGTAACTCTATTGGGATACGTTCGATAGACACGTGAGCTGATGTTATTTGGAGTCCCTCATCAACTTTACCAAGATTTGAAGCTCTCGGCCTGTTTTCTCTCTCGACCAAGCCGCCTCATAGTACTTACACGAAATTTTCTCCAGTGTGCATTCCATCGGCTCTGTCAAGAATAGCAGTGACCAGTTCTTGATCCATGTTGCGGCGGACAAGTTAAGTATAAACGTGGAGTGTAATTAAATACTCCGTGCTCCGTATAGCTTCAGCCAATCCTTGGCACTGACAGGGAGCCTTGCAGCTCAGTTCAATAGCAGCTGGTCTCGTAACTTCGCGCCACAAAAGATCAAGAACGTAATGTAGGGGTGACTCCACTGACAATTTCATTGCTTTCGACGCGGTCGTTCACTTTCTTGCTTTTGCCCTTCCCTCCCCCTCCATTCCTACTAATAGTCACGTTGTGCGATAGTAGCTCTCAGCGCAGCTTCATAAGAATAGCTTTGCAAATATCTCTGCTAGATATTATTTGTTTTCTCCTTGGGTTTCAATAAGGCTGGGCAAATTGGGGTATCACGTTCCTCCTTGGTTCATTGGACTTCCAGCGACTATCTTCCTTGTCTGTTATTAGCGGCCGCGCCAGAACAGCCCGAGGTTCCCCATCCTCTTCCGTCATCTAATCTCCAACGGGCGACCTCAGCACAACACAGCACTGGACTAGAGCCTAAGCTAACCAACAAAAGTGCCTGACCGCACCAATTGCTCGTTCCCGGCCACCACCTCCTTGTTCTATCACTATCACCATCCATCGCCATCCTCACCCGTTGCCGCTGGCCTCCACTGCGTTTCTACCTACTCCGCTGTATCTTTCATCATTTTTCCTATTTTCATCATCTCATCCTTTTCAATATTGCAGTGCCTTTGTTTACTGTCACTGTTTTGTTTCTGGGGTTGCAGACCTTATATTTTAAGCTCGTCACTTCCGATCAACCATCGCCAACTTGCCTAAACACTGCAAGCGGATCCTAATCAACAACGAACTCGAAAATAATCTCGTCGCCAAAGCTATATCGCCCAGTCTACGTAGCTTAGCTGCCGTCAGCACTTCTGCGAGCAATCGAGCTTCATCCAAATCTCCGACTCTTTTCCAAGAATGCACCGATAGTTGAACATTGACGATAAGCCAAACACGATATGGATGGGACGTACAATAACCCTTTTGCGCAAGGGCAGTCGCAATCTCCATTGTAATCACCCCTCAGCACCCTTCAAGATTCCTCTTGTTAATCCTCAATCAACTTCTAGATCCCCTCAAACGCCTGGCGGATACCAGGTAAACGTCAACCGTTCAAAGACGAGGAAATGGGTCCAAGCGCCCGTCCAAAATTATGATGGTGACGACTGGGGCGCAGACGAATTCGAGGACGATGAGCCGCCACCACCACCTGTTCCTCGAGTTACAACTGGCCTCCGATCAGTCGGCCAACGACTTCCGAACGAACCACATGGGCCTTCTCCGAGATTAGCTGCCGCTGTAGCTTCCAGTTCTCGGGGTTCAAGCGGCCCGCCCTCGCTTCAGCTTCAGACCCAACACCCAGACGCAGCATTCAACACGACTCACCCGGAAGAGGTTCATACTGTTCCATCACCAATTGCAGGACGAATTGGATCGCCTGCCCCTCTGTCTTCTGGAGCCGGATCTTCGAAAGCCCCCAGCTATCACCAGCAGCCTGATGTTCGATCCTCTACCCCGCAGAGTACCACCAGCTCCGCTGCTCGGGCTTCTCCTTCGATGCGACCCGACCTATATCGCCACCTAGATGACGAGCGTAAGCTGGGCGGTTCGCCGTTATCTATCGCGGATAATATTGCGCCCCGACCAGATGACCGCTCTGCTCCCGTGAGCGAGTCAACACGACAGGGACTCGGTCAAGAAGATGGCCCTGCGATTGATCGAGTTCAGAAGCAGCCAACTTTTGACAGTATTCTTGCGAAACGCGAAGAGCCTGGCATGGGACAGAAGGTACCAGACAGTGCACCTGTTCCAGATAGCGGTGATGCTTTACAGCAGTCCAATAATCACAACGACGAAACGGTCATTTACTCACCGACAGACATTGACCGGAAACGATTATCTGTTAGCCCACAGCTTCCCGATGTTGCGCGCATGTCGGTATTTGGTGCCGACTTCTTCTCTACTGGAAATGACAATTCGAGAAACGCCCCTCCCTCGTCTCAAGACCCAATCAAGCAAGAACATCCCTTGTCCTCTCATCAGTCAACTGACAGTCCTGGAAACCTCCCTACGTTGGATGAGAAGCCTAGAGAAAGCGAAGACAGCTCTAGTATGTCTGGATCCAACGATGCTTCTTTCAACAAGCCTTCCCTTTTGCCTGTAAATGACCCACGGTCCGTTCCTCCCCTACGCACGCCAAGCCCGAATACCAAAGGACTCTTCCCATCGCCGAGAGAGCCTGACAGTGCGGCTGAAGCATCTTCCAAGCTCACACCTACGGAGCCGTTGCATGCTCGGCAACTGGAATATTCGCCTTCAGATTACGAGCCGAATTCCGCCTTGACACAAGGGACACTGAACACTTTTAACTCATCACCTATTAAGGAAAGTGATGTTTTGAGCGAAGAAATTATGAGGTCCTTAAGCCCCATCGCCCCAACACCAAACTCTGGGCTTTCTCCTCAGCCTCCACTAGAGAATACTCAATCACTGTCACCGGGAGGACAAAACAATATGCGCAATAGTAGCTATACTCTTAGCGATTACGACAGCTATTGGGCTGATTCGAACGAGAAGCCTGGTCAAGAATCCGGCAAAGAGGTAGAAGCACAGGCACATGCCCAAGAGAAACCCAAAGCTGAAACTGCACCAATGTCTGAGCAGCAGCAACAATCAACTACCGAGCAACCATTAACCGGCATTTTACCCTCGAGTGTTGCTCAGTTTGGTATTGATTCTACCTCTCAGCCAGAGTCACCCGCATCTGACTCACGACGACGTTTCTCATGGGAAGCGGGTTTTGAATCCCCTCCGAAGATTCTCCCTGTCGTGCCCCCTACTGGGAGCTTCAACAACGAAGCTCCTGTCTTGGCTTCTCCTTCGCAGCCGGCGTCCTCTGACATGCAGTCTCCAAAAAACGTTGATTTGAACGAAACAAATCAAAACAAAGACTCGTCACGAAATTTTGAGACACCAACAATTGTCATTCCACCGTCCAGTGGGATCTCTCATCAGGTTTCGAAGGCTAGCACCCTACCACCAAGCCAGCAGCCTGCTACTCTGGAGCCCCCCTCTCCAGTCTCCGTGGAGAATGATAGTACTACACCACAAGCTGCAGATGATCGACGTCCATCTGTCACAGAGAATAAGATCTTGAATCAAATTCCATCGAATCTGTCGTCAGCAACACCGCCTCAGGGAAATACGACCAGAGCAATCCCTTCAAGCGAGTTTCCCCAGACTACTCCGTGGCGCGATATTATGAGCTTGGCGACACCTGTGCAAAGGACTCTCAAGTTCGAAGCAGGTCGAGAAACCCATCAAGCGTGGGAATCGGGCTTGGAGAACTGGCTCTCCAGTCTTATGGTTGAGCATCCCGAATACGCGAACGGAACGGCTTCTTTTGCAGGAGCCAGTGTGCCTGCACCACAGAAGGGACATGGACCAGGTCCTAGCGTCTCTCAAACTCAACAGCCATATTATCAGCAGTATCTCAACGCGAGCACACCCACGACAGTACCAGCGGTGGGCCGGTCACGACTGGGCAGCGGTTCCATGCCTTCCGGGTCCAGCAGCTTCGGAAATTCAGGCGGCCAGATCGGTACGAAAAGCAAGGAACTCATGCAGTCTGCTGGAAAGATGGGCAAAGGATTGTTTAGCAAGGGAAAGAGCAAATTGCGTGGAACTGGGGACAAGGTATTTCACTGACGCTTCTCTTTTTAGAACCTGTTGTGATGGGCTTCTTCCTTTTTTTTCTCCCTCCAGGAGGGTATTTGTTGGATTAAATCTCCTTTCATCATGCGCTTCGGGGCTGGTGTCTCACTATTGGCCTTATGATGAAACGGGTGTATGAGATAGGAATTCTACGATGCTTGTTCCCTTTCTCTTCCCACTGTCATCATGCTGTTGCCCATCCATCAGGCTATGTGACAAGAGTGTTTATTAATGTTTCTTTGACTGACAGGGCGAACCAACATCTCCGGTGCAGACAAAGCTCAAGACTGAGAGGCGCGCATCGTGGGGCTTAGATCGTCTCACCAGAGCCCGCGCTGATGAAACCCCCGAGAAAGACGTCGTGAACTCGAGGCCTTCGACGCAATCGTACCATGCTCCTCAGTCCTCCCAGTCATCTAGTATACTACCTTCAGGCTCTGTGCCTTCGACTATCGGATCAGGTAAGCGAGTTGCCTCACATGAGGGCTACGGGCCCCAGTTCTCGCAAGAACCATCTGCATTTGCCAGTAAAGAACATGACGAACGATCACAATGGTATATCCCAACCCCTGTTGATGAGTCAACTTGGGATCCTTTCAAGGAAACTGGCCTCGCCAAGGACAATGTTTCCGAACATTCCGGAGCTTTGCTTGCAAACCAAGATCAACCTCAGCAGAGTCCTGGCACACAAGTAGCCTCTAGTAAGCTGTTGTCTGGCGATGCGACTCCTTTGCCCACCAACAATGGCATCCGTATGGTACCCTCAGAAGAGGAGGCTGCTATGTCCAATCAGCAGCCGTCCGTTTATGCTGCCGTCACTCAAGAGACTTCTCCTAGCGTCCAGGCCCAGCCTCAATCTCCTTCACAGCTTTTTGATGCTTCAACTACGCCTCAACGTCACTCATCCTTCGTGGGACTACCACCAATCAGAAGGGGTTCGACTTTTGATGTTAATTCGAGGTCAACCAAGACAGAGCCCAGGACCACCGAAACTATAGACGAACATTTTGCTCCAGAGGCCGAGGACTATGACGAACTTGCTCGCCAACAAGGAACGATTACGTCCGAAGTTACTGTTGGGTCGACCCTAGTTGGAACTGACTCTATCTTGCAAGGTAAAGAGTTCGAAAAGGGTGTTGACGAGCCAGAGCAGCAAGATGTTGCTCAGCAGCAGCCGCAGTCGCAGCCGGAACAACAACAGCCCTTTCAAGGACAGCAGCAGCATCCGCCGCAATCGCTACCACAGCATCCCTTCCAAATGCATCCCGTCAACATGCATGCAGCTCAACAAGGACCTATACCCTCACAAAGCTCTACGCACCAGCCTCCATCGCTGCCATTACTCCCACCCCACCTTATGGGAGGCAACCCGGTCCAGAAGCTGCCTCCTTCTGGACCATGGAAGTTGGAGGAAAGCCACTTGTCTGAGCCTTTACACCGGGTCACCCCTAAGAGCTCGCCGCTTCTTCCATCAGGCCAATGGAAGCTGGAAGAAAGTCACCTAGCCGAACCGCTCCATGTTGTAAATAGGAACCGAGCTGGCACAAATGCCTCACAGCGTTCACAAGTCTCACAAATCTCACAACACTCACAACACTCACAACAAGATCCATTCTTCGGTTACAACAAGGAGACGGGCGACGTGCCCACTTCACCTTCTTCGGGCTCTACAGCTCAGCACCAACATCATCAGCGGCAGAAGCCCTCCGAAGTGCCACCTTCATCTGCCAACCGGTATCCAAGTCTCTTCCCAGGTCAACAACGGCGTCAGAGCAACCCTCTAGACGGCCTTGCCGTTCCTGGATCTCAATTTCCAAGGCGCATGTCTCAAGAAGGAGGTATTGCAAGAACAGGAACAGGTAACAACGAACCTGCCCAAGATGAGCGTGGACGGCCAAGGAAGACATCAGCACTATTTAAGGATATAGGGCATCGATTCAGGAAAGGCTCGACAGAACGACGTGGCACACCCGAGCAGTACGGTCAACAATACCAGTCCCCAAAGCAACAGCCACAACCACAACATGGAGAAGTCCCATCGGATGCAGCCTCGGTGTCCAGCGTTACAACTGATGGAACACACGACCGAAAGAAGTCCAGGGCGAGCTTTATGCTGGGTCTCAGGAGTAAGCAGAGCCGAGAGAGACTCTCGATGCCTCCTCCACCGCGTCCGGATGACAATAGGCCCGCCTCGTCAATGGAAGATAGGAGGTCGTCTCGACTCAACCCTGGATTCGATCCTACTTCCGGTCAGAGGCCTACTGGTCCACCGCGCGCATTTACCTCTAACCTGGCCAACGAGATGAGCCAATCTGCAAGCGCTACTCCTCCAGCGAAGAAGCGATTTTCGGCTTTCGGGACTAAGGCTGCCATGGCGGGTGTTTTTAATCGACCGAGTAGTGGTACTTACTCCAAACCAGGTACTCCTACCTCCTCGAGACCAATCTCAAGTCATTTGGGGGCACAGCAACTAGTTTCTGTAGAACAGCCTCATCCAGGCTTCGAACGAAGTAGTACGGCTGGCCCAACTTTCAGTCATATGCTTCCAACTCCATCAGATGCACCACCATCTGATGAGCGCCGCAAAAGACGAGGCTCGGCTGCTGGACTACTCTCTGGTCTCTTGGGGCATGGCAACAAGAATAAAGAGCCTCAACAGAGCGCTTCACTCCAAGCACAACAGCCGCCTGTGCAACAGCCACCTATGCAGCAGCCGCCTATGCAACAACCGCAAGCTCGCCACCCTTCTGGGCCGCAGCTTGATGCCCCTCGGCCTCCCTCGCTACAGGCCCAGGGTCGGAAACCATCAGGCCCTATGCTGCCCCAGATGCCTGGAGCTTACCCAGAGAGTCCTATGCCAACTCCTCTACCCAGTGGCCCTCAGACAGCCGACCCGATGCTCGCCAGCCCTCAGCCTGAAAGGCCTCAGGAACCGCCTATGTTCCGCCAAGCGACCGGGGGTTATATGCCCAGGGACCAGTCTCCGATGTCAACCTCCAGGTCCTTAACTGGCGGCTTGAGAGACAATCAGCACGCGCCTGCCGCTTACCGGAACTCACGTCCATCTCCTTTGGGTTTTGGCTCCACGACACCAGCAGGAACTCCTCCTATAGGGGCGATGAGTGATCACAGCCGTCAAGGAACACCGCAGACACCTTTCAGTGTAGGCCAAAGCTTCCCGGATCATAGAGCTGCAAGAATGCGATCAATCTCCCCAGCTGGATCAGCTATCCGCAGTGCCCCAACGACGCAAACATCTTTTAACGTCCCAAGCACGGCTCCGACAACCCAGACTTCGTTCCACCACTCCACGCAGTCCCTTGACAAGCTCGCCCAGACTAAACAAGATGAAGGTTATGTTCAAGGACATACCATCAACTCACCTAGCATGTCTCTACAGTATGGTGTTAGACCTGGACAAGGTGCATCAGATAATGGCATGCCTTTGTCTCCAGTGTCTCAGTCGTCCAACGCAGGTCCCCCGTCGGTGTCTTCTATGGCTACCCAGAGCCCTCGTCTGAACAGTTCTTTTGTGGCTGGCGGGAGACGACAGTCTTCTCAATTATCGCAGCCTGGTACGCCTGTCACATCAACGGTGCCCACTGCTCCGCCAGTGCAGAACCCTGTGAACAGGACAGTAATGCCGCCTCAACAACAATCTTCCTCCAGAATCCAGCAGCCTACGGGTGCTCAGCCACAAAACGGCCAGCAGCAAGGCTATCAAATCGCTCAAGGCCAGCAGTATCAGCCTAGCGCTCGTGAGCCGTCAAGTGGCTATCCTATGCCAGGACAACACCCACAGGCAATGGTTCCCGGTCGCCCGTCGATGCAGATGCAGCATTCTGACGGAGGTCCTCCAGTACCACCAAAGGACGGCAGGAACGCTTTGCAGCAATCCCAGGTCGCCGATCAACCCGTTCGTCAGGGTAGCCCCGGAGCATCGAAGTGGAAGGGCTTGAGGAACCGCATGTCTGGACAGATTGCGCATAAGTCGGCGCCTAGCCAAGGAAAGGGCGAAAACGACAAGTTGACGGCAAGCAAGATCCTAGGGGCGTTTAAACGAGGCTCCAGGGAGAATCGACAGTCAATGGTCATTCCTGATTTACAGGCTTATCAGCAGCATCAGATGCGTCCTGTACAGCAGCAGCCAGCTCAACAGCAGGTCCGGCAGCCTCAGCAGCATTCTTCTAGCCAAGTTCCGTATACACAGACACAGTCTCCTCGTCCGGCATCGCAGATTAGTGGTCAAGCTTTCGGACAGGTACCGACTCCTCGACCTTCATCTCAACTCAGCAACCTTTCCCAGGCGCAAATCCAGGCCAGGCGTGGATCGGCGATGTTCGGCAGCCCAAATCTGCCACAGCAGCAATTCCGAGGGTCCTCTGGATCTTTCCCTTCAAGTCAGTCTGGTATGGCTCAGTCGCAGCCGGGTTATGCGTATCAATCCTCTCCTCAAGGGCAAGGCCAATTCCCTCCTTCACATCCACATTCGCCTCATGCTCGGTTCCACTCTCCTCCGCAGCAACAAGGACAATTCACGTCTCCTACGATGCCGCAAGGTCAATTTAGGTCTCCTGTTCAACATCAGGGGCAGTTCCAGTCCCCTGCCCAGCAGCAGCAGCAGTTTCAATCTCCTCCGCAACCTCAGGGTCAGTGGCAGCAGCAGAGGCAGCCATCGGGAGGTCAATTTCCTCCTGCGCAGTCTCGGCAAAGTTCGTACCCTGGGCAATGGCAAGGAACAGTTGGACAGAGTCCTGATTCGTCTGCTCATCAAAGCCCTCGACATTCTCAGTTCCCACAGCAGGCCAATAGTCCTCAATTTGGTCATGATGAAGAATCTCACCCTGTTCATGTATCGACGCCCGATACGGTTCATTCTCCTACGCCAGTACATGCCCCATCGCCACGCCCTTCGTTGCTGAACCTTCTCGTATCCGGCAAAACAGAAGATGAACTAGCTCAAGAGATTCAGCCTGAGTATACGAAAGCCGCTCCTCGTACTGATCAAAGCAACACAAACCATAGCGCAAACGCTACCAAGCAGAGATTTGCCGGCACCGATAGTCCCCAAAGCGGCAGAACTAGTGGAAGCTCCAGAGTTGGCGCCGTTCCACCACCAGCACAGCAGCATGTTTCCCCAAGGATTGGCACAGACCAGAACGGCGGTTCAAAAACCCAGGCTCCTACTCTCCCCATGCTTTCATTTGCTACTGGTACGATGATGGGAGATGAAGCTGTCTCGAACGCTACCAGGCACTTCTTATCCAAAGCAGAGGAGTCCCATGGTGTGTCGCTTAGTCCCCCAACTGGACACTCTGGCGAAGTCAGTCCAAGTTCGACGAGACAATCACCCTCAGGCGTAGGCAGTATGAGCCCGCCCAACGCTGTGGCTAGTGGAGGCCCGTCGTTCCATGCCGAACTCGAAGACACAGAGGATGCCCGAAAGCGCACGCTTCGAATCAACTCGCAGGAAGAGAAGATTCACTACGATCCTAATGCCGACTCCGATGGAGAGGTACCTCCTTCAATGAGCGCGACTAGTTATCCTGGACAAGAATGGAATCCTTACGGAATGCCTGAACTGGGCGATTGGAACGAACACGCGGGTCGCTAAGATTTCCTACTTCTCTCTATATATAACAACACATATCGTACTCTTCCCTGTACATTCGAGCCTGGCTTTTTATGCCAGCTCTACGATGTAGGCTGCTAATGGCCGCTCTTCCCCAATCTTTTGGTTCTCGTAATGGGCTACTCACAGCCGCCTTTGGGTACATCAGATCTTTGGAATTTTGTTAATTCTGCTCCATCACAGCGTGGCGTCATGGGTGTATATACGTACCCTACCTGTTGCATTTACGAAATTTGACAAGAGATGGAAAAAATAGTAATAACAGATTGGAATGCGAAGAGTTGGGAAGGGAAAATATACGATTTTACATATATGTAATCATCTAATCAATCATATACATACACACATCTTCTTTGGGGCCTATCACTACTACTGCCTCCCGATACAAGATCCAATGCTGACTTGTAAGTAAAGAGCTGAGGTATTCCTCCTACAATCTTCGCCTTCAGCTTCTTTGTCAATTGTTCTAGTCTGGAGTTTGTTTGTTCAATGACCATGTCGCCCGCCCGCCCCAACTCCTCGCCCTCTTGCAGGAGCTTGCAAGTAACTATTTGAACCCTTGGTCTGTGTTGGATTTTCCATAAAAAGAGACGCGTGACACGCCAGGCCAGGCATAAGAAAGAAATGAACTAAGGAGACATGGCCTATATGACCTATATTAGTGGACGATGGAGGTGCTGACTATCCTATTCCAACGTAGTATATCAGTAGCCAGCGGCGTGGTAGCGACCGCAAAGTAAGCACTATCCGTACTACGGTTAGATATTTTAGAGGGAATTCCATGTCCCTGGGTTACGTCAGCCCTTCGGGCCCAGCAAAGGAGCAAAACTACCATCCTCCAAGGATGAAATCCTTCAGGACGACAAGCTATACCCAATCAACGTAATATAATGGGGGTGTGCTGCTATGCTCAGCCTCAGCGCGTCCTGCAGTCAGACAAGAGCGCTGAGTAAGACTAGTCCTCATTATTTGATGTTGTGATCTACGATACGTATATATAAGAACTAGTTCTGCCAGGTAATCTACCATCTCAACTCATCAACACTAGTCTCTATTCACTCAGTATTTTTCTCATCATGTCTGCTTCACTGTTAGAATCTCTAGCTGTTGACGGCAAACATTTCGAAGAGACAAGGGATGAAAATGCGAGACAAAAGGTCTTAGCAGCAGCCAGTGCCCTTATCCAGGAACTTGAAAATCCTGGAGAGCAACTTGCGAGGATCGGATGGGGCGAGCCAACTCGAACTGCTGCTCTTCGAACTCTTTTCGATCTGGGGATCCTTCAGAAACTTGGAGAGGAACCTCAAGGAAGTGAACAGTTGGCAGCTGGAACAAAAGCTGACCCTGTCCTAGTCGGTATGACCTCTGTTTCTGTCTTATATTTGAAGGAGGCTTTCACTGACCAGTTGGATTATAGCTCGAGCCCTCAAACACTTGGCTGCAAATGGCATTATCAAAGAAGTTGGACAAGACCAATACGTTGGATCCCCCTTTTCCATGTCCACTAGAGACCCAAACATGGCCGGCGGTCTTATCTACAGCTTCGAAGGGATGATCCCAACTTTCCAAGGTCTCCCTGAGTTTCTGGCCAAGACTGACTATCAAGTCCCCAAAGATGCCGACGACTCCCCTGTCAAGTATGGCCTGAGGACCGATAAGCCCTTCTTCAGTATCCTTAAAGAGAACGCTCGTCTGGGTACAGCTTTTAATGGTTTTATGGCCGGCTATGCCAAAGCGAGACCTCGCTGGAATGAATTTTACCCCTATGAGGAGCGACTTGCTGGGCAGAAGTCCGAGGATGATAACACTCCATGGCTTGTTGATGTTGGTGGTGGCCTTGGTCACGAGCTGTTGGGTTTAGCTTCTGAAGAGACTGCTGCTCAGTCAGGAAAGCTGGTCTTACAAGATCTACCCGCAGTCATTGAAGAGGCCAAATCATCTGGTAACCTCCCCAAGACCATCGAGGCCGTTCCTCACGACTTCTTCAAGCCACAACCAGCCGAGTACAAAGGCGCACAGGCCTACTTTATGCGTTTGATTCTTCACGACTGGCCTGATGCCGAATGTGCTACTATTTTATCCCACCTGAGAGACGCCATGGTCAAGGACCGTTCTCGACTTCTGATCAACGAGACTGTCTTGAGGGACGTTGGGGCCCCTTGGCAGCAGACCAGTCTTGACTGGACCATGATGGGTATGTTGGTGAACCGCGAACGAACTGAGAGCCAGTGGCATAAACTGCTCGCAGATGCAGGTCTTAAGATCACTGGCATCTATCACAAGGGACCTGAGAGTGTTATTGAAGCTATGTTGGCATGAGGAAACTTGAGACAGGCTCGTTTTGATAGTATATCCATTCGTTTAGCGCTTGAACTGGAATTTAGGTATTTGGAGTAAACGCAAACATTCTATGCTCCGTCATCTTCCCTCTCTTTAACATCATCCACACAATCCTGCCAGCTAATCCATTTCATATACGCACACTCAATAACCGCAATAACAACCATTCCGCTTCCAAGACCGATCCAAAGACCGTCCAATTTCATATCGGGACTTCCAAGCTCAAGCCAGATGGCAAAAGGCACAGCAGCCAGATAGTTGACCGCCAGCACGACCCAGGCAGCAACTGACTGCTTCGCCAGACCCCTTAATACACCGTTGGTGCCGCAGATGACAGAGTCAATGATCTGGAAGCAGGCAACAGCAAGCATGGAACCGGTGGCCAAGTCTCTGACGGTTGTATCGTCGGAGAACATGTTTGCAAGCGGTCTACGTAACAAGAACAAGAAGGCTCCATCGAGAATACCGACAACGACGAAGACTATGGAGTACAGAATTGCAGCTCGTCGTGCCTCCTTGAGTGCTCCTGCGCCGACGAGGTGGCCGAAGCGAGTGGTGACTGCGACGCTGATAGAGAACGGCACATGCCATGTAACAATGGAGACGGTGTTGAGGACTGTCTGGGCCGCGAGATGACGAGTGTCAATATAGGAGGTGCTGATCATGAGAATCTCAAAAGCAAGCCACTCTGCAGCATTGACAGCCGTACTGGCAATAGAGAGACGAACCATAGGGCCCCATTCACTCACTGCAAAAGCAGCGCGAGCGTCCCATCCGCCCCAGCATCTGTGAGACTTCTTCCCAATGAACATGACATACAGCAGAAGCAACGCAGGACGCAAATTGTTGGCGAGCGCCTGACCGAACGCAGCTCCATCGAGGCCCATGTCGAGCTTGACGGCGAAGTACCAGCTCAGGAAAGCGTTGACGGGAGCGCAGATGATGAGCACCATCATACCCGGGCCAAACTCACCTTGTGCTTGAAGAAATCTCTTGCCAGCTTCGAAGAATGCGTATCCTGGTAGACCGACGAGACTGACGCGTAGAAAAGAAGCGGCCTTGAGAGCGAGGGTTTCCTGAGGGACAAGCAACGGGAGAATCCAGTGAGAGCATAGCCAGATGGCGCCGACAGGGACCATGACGATTGCCATTAAGACCAGCATGCGCTGGATATGCATTCCCACTCCGGTATAGCGACCTGAACCGTAGGCCTGGGCACAGAGTGTATCGAGTGCCGTAGCCATTCCCTCAAAGATGGTAAAGCCAATGATATTCATGGTTGTCAAAGCCAGACTAGATGCCGCAAGCTCCTCGGCGCCCAAGCGACCAGCAACGATGGTAGTGATGACCGTGAAGGAATACTGAAGAAGATATGTTGCAATCAAAGGCAGCGAGTACTTGCATAGCAGCCTTGCCTCAGCCCAAAGGCTATGGACATCAGTCAACGACTTTGATGGCTCACTTTCGCTGATTTCTGGAATTTGAGGAAGAAGTGGTGAAGTCTCATTGTGTAACACGCCATTGTGCTGAGGCACTGGCCGGCTCTCGCGCCGATGGTCGCTTGAAGGCATTTGCAAGTCAATTGACTTCAGTAAAGGATAGCTCGAGCTTCGGAGGCGCTATCGATCGGGTGCTTCTAGAGCATTGTTGTTTTCACAGAGATCCACTCAGCAAAGAGCGTAGGTACACGAAAGAATTCTCGTTGCTGAGCACAAGCGAAAAGATGTGATCCACCGATCTCGGCCTTTGTAATGCCCCACTCCTCAACTTTGGGCCTTGATTTATCTTATTCTTGGTATACTAAGGTAAAGATAAATCAAAACAAATTAGGATAAGACTGTGCTATATTAGAAAATCATGTGCTACTTTATTAAACACCTGGTCAAGTTCTATGAAGTACTTATTCCACTGTATAATAATTCCATAGCCAATACGAATGGCACATGGATTTCTTAGGCTCTACTAGCAATAAAGGTCGTGACATACGCATAGTCAAGTTACTTTCTGTATTCCCTCCGGTGAAATCGACCTTCTTGTGTTTCGCACGGTAAGTTGGATATTATGTTACAGTATGTTCAGCACTACCTGCCCAGCAAATCGTCCAAATATATCTCACGAATCCAGAGTTAAACCTGGTTGCTGACAAGATTCAAGATCCCTCCCTGTTCTAGCAGAGCAATATACTCGACTGGATTACACATTAGCAATATTCTGTTTGCGGATCCTGCAATACTCACTTGCAATTTCCCAACACTCTGAAAGCCTTCTCAGCTCGCCCACTAAAGACATCAAGGCACTGCGCATCTGAGGTTCGTAGTCCTCCCGAACGAACCACGCGCATGCGTTGGAAGCAGTATAGAAGCACCTCGCTAAAAGAGGACAATCAGATTGAACTTGCACCAGTTTGGGGGCAAGCAAACTGCCGAGAGCTCTTAAGCCTTGAACGCTCACACTCTGCATTTCTGTCTCGTGGGACAAGCGCTCCCGGCTCGTTACCCCAGGGGCATCAGGACAGCCGTATGATCCATATAGAAGGGCCTGGGCACAAATACATACAGCAACAGCACATGCCAAAGAGCGATTTGATAAAGACGAAATGTTGCTTGACATTTGCTCCTCAATGGAGAGCTGTAAGGAAGATAATGCCCGATGGAGACTCTGTCCTTCCTGTACAACATGGAGTATATCCTGCGAGGATTTGGTTCGCAATTCTTTGTGCTGAATCACTTTGCCAAGCATGTGGGCCGCTTGGCAAGTTCTTGCAAACGATCCCAGTGTCGTGATAGAGCTGAAGCAAGCCGTGTATAGCGGCTCACTTGGTACTGTCTTTCCCAAGGCCCAATCTTCGTCGTTGACTGGCAGTAACTCGTCAGGACAAGGCTCCGGTGCAGCAAATGGCATCCCGCTGGTGTCGATGTTTACAAACCTAGACAGCTATCAGTTAGCAGAAAATCAATGTACGGTAACAATGAACACCGAACCTATCGAGTACAAATATAGCCCACCATGTTCTTCGCTGCTCTTCTCGTTTTGACCAAGAATCACCCAGTTGGAAAAGCTGCTGTGCATCTCTGTCATGCCAACCCATCAATATACCTAGTCTCGCTGCACGGCTAATGGTAAAATAGCAGGCGGGATATATGGCGTGGGAGTACTCGAAGACGGCCAAAAGGACTAGGCTTTGAACCAGTCGTAGTGAAACAAGGCCTTCACTCTCAGCAGCTGAGCAAAGTGACTTTGCTAAGACGTATAATGGTTCTTGGGATGGAGACGGGCTTTTAGGTTTGACGGTGCATATCTTCATGCATAATAAGACGAGATCATAACAACCATCTTGGCTGAAAGGGTCGGTATATGTCAGTCGTTTTCTGCTTATCATAGGAAGCCACTCATGTACCGAGAGGAAGTATTCCTCAAAGAGTGCTGGTAGATCGCCAGGGGCCAAGTGCTGTGCTATGATCTGCTGCAGGTCGAGTCGAGGACCCGGGGCCAGTGCATTGCTGACGTTTAAGGGCGTGAAGAAATTCGAATCCAGGAAGAAAGATAAAGGAAACCTCTGATTCTGGATTGATAAAGTAGATGACTGGTTTGTAGGTTCCGCAAGGTTAGGGGGACTCGTTTCGGAACTTGAAGGCGTTGCAAGGTCTGCGTATTCACACCGCTTGCCAAGACGGTCACACTGTTGTAAGCTTAACTATAGATCAGATCTATTTAGTCTTGCGACATACTATTGTGCATGATGGGACATCTTTGCTACATTTCCTCTTGAGGCGCCTGATAACTTTAGTGGTTGAGCATTAGTAAGGTGATACAAGTGAAGACGTACCGACATGCTTTACAGGAATGGCGAGCCTTGGTAGGGGGCATCGCGCTTAATTTCGACTGTGCTTTCTGATAGGGCAGTTTCAAAAGATTATAAAAGACGTATTAGAAATCAGAACGATGTGGTGTCTTACGTTGACGAGATAATGTTGAGTGTAAGAGGAAGCACTGTGAGAGAGCGGAGTCGAGCGGATAATGGCTTGCGTGAGCGTGAGAAAGAGCGGACTGAGGCGGACTTTGGTGGGACTGTTCAGGACGTTTACGGCATCGCCTCATTAAGCATCACTATAACAGAGTCGCAAGGACAACAAGAACAGGGTCAATTACGAGAGGAAACAGAAATAATTGGTTGAAACAAGGTAAAGATGAAAGTAAGTCCTTATCAAATATATATATAAAGACAAATAACACCAGAAAATAAACAAGCCCATCTTAAACCTCATTCATGTTACTTTCACTGCTCCAGTAGCATACTACTCGAAAATGACCACCAAGAAACTCATTGTCGTTGTTGGTGCCACCGGTGGCCAAGGCGGTTCTGTTGTCAACACCTTTCTCAACGATTCGGAATGGCTTATCCGTGGCATCACTCGCAATCCTTCCAGTCCCAAGGCAAAGACTCTCAGAGCCCACGGTGTTGACGTATTCCAAGCCGATCTAGACGACAAGGCATCTCTACCCGATGCCTTCCAAGACGCCAACGCTATATTTGCAGTCACTGACTTTTGGGGCATCTATAACGACCCCAAGAACCGGGATAAACCAAAGCCGGGACAACCTCGCAACGAGTGGACTAAAGCACAGGAAACGCAACAACTTAAGAATATCATCGACGAAGCAGCTAAAGTTAATAGCTTGGAGAGTTTCATCATATCGTCGTTGCCAAATGTTTCCAAGTTGACGGGTGGAAAGTACACCAATGTGTGCCACCATGACTCAAAGGCGGATGCAGTCGAGTATGGTGAGCAAAACCAGCCAGATCTTTGGTCAAAGACGAGTGTGCTTCTTCCAGGGTATTTCTTGAGCAACTTCCTAAGTCATCCAATGGCTCAGCCAACCAGAGTATGTTCATGCCCCATGATAGCTCGGAAGTTTTCAAACTGACACTTAGCTACAGCAAGATAACGGGATTGTGCAGTTCGCAACAAATCTGGATCTTGACAACAGACTTCCCCTCATTGCTCACGACCAGGACTCAGGTCCTTTGGTCAAATCCCTTGTCCAAGATACCCCAGGGAAGAGCGTGGTTGGTTGTCGGGATTGGCTCACACCACGAGAGTTCGTGGACTGTTTCGCCAAAGCGACAGGCTATCAGACGGAGCTGGTGCAATTACCACCTGGGGAGCTCGGTTTTGATTGTAAACCAGAGTTAAGGGCAGAGCTCCAAGATAACTTTTCCTTTGCCAACGAAGTTGGACTCCACGGCGGTGATGATTCTGCTGCTGTTTACCCCGACGATGTAAGCTCTGATTTCCTTGGAATCTTATGTTACTGATATTATGCTAACGTATTATGTACACAAAGCTGAGTCCTGCTCCCCGGCTGGACAGTGTCGAAGCTTGGATAACCGAGCAGGACTGGTCAAAATTGCTAGGAACAGGGGAATCGAGTTGAAGAGATGTGACTAGTTTATACAGACGCAGAAGAATAACCGTCTAATTTAGATATACACGTTAGAGTCACTTACCCTATATGAATGCCAAAACTGCTAAGTTGAGCTGCAATGTCACTGTCTTAGTCTTCATTAATTAAAGATTCCTGATGCCATAATCCTCCTTTTTTTTTATCAGCCCAATAAACAATTGAAGATAATTAGGTGACTGCAGTTTGGTACTTCGTTGGGTGAAGTTGAACCTTCGGAGTGTCATCTGATCTAGGAATGTTTCTTCAGTGCACAACTTGAACAACTAAACTGATCTTATTAAGACGTGGAACATGCATCATCCCTTACAGCTATTGCTAGAAAGTCGATCACAAGACGGGTAAAACCAATGTAACTCGCTCACAAGCTTGGTCACTTTGAGGTCATACGGAAGCTTCGACAAAATAGGCTAATTATCATTTCAAGCGCCATAGGCAGGGCAGGCTGTTGGAATGTCGCTCAGCAGCATGTCACCTGTCCACAATATTCTCAGTGGGTAGTAGCCAGCCAGGTAGCCCAATAGTAGGTTCACCGTTTCTCAGGGCGAGAAAGATGATGGCACGACCGTTAATTACCTATCTCATGGACCATGTGAAAATAAATGCTGGCTCTGATGTCATAGGTAGCATTGGACCCTGAACATGGATGGAGGCACTTGGACCTGGGCACAGACAGTAAGTAACCAGAGCTGATTTACGTGGACAATGGCCTACGTAGCAATACACTTGAAACGATTCGAAGCGGGTATCGGCAGTGCCAACTCATTCGTTAAAGTCTCGTGCAATTAGCTGTACACTGCCGAGCATATCACAGCATTGAATGATGGTGTTACTTGGTCAACATGCTGACATGTGCAGGAGCGTTGAGCTGCAGGGGATAGATAATAAGACAAAGAAAGCAAGCTTACAACTAGTCAGGGGTAAAGTGATAATATTTGGCTGAGTATTGGGCAATTGAGTCTCCGATCTTTCGAACTCGGATAATTGCATTCCAGTTGATCTGCAATAAACAAGCTTCATGCCTGTTGTACCTCTTTCGTTGACTTATGGCCTACCCTGAGGAGAGATGCGAGGCATCGTCATTGCGGTGTTTTTTCCTGTGGCTCAAGCGCTTATCTCGCTTCACTCCCCTTTGCAATTCGACTTCTCCCTTGGCGTGGCTCTGGAAAAGAATGGGTCATCCAGTGCCAAAAAAAACCAGCCCGGTTGATCATTGATCCTTGTCAATCCAACTTGATTGATCCAAATGGACCCGTCATCATCGCCCACTTTCACTTTGGTCGAAGAGGGACCTTGGAGAAGCACTTTACCTGCAGCAGTTGGTGATGTCTCAGGCCCTGTCAACGCAAACTCGCATTTCATCTCGTCTCATCCCCTTTTATCGCACTCTAATTCTCGCATCATCATGACACGACTCAGGAGAATGCTTCCTTTTCCCCTTGAGATTGTAACTTTTCATCATGGCGGTAGACTTTAAAAGACGAGACCCAACAGCCTGGTTAAACACGAGGCCTGGACCTGGGCTGGAACTTGGGCGCCTCGGCGATATGTACTGTAATCCACTTCAGTAAAAGAGCCCGGTCTGAGACCTGCCTGGGCACTGAAAAATTAGTTGTTCCGCTGCCAAAAGAAAAACGAATCGAGCCCCAGATAGGATAGGGCGCTGGAACGGCCCCTGCCTTGAATCGCAAGTGCACGGGCTTCGTAGTGAATTCGCATCCCGTTTTGGTAGAGCTCACGATAAGCTCTTCGCGGTACTTCGCGTTCAAGTACCCATTAATCGACTACCACGGCAACAGCCAACATTGGCTATACTCAACAAGGATTAGGTCATCGACAAGCGCCTACGATGTGATAGCGTGGCGTCAGCAGACGCTCCGTGGCGCAGGCGGGAACACTAAGAGTCCGGTTGGGCAGTTCAAGGCCTCGACCCCCCGTCGCGTTTCTTCTTCCCTGCGCGGCATCTGACGTCTGAGTGGCCAGTAATCAGGAGGTACGTGGCTCGCAGGTACTAACCACAGCTGCAGCTCCTAATTGCGCAGCGAGTCGGTACGACAGGCGAGTGAGGCGAGATGGAAGGGGGAGGGACAGAAGGCACGAATCATGCACGGCCGTGCCTACTTGCACTGAACCATTTCCAGGAGAATGGAAGAAGAAGAGAAAGGGAAAAAAAAGAAAGAAGGAAAGAACGTTCCCAGATTTACTTGGATATTATTTTGTCGACATCATAACATCATCAAACGCCAAAACCAAACGTCAAACGACTCTGCAAGGAAGGACTCCACCTCCCAATTGCGATCCACGACCGATACGATACGACACGAACTCTTGGGCTTTGTCGCATTTGGACCCATCTCCATCTCACAAGCTTGCGGAGAACCAGGGACCGCGGCCGCCCGTGCTACACTGCTACCGTGCTACCGTACAGTTCAGGTCCAGGTCTAGGTTCCCAGGTTCAGTTCAGTTCAGTTACGATACCCAATACCCACGTATTCGTACAGACAGAAGGCCTCCTCTCTCTCAGTCACTTTCACTTCCTCTTCTCATTTACGCACTTCGTATCTGCTGCCAGAGCCTGGCTAAACAGTAGTCGAATTAAATCAGCCACAACATTTCTCAACCGTATCAATCATCAGCTACCTACGGATACCTGTACACAAGTCGTGGAACGTGGCTCGCGCAATCTCAATCTCCAGCCGCAAGTCTCACTTGCTCGGATCTCTTATCCCCCGTTTCCCTCCGCCCTCAACTCACGCCGGTACTCGTTTGGCACTTCGTTTACTCGTCAGGGTCCGGAAGATCCGTCTTTCTACATTCCTACGACTTCTTCTGCTTATTTTCTCCGAGGGATTGACTTTTCCAAGTTTGACCGTTGACTTGTCGGCTCATCTCGACTCGTCACATCAGGTCAGGTCACGTCGTTGCGGCCCGAGAGCACAGGTCGTATTCAACTGACACAATCAACCCACGCGCTCGACATACAATGGATTCGTATGTTGCCATCTTTGCCGTCATGAATTTCTGGCTCACCTCCACCAACACCTCCACCTTCTCGTCGTCCCGTCACACCCTTTGTGCAGCCCAAACTCTATCCCCCAACATTTAGCCACCACCTCTTACCTACTTGAGCTTACGCGTTTTAGATTTATTCCAATGTCCGCCGCAGCTGCCGGCTGGGGTCAGCCTCTCGCAACAAAATCACCAGCGTCACGGCGATCATTAGGCCACTTCCGATCTCTTTCTTCAATCGCCTCAGCTCCCAGCTACCATCCTCGAACTCCTTCGCTCACTCCCGACCACACACCGACCAAATCGTCCTCCTCAATACATCTACCCATAAGGATACACGGTGCACCAACCGATTTTGGAGATGAGATGAGCACCATTCCCGATCCTCGAAGTCGTGCCATGAGCCCGGCCGTCGACAGCGGAACCGCGACCCCTACTCGTCACCCCGATCTTAACGATGAAGTCGCCACTCTTAGCAATAAGCTCATCAACGCAATTAACCATCAGACAACATTGGACGACTCTTTATCCGCCGCTCGCCACGAACTTGATGCTGCGCGCGACCGCATCCGCGCACTTGAAACTCAAAATGCCTCACAACGCGAAATGTTGACTGGTGACGTGTGGGTTCGGAAGCACACCGTCGAAGAAGAAAAGAAGGTTTGGCAGTCCAAAGTGGCGGCGGAACGCCAAAAGCGTGTCGATATGGAGATGGAAAAGAAGAAGATCGAACAAGAACTTGAAAATCTCACAGCCGCATTATTCGAGGAGGCGAACAAGATGGTGATTGCTGCCAAGGAGGAAGCCAAGGCCGACCACGAGGTTCTACAGCGCAAGAATGACCAACTCAAGTCGCAGCTCGCAGATACTGAGAGTATACTCAAATCACAACAAGAGCAACTGGTAGAGCTTAAGCACGTTATGGAGCATATGGCTTCTGAACAGAATGAGCACACTAACCCTACTGCACCCTCTTCTCCTGGCTTAACGAAACCCGACACCCGAGACGACCGCCTCTCCTCAACAGAAGAACCAGCTCCTTCACTGTGGGGTACTGCTGTCGAGCCTGCCCACCCGACAAGCTTCTCCCACCTTATTCAACCCATCCTGCGGACAGACCTATCCTCATACGATGATTTTGTCAGTCTTACACGAGTTTCTCGAAATCGCCCTGGTAGCCGTGTATCCTCGGGCTCTGTCGGTGCTTTGAATGCGTTGACTGGTTTTGGGCTTGGTGGTTCGCTGTCAAGTGCTCACCCCTCGAACGCGTCAACCACCTCTCTTGGTATGCCTATTCCTGGGCCAGGAAGCGCACCTCAGTCCCCCAACACACCGGCCTCAACTGTCAGCGCTACATCAAATGCTTCTGCCACCCCACTGCCAAGTTTGAGAGAGACAAAATTCTACAAGCGAGTTCTGGCAGAGGATATCGAGCCAACCCTTCGTCTCGATATAGCACCGGGCTTATCATGGCTTGCTCGCCGATCCGTTATCGCCTCTATTGCTGACGGAACCTTGGTTGTCGAACCTGTACCCACGACGGGCACTCTAGTGGCATTGACAAAGCCACAGTTTTACCCATGTTCACTCTGCGGTGATGCACGCAAGGACCCTCAGTATCTGCGAAACCATAGGTTCCGAACAAGTGAGACAGATTCTGCTCAACGACACCCCCTGTGCAAGTATTGCCTGATCCGCGTTCGTTCAACCTGCGACTTCTTGGGCTTCTTGCGCATGATCAAGGATGGTCACTGGAGGGCGGATAACGAAGACCACGAGAAGGCTGCTTGGGAGGAAAGCGTGAGACTTAGGGAGCAGATGTTCTGGTCTCGTATTGGAGGTGGTGTGATTCCAAGCATCCCAGCGCCCATTTCCGTCGATATAGAAAAGAGCCCGCGCAACAGCCACGATGGTAGTGCCACCTCAGATCATCTCGAAGTACCTGGCTTTCAAACACCACCCATGACAATGGAACGAACACGCAGCGATACGATGAGTAAGGATGGCCCAATCGAAGAACCACACACACCTCCCATGCAGGTTGACGGAGCCTTGAGTGTGCGCAACTCGGTTCAATCTCTTGATGTGAAGAGTGCCTCTGGTTCGGAAGAAACGAAGCGACTATCTATTACGATCCCAACCACAGATTAACACATGAACAACCGTCCTTTCAAAGCCCCTGGGTGACCACTGTGTCGACACTTTGGGCTTTGTGTATCATTATGTATACTATTTTGGGTTTAAGGATTGCATGGATTGATTTTGAATTGCGCCATTGTGGCGCTACTGCTCTGGATCGTCAGAGTCAGTTATTACGAAGCTCAGGGGATGGTGGAACAACCCCTAATATTTCTTTTTAAACGAACATGGTACCAAATTCGGATGGAAGGGTGGAAATAAGCAATTGGTCGATCTTTTACGAATTGTTCAACGGGATTTCATTACTGGCGTTTGACGAAAACATGCGCATTATTCACTTGGAGCGGCGCAACGACATGGGGGCAATGGGCTTTTCTTTTCTTTTTCGAAATGACATATTTTTCCTTTGTTTTTTATCCAGAGCGTCACGATTGGGTTGCTGCGATGCTCAGCAAGAGCCCGCGAAATGCAGGCATGCATTGGCTTTTTCACACTTATTAGATCACTTACGGCCGTCAAGCATGCCCTCTGACGATGCCATTAGTTGTAGTAGTAATAGACATGATACCAGCTACAGTTGAGACTTACGATCGACCCTCTTGTTAAACCTTACATCCGACAGCATGTACGGTTATGCTGCGCTGAAGCAAGGACCTCTTATGTGCAAGTACAAACTCCCATATCATGATGGCCATTTACTCATCCCCTCTAACCAAGCCTTTGTGGTTTGTATGGAAGTCCTCAACGTGAGCGGGCTCCTTGGGCTGATGTTATAGCTTTGTGATAAGGTGATGAGTCAATACTTAATGCAGACCACGAAAATGGAAACTTTTCGAACTTGAACATGAAATTGTATTATATGAGAACTGTGTGCATCACTGCCAGTATCGTATCAATGCCACAGTATTACTCTCGACATATGCCAACAAATGAGAATGCGTCATAGCCTGACGTCCTGGTTCTGGTTCCGCGTAACCCTCATCTCCTCCGTCTTTTGATGGTGTTTTCTGGGTGTTTTCTTTTTCAGATTAGACATTGCTCTCTCCTTCCCAGCCTTCTAATACCAGACCACCAGTGTTTTTCCCATCCTCCATAAGTCGTAAGTAATAGAGTACATGATGTTACATGATTTGTAGTCAGGTTTGTGTGAAATTGTGTCCTTTGTGCAGGAAGGGCTGTGGTAGGCCGGATGATACGGCTGATTGGGACGGATAGTTTGAAGAGCTCCTTACAGCTCCTCCTTGACAGTAGCATCTTGGAGGTTCTCGCTGGCAGGCTTGGCCATGGCTTCCTCGGCCTCCTTCTCGCCATCCTTGCTGGCAGCCACATCCTGAGGAGCGACGGCCTCTTCGTCCGCGGCCTTAACGGTCTCGCTGTTGATACCTTCAACATCAGGATGGGGAGGAGCAACGCCAGCGCCCAAGTTCTGTTCCCAACCCTCAGCAGGCTCTTGGACGTCATTGCCCTGCTCGTCGACGACACGTGTTTTGGTCTCGTACTTGGTCTTGAACTCAACCTTGCCCTCCAAGGCCTTGACTTCCTCAGGGTCGAGGAGGTTACCGTCCTGGTCACGGTACTCAACCTTCTCCTCCTTGGCAATCACTCGGTGCTCAACTTGAGGTTGTTCTGGGGCTGGAGGAGCCCCTGAGATGACAGCTTCCTCCTGCTGCTGGGCTACAGGGGCCTCCTTCTTGGGCTCAACCTTTTGGGCTGCCGAGGTGGTAGGAACTACGGACGAGCTGATTGAAGGAACCTCGCTATATTTGTCATACTGTCGATTGTGTTAGTATAAGTACTAATATTCCATCATCAAGGACCTGGTTGTAACTTACGCTATCGAAGAAAGTGTTGCAATCAAAGTCCCAAGTGCTGAAGAGCTTCACGCGCTTGCAGTCGGCCTTAGTCCAGGGGCTACCGTAAGCAAGAGGGGAGTAAAGTGTAAAGACAGCGGCCGAGAGGACGAGGAATGAAACAGTGGCAATTCGGTTGACGATGGCAGTCTCACGCGAACCAACTCCTGGGACACGAGCAGTGGCATAATCAAAGAGCTGGCAAAGGGCGACGATCGCGAAGTAGAGAGCGGGGAAGTAGTGATGAAGGAAAAGCTGACGTTGCATCAGGTAGAAGGGGAAATAGTGGAGGGCCCAGCCAAGAACTGAAGTACCAATCTCGTAGTCAAATCGCTTGAAAGTAGTGTTGGCATAATCGTTACAGCTGCGCTGCCAGCGAAGAACGGCAATGGCTTTGAAGACAACCCAGATGACAATAGCAATACTTGAAGACCACCAGATAATAGGATTTCCGAGCAGGTAAACTTGAGTGTGCTGGCGACCCCAGAAGTTGATGCCACGGCGAAGGATAGGCCAGGACTCAGGGCGAGAATCCCAGGCGTGAGAGTCAGTAAGGCCGGCATTCGTTCGCCACATGACCTTTTGAAGCTCCCAGAACTTGCCAAAGAAGCCAGGGTTGCGGTAGTTGACCTTCTCGACATCGCCTTCCAGCTGGGGATGAGCATTGCCCTCAATGTACCACAAGCTGTTAGGCAGAGTACCGCCTCGGGCGCAAGTTACTTCCTGCTGCTCCGAGGCCCAATCAGGAAGCTTGACCTTATGAGAGAAAAGAACACAGCCAGTCATGACATGAACAAGACGGAACTTGGACTCAATGGTTCGGAGACGCTCCTTTGCGACAGCGCCATGGGTCTTCTTCTTGACAATCTCGACTCGGAATAAATCGTTAGCGTCACCCTCAAAGCCCTCGTAACCGTAGGCAGAGACCTCGTTTTGCCAGTCAGCCTCAGTGATAGGAGCACGAACATCGTGAGAATGAAGGCGGCGGTGGGTAGGGCTATGGTAAAGACGGAGAACGGCGCCATCCTTGATGTGCTGAGGCTCGGGAAGGGCATCCCACGCATGAGTACCGTTAATGGGCTGCCCATCAATCCCAAGAGGCTGAGTCTGGTTCTCGAGAAGCCAAACATTGTTGTCGTCCTTGTGCGGGTACAGGGTAATCTGTTGCTGCTTGCTGCCAGTAGGGTACATGAGAGGGTGAGAGTGAAGATAACCGCCCTGGGTGTTCACGTGGCGGATAGTAACACGGCTGCCCATCATGACATCGGCGGGGACATCCTTCATTCGCTTGTTGTTGAGAGTGGCTTGGAACTCGGAGCTCATGAAGCCATCACCGTCACCAGGGTTCTGGAGACAGACAAAGTGGATGGCGAACATAGCCATGTAGAAGGTGAGAGGAATGACAATAAGACAGAAGACTCGGGCCATGAAGTGCTTAGTGAAAAGTCGCTGGGCATACATTAGTTATGAAATTCACATTGACTGAAGTTGACAACTGCTCACCATAGATACGTTCTTGCTGTCACCGAGAAGAGCCCAGAGCTGAAGAAGCGTAAGGGATCCAACCCAAGCAATTGTGAAGAGTCCAACCCACTTGATGCTCACGGTGATACCCAGACCAAGACCGGTGAGAACAAGCCAGAACCACCAACTCAGCTGGAAAGCCTTCGTAGGGCCAAGCTCGTGCTGGTTCGTGAAGCAAGAGAAGGCGAGGACTGTGAAAGCGGTCGCGGCGACAAGAGGCGAATCGAGAAGGATCAGGCGGGCCTGGGTCAGAAGACCGTTCTCTGCACATAGTCAGTAATAATTTTAACTGCAAAGTGGTGAGGATAACTAGGGGACGAACCAAAGATGATGAGACCGGCGCCCATGGTGGCAGTCATAGTACGACAACCAACAGCCTTCAAGGTGAAGAACATGCAAGGAATCAGGAGAATACCGCAGATCGCAGGGAACATTCGCATCGCAACGTAGGGGACGCCAGGCTCGATGTAGTCCTTGCCGATCTCCTTGAAATCGAAGCTTCCATCAAAACCAGCGAGCCATCCAGTAAGAGCGATAAGCATCTTGGCCAGGGGAGGGTGGACGTCCATAAAGAACTTGCCCTTGATGTACTTTGTAGCAAAGCCACCGAAGCTATAGATCGTGTATGTTAGCGCATTGGTGAGCCAAACAGGAATTAGAGCTTTAGAAGAGCTCCAACTGGAGAGACGCACTGGACCTCATCGAAGACAACGCTCGTGGGCAGGTAGATCTTGTAGATACGGACAATGGTAGCAACAACCATGAGACCGAGGACTACCCAGTAGTCGGAGGCGGGTAGGAGGAAAACATCGTTGTCCTCAACGCCCTCAGACTTGTATGAGATAGACTTGTTGCCCTTGGCCTTGGACTTGGACGTGGTGGTAACAGCAGTGGGCTCCTGAGGGGGGGCAACCACAATGGGCTGCTGTTTCTCAATCACAGGCGTCGAAGCCTTGACTGGCGGTTGGGGACTTTTGCCTCTCGTACGAGCCATGGTGTGGTGGTCGAGTATCAAAATGGAGTTCGAGTCGATTCGATCGCAAGGTGACGCTGTGTCCTAGTCGTGGACACTCGAATTGTTCGATGTAACGAGAGTCGATGAAGAAGAGCTAGAATGGAAGCCGATGGAGAGAGTTTAGAGATACCTCATCGATGACCGGGGTTCAAACGGAGAAGGGATAGGAATAAGAATAGAAAGGAGAAGAGAAGGCAGCCCAAAACGTGAACCGCAGACCGCCGTGATGATACGAATATCAGCGGCAGTAAATAATGCGATAAGCCCGGGGAAAAGATGCTGGGCGATACGAGGTTTGCAAGAAGGAAGAAATAAAATAAAAAGGGAAGGGGGAGGAAAAAGAGGGATGAAGCTCCAGGGGATGGGCGACGTTTAGTTAGCACACCTAACGCTGCAGCTGGAACTGAAAGTGGTGATGGGGAATGGGCTGGATGGTTGCGGTACGAGTGGAAAGCAGGCGCGTGTCACCCTCGTTCAAAAAATTGTAGCTACAGTGGCCTCTTCGGCTGGTTCCTGAGGTGCTTGGCTGTTCATCTCTAGACACTCGCGGGCTGTCAGCCCAGTGGAGGCTCTCCCTAACTTGACCCCTGCAGCGAATCAAACCCGGTCCCGGCCGCGAAGATCCCCTGATAGTCCCCGCAGCGCTAGTCCAGAATAGAGCTTCAGCAGGTGCTATTGGACCTATCAATACTGGCCACTGGGGATAACTTTTGATAGTCGACTTTGTTTCAGCTCTCGCAAAACGCGTTTGATATTGACGATTGACTATATGCTTAGGGGACTTGTTTGGGTTAAATCACCGATATATATAGCACTCACATACATTAGTAGGATAAACACATACTGCATTAGTCACTAAAGAAATACATTGGGCTTTAACTACTAACTGTGGCTACTGCAGCCACACAGGGGGGCTTTCTCGGATGTGGCTCCAGCTCCAGTACCAAACAAGACTACTGGTAAACTAAACATTCAGGTACACAACTTAACCCCTTTTCTGTCCATGATCTCCAAATTACTTGAAACGTGTGTTCTAGACCATATTTGACAGTCGAAGCGTTTGCCGCCGCCCCTTTGACAGTCTAAGGCTGCACAACGTAGCGTGTCTTGTAGTTAGTACTCTATCAGATACTGACATGTTGACATCTGGACAGTATCTATCACCTCCGTTTGGAAGGACAATGGATATGCAATCTGAACTAACAGCAGCTACGGCATATCTTAATACAGTCTTCTGATCGTCAAAAATCATAGTATTCAATCATGTTTTACCATAGGGATGACCAATTGACTCGATATCGGGTATCTAAACTCCACTATTATCGTATATTCACAACACATCGACGCTTTTCTTTTCTTATCCAAGAAACATCGACAACTACGTGTCACACTGAGACCCCCTTGAGTGCAGATATTCTGCCCATTGCCGAAAACCAGCGATCCAATGTGGAACGCCTTGTGGCTTTGCCAATTCAGTTAGTGAAGCCTTTCTGGGAGACTCTCGGGTTAACCAGTTGTGACCTTGAGCGTCCAAAACATCAGCCATGGACGCAGATATGATGGTCTGGACCTGTCCATCAACCAGAGAAAACTCTTGCAGTGCCTGCATCGCCTCGCTCCATCGCGATAACGCGACCTCGAAATCCGATCTGATATGTGACAGCTTCGCCAAGATGACATAGACTCGTAGTCTCTCATATTTGAGTAGACTGGTTCGTATCTCAATGTCGGCACATATCTCTGCAGCCTCTTCGTAACGCTCCTGAGCAAAGAGAGCTTCGGCCAATGCCAGCTCCAGAAGTGACTTGCCAGGTAAGGGATCGGGTCTCTCAGTCCGTCGTATTATCTCTGCTCGAAGATACCCTTCACCAGTCGCAGTCTCGTCAAGTTCTCGCAAAGTGTCAGCGAGATCGCATGTCATGTCCCGGAGATCTTCATCAAAAACAATCTCATTCGGTTCCTGTGACGCTCGATGTGCCATTTTGAGGAGCCTCAACGCGTTACTGAAATTGCCTTGCAACCGCATGACTCTCCCTAACAGAGAATGCTTGCGGAAGCTCAGTACCTTCTCCAAAGGCGAGGGATCATCACCAAGAGGGTTCCAATCATCCAGTAGACTTTGCGCAGTGGAAAGATCTGCCACCTGAATGCAGTTCAAAGCACGCTGGATGATCGCAACACCCACTTCGCAACGTACCCGTTTATTCACCGCTGCAGCTGGATCGTTGGATACGAAGTCTTGAAGGCTACTTGTTGCTTCATCCATATTCCCACTTAGGCGTCCCAGGACTGCCTTGGTCTGTCCAATGCAAAGGCGAAGGTGCGTGTCTTTCAAGCGCCCAGCGGCCAGTTCTGCTTGCCCAATGGCAAAGTATTTCCAAGCCATGTCTGGGAATCGGAAAGCCTCGATGAGAGTAAGCATAAAGTCTGTTCTAGTGACAGTAGGTAACTCATCAAAACAGTCCTGGAACGCCTCGGCAACATGGTGTAGATGTGGTAGGAATGATTTGACCACTGGATCTCTTGTATCGTGTCAGTGGTTCGAGCTCGACGGTCGCCAGTTTGTAACTCACGGAAACTCTAAGTACTTCCAAGGTATCGATCTGTAAGCAACAATCAAGGCCTGCTGTCGCCAAAAGGGGAGGGCATCCGAGGCAAGGCTCCGATGAACTCGTGCTGACATATCTTCATTTAAGTGATACGTCTCATCTGGGTATATGAGAATGGCTGCAGATTGATATAATTCGACAAAGGCCTGTGTAAGTCTTTGAGTGTCTGATAGGAGGTCGACTAGTCCTGGAGCCAGGCCAACTTTGGTTGCATCGACAAGCTCAATCTCTCCCTCGACTGTCCAACGTTTCCTTGGTGTTGATCCGCGTGCGCAAAGATCGAGAGGAATTTTTTCGCAAGGGGAGAAGAACGACAGTAGGACTAGTAATACACTGGCATCTTCGGCTCGAGTGGAGCTCTCATCATACAGAGAATGAGAGGCAGCCTCAAGGGCAGAGTCTCTCCATGCCGACAACTCCATCAACAGAGATTTATATGAAATTTATCGTTGTGATGAACCGATCGTCGACCACCGTCTCAATCGATAAGCTTCACGGTACAAGCCCACTCCAGTTCTGCGTTGTTTTGCCCACTGGGGATGGTGAATATTTGTACAAGACTCTGTCTTTCATGGGACTATTGATAAGCCTTCTTGAAGAGCTGCGATATTGTATAGGCCGGGACTCAAGATAGCGGTTTTGAATGCCGAATACCGATAGTGTGTTAAAGATACTATACCATCCTAGGTTGTAGGTCGGGGAAAACGGCGACTGCTCCGTGGTAGCTGATAAACGTCATTTATTAGGGTATCGTGGATTTTGGAAGCGGATTACTGCGGGGTATTCAGATGCTAACCGATAAGTTGCCTGTAAATTACTACGTAGTAGTGTATCGATCTTCAGTCGCACGACAAGCCTACGATGAATCACTAACTGCTGGAGTATTGATAGATATGATCTGAGCTGGTCACTAAGAATCAGTTGTACATGAGGTTGACCAAAGGCCACTTACCAAGTTAGTTCATTTGTTGAAGAAGTTTAATAAAGTACCTAGGTACCAATGTGGCAGGTTTTACAGAAGACCTACTGTCCGAAGACAAGGATATGTTCAAGACGTCCGTTAAGGTGCGGGAGATGCGAAGAGATACAGCCAATTATCATCATGAAGTGGTGAACCAATTGGAGGCGCTATGTTAATAACGAACGAAGTCAAAAGTCAGAAATCACGGATGGTAATATAAAGAAGGCACCCAAGAAGTCACCTTCCTATGCTATGTTGATCTCTACTTGATTAGACGAGAGAACCCTCTCGACTACTCTTCAAGCTGGAACTATGATTGATTGTAACCTTCTTCATGTCTTGAATGTTTGATACGATGACATAGCAGGCGTCATGAAAGCTTGTAATTCTGTAATTCCTTTTGAGAACAAGGGTGGACTGAAATAGCCCCAAGAATGCATTGACGTACAGACTAAGATCTCAAATTACCAAGAACATATCATTCCGGGAATAACTACAAGACGAACGAAGCATGTTGTTGTCAAACTTGAGCTGGTCGCGGGTAGGTCGCCAATGACAGCGGAACAATTATTACCCGACACAAGCTTCGCGTCGCCAGAGCACCTCGAAATTTCCCAAGTCGCCATCAGACTAGCAGTTCCATCAGCCTTTTCCTCAGCGCGTTCTCGTTCTCTTCACAATGGCCGCCGTAACAACCAACGGCGATGCCGCCGCAGCAACCGTTCTCGACGATATCAAACCTCCCGCTGGAGTTGTCCTTCCTCCCCGCGAGATTCGAAATGTCCTAGAAAAGACAGCCGGTTACGTAGCGCGCAATGGCGCCGTTTTCGAGGATCGCATCCGCGAAAAGGAGCGCTCCAACCCGAAATTCAGCTTTCTCAACCCTGCCGATGCCTACCACCCCTTCTATCAATGGCGACTCGATGAGGTTAAGAGTGGGCGTGGTACAGCTATTGCTGCTGGTCGCGCGGGTGAGCCTGTAGCTGAGGCTCCTAAACCCGTGGGACCCCCGAAGCCTGCCGATTTCCAATTCTCTGCGCGAACGCCTCGTATCAACCGAAAGGATCTGGATGTGATTCAAATTTCGGCTCTCTTTGTAGCGAAGAATGGCCGTCAATTTATGACACAATTGGCTCAGCGCGAAGCTGGCAACCCGCAGTTTGGGTTCCTCATCCCCAACCACACCCTCCACAACTTTTTCCAGCACATTGTCGACCAATACACAACATTAATACGTGCGAGTGGCCTGAGCGGAGAAGGTGGCAAGCTTCAGGAGGAGCGGGTCAAGGCCCTCGAAGCCAACATTAACGACAAGTTCCTCGTCCTGAACCGCGCCAAGCAACGAGCCGAATATGCCAAATATGTCGAGTCTGAACGCCAAAAGAGAGAGGAGGAAGAGGTTAAGGAGAAGGAAGAGTTTGCGCAGATCGACTGGAGTGACTTTGTCGTTGTTGAAACCATCACCTTCAACGAGGCCGACGAGCAAGCGAACCTTCCACCCCCGACCAACTTGTCCGAACTTCAGTATGCATCCCTCGAAGACCGTAATAATGCATCCATCAGCGCAAGTCTTAGAATCGAGGAGGCCATGCCAGACGAAGATACCAGCTACAACGCATATCCCAACCAGGCTATCCCTTACCCCATGGCTCCCCAACAACCGGCCTACCAGCCTGTCCAGATGCCTCCTCCATTACAGCCATACTCCCCTGGCCCACAACAACCACAGCGGTCAGCTCAGGAGGAGGAAGAGGAGCGTCGTATCCAGGAACGCGCAGAGCAACAGGCACGCAAGCAGCAGGCTGCCGCCGAAGCTCGTGGTGGTGCTCCTCCGATGAAAATCAAGGAGAATTATGTGCCCCGTGCAGCTCAAAAAGCTGCTAATAGACAAGGTGCCCAGATGGCGCTGTGTCCCAATTGTAAACAGGAGATTCCTATGAATGAGCTGGAAGCTCATATGCGAAGTATGTTACAAATTATTCCATTCCGACACTCAATATGCTAACTGTTGTTTAGTTGAATTGCTCGACCCTCGTTGGAAAGAACAGAAGGCCAAGGCAGACTCGAGATATGCCTCTTCAAACATGTCTCACGTCGATGTCGCCAACAACCTCAAGCGTCTTGCCAGCCAGCGTAGCGACGTCTTCGACCCAGTTACCGGACAGGCTCTTTCTGAAGATGAACTGGCGCGCAGAAAGAAGGCCGCCATCCACAGTTACGATGGCGCAATGGACGCTAAGAGCCAAGCCCAGCTTGGCCATATGCAAAATGTTAATGTCGAGGAACAGATCCGTGCCATCCACCAAAAGTTTGCCGACAAGAAGTGAGGCACTGGGCTGATTGTGCCCGCGTGGAGATGACGAAGAAAAGAACCCAGCTACCCCTGACCCAAGCAATTGTCAGGTAGGGACTGCTGTTCTTGTGTATACGGACCATGTATACCGCTACATGTCGCGATAGGCGTTGTAGGACTAGGCCCAAGGTGAGGCACATCTGGCGTAAGGCGTTTTGATGATTATATGGGCTTATACTTGTTTGATCCAGCTCAGTGTCTGTACCAGAGTTTTGGGGGTATCGACTCGGGAGTGTCATGGCGTGGTAGGCTGGCCAAGAGTTGGCCGAAAGGCTCATTGGTTCGAGATGAGCAAAAATGCGCTTCTCATTCATACGCCACGTACATTTGTCACTTTTCGAGGCGAAGATACGGTTAATATGGCTTACGAAAAGACGCCTCCAGTTTGAAATAACGATGCTGGGCAATGCAGCTTGTATCGACTTATAATTATGCCTTGGACGCTATCGCCGACTTGCTCGAACGCCCTACATCGGGCTGATGGAATATTGAAAAGCCCATTATTGAATACAAACCAATATTATCCATTTTTATGTAATTGCTCGCAGATATGATCTCGAATACTTTGACCTCTGCAATATTAGAAACTGCTAATGTGATTATGTTACGGCTGAACATGTCGTAATTCTTGGTTACACAATTAACTGTTCACAAAACGGATCCCGAATGACCCGAAACAGGCTTAACCCCCGTCATTTGTTAACGACTGTAACACACACCGGGCAGCCAAGGAAAAAGATACTTACGTCTATCCGTGGCCCAGGCCAATTCATCAAGTACCCCGCTCTCTCTCCCCTCTCCCATCTCCCCACCTCTTCCTCTCACTGGAAACCTCATGCGACACACGCCTTAACAATCATATTCTACCTCACCTTCTCCTCCTCCTCCATTTTCAACCTCCACTCTCCAAAACATCACCACCCGCCTCTTGTTGCGCCTCCACCGATCGGCGTATTCTAAGCACTCAATCCTCCGTTATCTCTAACAGCCACCACTTTAAAGCTATCTCGATAATACCGCCAACATGGCGTCCGACCAGGACAACTCGGGCCTCGATGCGCCTGGCTCACAATTCCACCGACCCATTCTGCAATCCATGCCCGATACGCGCCAGCAGAGCTTCGACGAGATCTACGGCCCTCCGGAGAACTTCTTAGAGATTGAGGTGAGCCTTTCTCTCCCTCTTTCTTGCGCCCTATGCATGATCCCGACATCACCAGATACGTGAAAACAGAGAGATAAAGGCTGCAGAAAGTGCTTACAAAAAGTGCCATATATAGGTCCGCAACCCAAGAACGCATGGCATGGGCCGTCACATGTACACCGACTACGAGATCCTCTGTCGCACAAACATCCCCGCCTTCAAGCTGCGCCAGAGCAGTGTCCGCCGCCGTTACTCTGACTTTGAGTACTTCCGCGACATCCTCGAGCGCGAGAGCGCCCGCGTCACCATCCCACCCCTGCCCGGCAAGGTCTTCACCAACCGTTTCAGCGACGACGTCATCGAGGGCCGTCGCGCCGGTCTCGAGAAGTTCCTCAAGATTGTCGTCGGCCATCCTCTGCTGCAGACGGGGAGTAAGGTCCTGGCTGCCTTTGTCCAGGGTGAGTTTGTCGCCAGATCCATCCTCGCTCTTATGATGTCTCGATTGACACCCTCACAGACCCCAACTGGGATCGCAACGCCTGGTGACGCCTCCGTCTAATCTGGCCCTTCAAAACCATGTCATCTTCTCGCTCACGCTCACGCTCACACTCACGCTCGCCATCTCCATCTTCACCTCCGCGCCAACCTCGAAAGCTCCGCAAGCGAAACCCGGCTCTCAACCACAGAGACGCCCTTCTCGACAACATGCCTTCTCCGTGACTACAGCAGCAAGCCAAGGAAATGAACAATATGAGAAGTTGGAATGGTGTTCCTCTTCACGTACATATTATTCGCTCTTTGTTTCATGCGGGCAAAAAGCAAACTCTGGTCCAGTCATTATGTTTCATTCCGTTTCAAAAACCTTTCCAACTTGTATTCCATGTTCTGAAGCTCCGGGACTTACTTGTACGGCGAAACGTTCTTATTACACTCATGAGAGGCGTCGATGGACAGATGGATAGTCTTGTATTCATACCTTCCTCAGAATAACAAGAGTAATTCGCCTTGCCAAGATCCCAATACAGGATAGGGTGATGCTTCAGTTTTTAATGTGAAAAATAGGTATATGGTGTGTCATTTAATAGTCATTGAGCTTTCATTAAGTCTGATGGGAGGTGGGGATCTCTCTATCCAGAATGCGCGCAAGCTGGTGATGATACCGATACAATGTGATATCCTGAAGATGCACATGTATCTCTTATTATACATAATTTCGTACATAATCTTTGCGTGGAAGTGAGCATGAGTGTAGGTGTTTTAGCATTCCCCTCTACTGATCCGTCCGCTCGCCAAACGCCAAAAACAAAGTTTCTTTATCACACCGTCGCCCCTTTTGTTGGTTCATCGTAATTTCCTCATGCCCTTACTCCTGTAAAAGATCCCGGGTGTTGTATATTGATACAATGGCGAGTGGTGTTCTGTCCGGCTCAAGAGCTTCATGGTAGCTCGCGTTAAATGGTGTTACAAGTTGTTGATTGACAGGCGGAAGTAGGTCCTAATTTGTCCCTGTTATCCTGTTATACTGTCTCTCAGTAGTTCAGCACGCTGCTCTATAGCCAAAAGCTCTACGCAGGTGTGTGGAAGAGTCGAAGGATGCCTTCGTACATGGCGAACATAATGGCGGCGCTGGGTACTGTTCGCATCAGATGAGGGGTCAGACCGCCGTATAGACCCATGACGCCCTCCTCAAGCCAGACAAGCTTGAAGCATTGAACCAGGCCGGTATACTTGGGCAAGCCATTTTGCATAGGCGCCTGTCGAAGTCGTGTTCGCGCAACCTACCATATTGTCAGCATAATAGAACAACCTCATGCCTCATATCAATGACGTACCTCGTGAGGATAAGCGATAACGGCAGCAACTAGCTTGGCACTTCCCGCAGAAAAACCCTTTCCGGTCCAGTCAACCGTGTTGTCCCACCAAGTCTTCTCACGGCCGCTTTGGATGAGCTCGTTCTCTCTTCGGGCCAGAGATACCTTCATCTGCTCGTAAAGCATCCATTGCATCGTTGACTCCACCACGCCGAGGTAACTAGCGCTCATGCCGCGGTAAAGACTTCGGATGCCCTCATCCCGAATAATTTGACGTATGCAGTCATAGCTGTTGCGGTACTTGCGTAACTGAGCACCGCCAGCTGCCACATTTTTATCCAGTTGTAGACGAGTCTTGATCATCCAGATTGGGTTCGTGGCTGTTGATGTAATAACACCAGCTGCCACACCTGCCGACAAGTGAACCCAGGGGGCCTCTACACCGTTGTTGAGATGTTCAGAGACCAAACGCTTTCCATTGCCGTAAACGTAGAAGTTGATAGAACGAGCCGGTACAACTCCAACCGTGGTTGGGCCAAGACCTTTGAAGAGTGCGCGCCAGCCTTCATTCTTGTATACTGAGCCAAGAATCTGGAGGGTGTCGTTTAGATGATATAGTGCGGCTCGGGCAGGATTAAGTCGGCCAAGGGCTTGAACTTGGGCTTCACGTTGAGCTCTGATTTGGGCCTGGTAGAAATCGGATTGTAATCGGGTCTTGAGCACATCGAGGGGAGCAGTCATTGCTGCAGCAGTCATTCCTCCAATACTAGGATCACATCAGGTCAGTCTCGTTGCTCCTCACAAACTGCTGCTGTAACAACTTGTCGCAAGTCAAGCTGGTAGTGGAATGGAAGTTTACCTACCCGCCAGCGACCATGTGCACCCATGATTTAGCAAAAGGCAACGCCTTAACATTTCCCTGAATAGGAGTGTCATCGGGAAGGACGTCGCCGGTCTCTCGTGACTGGATAAGTGCCGAATGGTCGATAGGTACATGCGTATGATGGAATGGCTTCTCGTCGCGGCTAGTCATGATGGGCGTTGTTGATTGTTGATGTGACATTATGAGAACGAAGTAGAGTCAAGTGATTCAACAGGAAGATCTTGGTCTTCTTCGATATTGATTGTACTGTTGCCGTCACTCGTTCTTCGATGTGATCCGTCGTCTAAATTCGAGTTTGCGCGGGAGGGTCGGAGACGCAGCAAGCTCCGATGCAGCTTGTCAGTACCCTACAATCAATAGAGCATGTGATGTAAATGTCGATCGAGTGTTGTCGAAGATCCAGTCGCCAGAGGATGTTGAGAAAGAGGAATGGCCTCTATAAATCGGTGATCGAAAAAAAAGATGGAGAATCTTTTCATGAATCAGCGAAGCGGTCGCTAAGTCACCTCTAATCGCCTCCGACTAACAAGCACTGCCAGCGACCATCAAAACTTTTTTCTATGACTACCACTGGACGCGCTTCGACTGATAAAGTGGCGCTTTGGCGGGTCTTCGAGGTACGTACCCTTTGACCTCCGAAGCCTTAAATGTGGGACTGAAGATGTAAGTACCTCTCTAGTCCGTATCCGTAGATGCAGTGCTTCAGTAATTACAGACACAACAATCAACGCTGACGGATATATAACATCTTCTACTTAGAACTAAACTCGCTAAGCGTAAATATGAATGGCCAGGTTAAACATGGCTTTATATTCATGGCATCATCGCACATTGACCAGTTTCCTTCTCTTGCATTCCCAGCTCTTTATGTAGACCCTAACAGGCTTGTTCATTCATACGTAGAACGCCAACGGAGCTATTCTGACTAGATAGTATCAGCTGGGTGAAGGATTCAACGAACCGTCACCACTTCTGTACGTACTGTTCGAAGCTATTGCGAGCGAACTTGTTAGACCTGCAGCATTTGTTGCAGGTTGTAAGGCTTCGACCGAATGGTTGCTGTGATCCGATCTGGCCGATTGTCCTAGTCCGAACGGGAGGCGGTGCCGCTCAGCGCTCAGGTCGAAGCGATGCATCGATGCGGTTGATGGTTCCATCGTGTTAGGGAGGTGCCCGTTATCTCGGCTGGGTGGTCTTGATCCTTCGTCTGTCCCATATGTCCCTGGTGTCCTTTCTCCAGACGTTCTGCCGGTGTCTTGCTGATCTCCATGCCGACTTGATCGTCCATCTTTCGGATCCAACGTTTCAGTGCCCGGTCCACTGTCTGATTGCCCATCAATGTCCATCTCATCCCTGAGGCCCATTTCTCGTTTAAGCTGTCGAATTTCGTCATCTGTTACTGTTTTCCAGCTGCATTTAGCATGCTTCTTTGTACATCCTGAGCAAGCCGTCAAGTGTTTGACGCATTCTACTCGGAGTCTTCGACAACGATCACAAGGCGGATGTATCACATCTCCTTTGCCCAGTTGATCGGTTTTCTGTGCGATAAGTGGTCGAAAAGCTGCCTCACGGCTGTCAATGACAGGCTGCATTGTAGTTTCTGCTATGTGCCCACCATATCGTGACCCATGCGTTTGAGAGTGAGCTGTGCTGTGAGACGGCGATGGTTGACTTAGTGTAGTTAGAGGAATCCCTGTAACTGATGTTGATCGTGAGGGTGGAGGTGAAGCAGTAGCTGTAAGAAACTGCTGCAATAAATCTGCATGCAGATCGTATCCAGCACCAAAGTTGGCTGCTCGTTGAGAACTAGTACTGCTGGTGCTGTTGGCGGGCTGGTATCGAGACGGGGATGTCTCCTGAGAGCTACGGCGTCGACGAATGTCTTGCTTCCGCTGTCCAAGCCGATGGTTGAGTATGCGAGCTCTCGCCGCTACTTCATCAGCCTTCTTGTAAAGAATGGATGTTCTTTGTTCGAGAATGTCCAAAGTTGCCAGCTCTGCTGTCTCGTCTTCTTCAACAGGGTGATCCAGCGGAAACCTGTCCAGAGCTCCGGACCACACTAAACGCCAATCATCTTCCAGAATTTCGACCTGCGAGCCCTTGAGCACAAACTGGCAGCATCGGGAGCCGTCTGATTTCTGAACAAGGGTGAAGTCCTTGGGATTCGATCTGGCAAAACTGACTACATCAAGCCAGCTAATGGGGTTGGAGAATGGTTGAAGTGGTGTCGTCTTGATTGGCCCATCAAAAAACTTCTCAATACCTCTTAGGAGCCGCGGGCCTGTCAGCTTGGCCCCCAGGCTTGCTGCAAGGCTCTCATGTCTATCCAAAACGCCTGATGCATGTTAGTCAGAGCGCTAATACTACTGATTGATCCAGGCATCTAAGCATCCTTACTCTCATATTCGCTAATCAAGCCAATGATATCAGCAAATGTGTCGGCGTCACCTTGGACAAGGCTCAGATGTGAAGCATTTGATCTCGAGAGATAATGGATATAACCTGGAGCGCCTTGAGTGTCGGGTTAGCATATCCTCCAAGTGAACAAGCCGCGCCAGCGCACCAAGACGAAGAAGTCGGATACAAAAGCAACAAGCATGTGCGTCCCTGGAGGAGTCGAGCTAAGCGCTGTGTCCGGCGAGGGGGCCATATCAGAAGAAAGCGGCTGATTCGGATAACCCTTCCTGCGTGCCATAGCCATAAGGCGACAACGTGCACTGAGGCATGAATGTAGGTCACAAAGACCACTGTACAAGCAATGACGACTAAGACAAGACAGACGGCCTTGCGCGGATGCTACAAGCAGAGCGCCTCAGGAGTCGAGGCGACACAACATGGTGCAGCACTGGATGGCTGGTGTCATACTGGACATACCTTGCTTGAGAGGTGTAGGTGCATGAGCACGCCCTTGACCACCGGCATCATCGACATCACGCTTTCGTTTTGCGGGTTCCGAATCGGAAGTATGGCCCATGGTGGGTGTTTGTGTGTTAGACGCGGTTTGTCGGTCTAAGGAGAAGCAAATCGGTCACCAAATGTGTTACTGTAATAGAATGAGGCGCTTGTGTTTGCCCAATAACCGTCCTAACCGAGATTGAACCCTTGACTGCCCTTCCAAGACACGGAATTCCGCCTGGATAATGCAGAGGATAAAAACAAAATGTGAGTGTATTCAGGGCACGTATGGGAATTTGAGAGGAACGAGGAAAGGAGAATCAGGTGAGTGGCAACGTCGCGAAGGGATTGCGACGGGGATAAAGGCGGCAAGCAGGTAGGTAGGAAGGTAAAGTGAGAGGGGAGAAAAGAGAGAAGGGGACAGAAATAGCGGTTATTGAATATTCATGGCGACAGAGTGAAGCTGGATTGAGTTGAGAATGGGTTGAGAGGACGATGCTGTCGATTTAAGGTATCAGGGGAGAGGATATGTCTGCCAGATGCAGGTAAATGGCCGCCAAGAGGAGGACAATTGTTGATGCTCCGTCAAGGATAGCTCAATTTGGTTCGAAGCAGAAAATCCCTCGCACGAAATAGCGCAGCAAGCTACAGGCGGTATAATTGGAGACTTTAAGTTAAGTTAGGTGGGCGAAGATGAGCTGTTAATTAACAGAAGGAAAAAGGAAATTGGAGAGAGGGTCAAATATGAGTGAGCATTTGAAGACCAGAACGAGATGGCGGGAAAAAGAGTCTCAAGCAAGAAATAAAGTGCCGGGACGATGTGGGGGGAGGAGCAGGAGGCCAGGTCAGGTCTGGTCAAGGGAAGAGGAAAGAGCCCATGGTACTGTGCGTACAAGGGTAAACAAGGTGAGGTCAAGGGAAGAAAGAGCGCCAGTAGCCAAAATCTCCGAATGGCAAGCACCTAAAATGGGATGACAGGTGCTAATGTGAGTTTGAGAGGCGTGCAGAGAACTTCAAAAGAGAGACTGAATACCTAAACAGTGAGACACGCCAAGAGAAGACGAGAAGAACTCTCGACTAAATAACACAGAGAGCAGTAGGAGCAGGAGCAAGTTACACCCAGTTCATATTGATACCCCTAGCTGATACGGATGCTGTCCATAAGTACTGGATATTAGCAGTAGGCCAACGGGCTGATCAATGCTAGTGCATGTCTTGATTTCCTCCTTTGGGCAGCCGATAATTGACAATCAAGAGGCCTCCTCGAACAAAGGGAGCAAGGCAGGTACTTGCAGCTTAAAAAACAACTCATGTGCTCACTGTTTGTAACATGATGTGCGGGATGTATCATACACATAAGTGTTACAAACGCTCTGATGCAGGCCCTTGCGCGGGATCTTTGTATGAATGAGGCTGTGCTGCATTTCTGTAAGCTACTTTAGCTTCCACGGATGGAGGGAGGGATGAGATGGCGGTAACAACACAAGCTCTAAGCTGCATGGACTTGGTTTCACATAATATGAGGGAATATCATTGGCTTTCTAGTGATCTCGCGGTCAGTCAAGTAAACGGGATTGGATGCACGCTCGTCGATCTGCGTCTAAAGCTGCTGTAACGCTGGTTCCCGAGGCACGCGAGCGATATTTCCTAGTCCTGTAACTGTATTGTCCATCATCGACTCGCTATGACACTCGGTACCGCGGCACAGCAGATCGGTAAGTGAGTATCACTAATTGACCAAGACCCAGTTGCTATGACATTCAAGTTTGGCAAGCGCATTATAAAGATACAACTTGTTTTTAGAGCGGTTATGAGGTACAAATCGTATCACGTTCTCATGGACATGTAGCTACCTATATCCAACCTTGTCACTCATTGGTCGAATCGTAACAATTGACAGTCAAGCTCTGTACGGATAGCACCAAGCTCTCCATCTCATTCTGACAATCCACTCTCACACCAGTCTCACACATACCTCCCCACGGTCGAGCCCATATTCACACACGACTTCTACCATTTCAGTACTAGCTCTGTTCACCCCACCAAAGCAATCACAAGTTCCAACCTCGACTCGAACCCAAACCCCAAGCTCATCACCAATATCCCACCCTATCCTCCCAACTCAGCCACCCACCCGAAGATAAACCGCCATGTCCGATAGACCCTCACACCGAGGAGGCCGCGGCCAAGGATCGCATCCCCGCGGTGGACGCGGAGGCGGTCGTGGAGGAGGCGCAGGAGGCGCGCAGCAGGAACGCGAGAGGCCCAAGAAGGAGAATATCCTCGACCTGGGCAAGTATATGGACAAGCAGATTACCGTCAAGTTCAACGGCGGTCGTGAGGGTATGTTTGGACGAGTCATGCATGGGGTAGGATGCGCTTCTAACTTGCGACGCAGTTAAGGGAACGTTGAAGGGCTACGATGCTCTTATGAACTTGGTTCTCGATGATGTACACGAGGTTGTTCGAGGTATGACGTGCGGCTAGCTATACATAGTCTCCCTCCATCAACGCCTGCTTTGGCATTGTCGACATGTCCGCAACTAACAACCATCTTCACAGACGACGAAGGCAATGAGTCAACCCGATCCCTTGGCCTCGTAGTTGTTCGAGGCACACTCCTCGTCCTTGTCAGCCCTGTGGACGGCAGCGAAGAGATCGCTAATCCTTTCGTGCAAGCCGAGGATGACTGAAGAAACGAACACTGTCAAGCTGGAAATGATTATCATGATGATGGCGAAGAAGAAAGGCGCCTGGCCTGGAGTCGGCCGCGATATTTATGACCGTGTGAAGGCTGGATGATCCGAAGAAATTCGAGCGACTCCTAGACCGCCATCTGCTAGCATGCCATTTCGGACTATGAATAGGTCACCAAGAACCACCTTGTACAAATACACTGGCTTCAGTCGTGGAATCATCACGTCAAAAGCCGCACCATGAGGTCTTGCTTCGAATCAAGGCAATATATCATGTTAACAAAAGCAAATGAACTACTTTACTTGTCTCTCGCTATGTCTCATCTCGCTCAGCCCCCATTTCAACATAAACTTTGGACATATACGAAGTCTCTCACTCTAACATCATCAATCATGGCTGACCGATTCTCATCCTGTATGCCCCGTTCGCTATTCCAAGATACCCAAAACCCGACATCATGTATGGCCTCAAGCTCTGTGGCATTATCGCCTGAAAAGTTGTGATGATCCAAAACCTCCGGAATTTTCGTCACGTTGACTCACTTTTCGTCGCGTAAAGGAAATCGCTTGGTCAAGCATTTGGTGAACTCCTCTGGCTCTTTCTTGGTTTCTCCATTCTTCCACTTGGAAACCTCGGGGGATTCATTCCCGGATTCTTGCAAGTCGTTCGGGGATTTTCCCTAAAAGCTTCGGCTTGACTTGCTGCCCTTCACCAGATCGCCAAATGCAGTAGCCAACATCTTTTTCAGTTCTTTGTAACTGACAAGGAAGCTGGTCTGATCGTCTCGACTTGTGAGGCAAACCCTCTCTTCTGATCCAACATCTAACTTGTTCATGCATCTGAGCATGTGTCCCATATCCAGGACGGGTTTGCCAGCGCCATCCACTTGGTGGAAAGCATAGTCTCGAAATAGCTTGAGCATATAACGGTCGCCGGTTTCGCACCACCTTCTATCACCATCAAATTCAGGTCGTTCATTGATAGTTGCGAGTTTCATCATTAATCTCGCGGCCCTGCCGTTTTCAACCTCCCGCATCATATCAGTATTGACCTTGTCCAACGCCTGTAGATTCTGGTCCAGTGTTGCTGTGATGCGCCCAGCTATTCCGCGTACAAATTCGTCAATGCCTTTCTGCGCCGGTGGTGGCTGAGGTGTGAGAAGCCATAGAATAGTGTCTCTCAACTCGACAGAATACACCCGGGACATTTGTTCCATGGACATCTGAACGTTGGTGAGATGAATTGGCAAAGTGTTGGTTGTCAAGGATAGCAGCAAGCGACCAAATTGAACAAAATCTTCTTGCTGAAGTTCCGAGATGGATCGATGGGCATCATACTGGACGACGTCCAATATAGAGCATGCAGTAAGACGGATCCGATTTTTATGAGTCAATATAATCTTGCTGGGATCGATGCATCGCGCTGCTAAGTTGGCTGAATGAATGGCTTGGAGTGCGTTGGCGATCTGGGAGATGTAACCCCAAAGGTTGTTCTCAGGAACAGGGGCTTTGGCCTGGAAGCGACTGCCCTGTGTAGTGCTCGGCGTTAAATGAGCCTCAACAAGTGTCTTGGAGAGAGGATAGTAGTCTTGTACAAAGATGAGTGAGCTATCTCCGAAGGCGCGGGTTGTAAATGCATCAAGGATCGTAACCACGTTGCCGTTGTTGATGCGTCGCCAGTCCTTTACAAGTCTAATAGCGAGCTCGTTTGTGAGCCTATAACCTTCTAACCGCCTGAGGCAATAAAGATTGCCCGTCTTGGTTGCCGTAGCCTTGTAAACCCAACTCGGGTACCCGAAGATATTAGCGTTCTTCCGATGGGTTGTGTCTAGCGGAACCAAATTGTGATAATTGTCAAGTTGCGGTAGCTGTGAGTTAGGAAGGACTTGGCCGGCCGCTTCAAGCTTCTTGGCAATCTCTTCACGTTCCTTTTCGGGGAGGAAGAAGTCGTGTGGCAAACGATGATACGGCATCAAGTCCTCCCTATGAGGCGCCACTGGGAAATAGAGATGATGTTGTAGTGGCTGAGGAGGGGTGGCATAATTTTGCGCTGGGAAGTAACCTGCCCCGTGGCCGCCGAGGGCCCCGGGGTCTTCAGCATAAGGGTTATAATGGGGAGTGGTAAGACCTTGGTTCACTGCTGGTATAGTAAATGGTTCATAGGACATTCCACTATCTTGAGCAGAGCCATTCGCGGGAGTCTATTTGATCAGTAAAATCCTCAGTGTTGGAAGAAGCCTGGTATAAGCTTACACTGGTGTTTATGTCAAAGTTGGGAGTGAATTCGCGAATGGTCGCAGGATTAAAGAGACTGCTATCGCCATCTTGGGTTCCAACAGGGGTGGCCGCTTCACAGGAATATCGTCAGCCAAGCATCACCAGGACACGGAAGGGTTCGTACATCCTAAGCCACGTGGAGTGAAAGAGGGAGCGCTTGCGGCTTGCGATGAAAATGTAGGTTTCTTGCTACCGATACCTGCGGGTGTGAATGATGGTGAATCGACGTTAAGCGCTTTCTTAGATCTAGATGTGGCATCGTCAGCCATCTTGCGCAGCGAGTGTTGGATCTCTGAAGCTGGGACCGAAGTATAATGAAAGAAGCTGGATGAAAGAAAGAATATGGACAGAATAGTCATGAAGAGTTATCGTAGATTGCTTTGGAAGAGCCGGTGTCCTGAGGAGCTCAGCACATTCTCATGGTAGATCAAGTCATCAGTGATGAGGGAAGTATCAGCCGATGAATGTGGAAAGATCAGGCGACATAGGTCCTTCCCACTGCAACTAGGAAGCCTCTACAGACATCAGGAGTTGCGGCAATGCGATCGACAGTCTTCGAATCTCTCACCAATAAGACCACCAGTTCATCAAGAATAACCATGGCTAGGGTTACCCAGTAACGGGTAGAGGCGTCTCTGGTTCAAAGCGTGTAACCTTCACGAGGCAAGCGAAGCCGGACTGGATTTGATACAGCGAGCTTTCGCATAGTAAAAAGACCCCAAAACAAGAGACGACCAAAAACAAGATTGACCTACAAGTCTGAATTGGAGTTATTTTTGTTTTGATCGTGGCTGAAAGCACAACCTTGATCTTCGTATCGACAATGGCCATAAATAAGGACGTTTCGGCATAAGGTATCTTTATTCTCTGGGAGAGCCCAGGTCAGCGTTTGGACTTGATGGTGGGGTTTGTGTCCGTGTCGGTATCGGAAGGGCAAACGAACCGCGTCCCTTGGGCCTTGGGGACCCGACTTGGCGTCGTAGATCGGCCGGTTGATATCGCGATGTCGCCATGGTCAGTAGTATATATCGTTGGGGATAGTGCAGCCCTCTTGGCCGAGTTTACGACGTCTATGGGAACATCGATGTTAGCAGACTGTCCGTGGCAGTAATGGTCGCGTACAAAGTTCAATGTCCACAGGACCCAGGCCGAATACTGACAAAGACAGCACCTACTTGACTCTGGCAAGCATTTCCCATTGCTCAATTGATCGAGGCGACCGGCCGCCCATGGAGGAACGAGAGGGACGGCGGGGGTTGGGCAGGCTGACCGGAGCAGGTTAAACGCAAGCGCAGATGCAGACGCAGAAAGACGTAGATTTAGACACAGAGTAGTCGTAGGTGTAGATTGTAGACGCGGATTAAAAGCGCGGGAAGCCAGGGACTGTGTTCGAGGGGAACAAGGCGCGGGCCGTCGCCTCTTGAAGCGGGAGCAAGCAAAACACAAAACGCTTGCGAGGTCGGGGTAGGAGAGGTTAGGTTAGGTAAGGTAAGGTATGTAGGAGTTGATGTGGGCGGTGGGGGGCAGTCTTGGTGGAGGAACTGGACAAGACTGGGCTGGACTGGACTGGACCTATAGAGGCCCATGCTTGAGGTAGATCTTGTCGCGCCAAAGAGTATCTTCTCCGCGAATTATGTATGCAAAGATACATGCGTCTCTCCCTCCGCCTCTGCGGCATGACGCGAAGAAGACAGAGAGAGCACAGCGCAGGTGTTCCAAGAATGCAATAATCCGAGGAATAGCCTACCCCAAAACGGGCTTAACGTGTCTACTAGTAAGCCAAGCCCATATTTAGCTCTGACCCGCTCCGATGCCATCATTCGTCGTCCATGTCTAGAGGTAGGTAGCACTCGCAGTATCATACTCATAGTTCTAACAACTGATACAAGCCATGGACATAATATCTCATCCAAAGTATTGATGATTCTCGTTAATACTCAAGTCACCTTCAAAACTCCATAAAGCGGAGGCTAGAACTTCTTAGGCGTTCACTTTACAAATATTCGCAAAGCTCATTCTGGTTCTTATAAGGCGAGGGGTCACCGCAACAGCCGAAACACGAATTGCAGTCTTTCCCTCTTCCTTCAACACTTTTTACCCACTGACTTTAACAACTTTGCGATTCGATCAGAATCTAATTTGCAATCCCATTACCGCATACGTGGACGGAATTGGAGGACAATAGACTGGCAGCATGGCCGAAAGCGCACTCGACTTGGGACAACTGTCCTCTACTCAGCAAGAAGCTCTTAATCAATACACACAAGTCACCAACCAAGAGATCACCGAAGCTATTCCGCTACTCCGGCGGTCAGAATGGAATGTCCAGGTATGAGGCTTTCTTTTCTTTACCTAGTTCGCTAGTTTCTGACCTTACACGTACAGATCGCAATTGCTAAGTTCTTCGATGGCGAAACGGCCGACCCAGTAGCTCAAGCACAACAAGAGATACCGCGAGAGGCAGCACGACATGAAAACCTACAAGAAAGTCTATTTACCGCGGCAGCTCGTCCCCCTCGAGCTTCGCCTCGTCATCGCACCGATCTTGCTCCAAGAATTGTACCCCAAAACCCTGTGACGAACCGAACACCATGGCTTCTGGGGCTACTTCTTACACCTTTTAGTTTCGGATGGAGAGCAGCCTCGAGCCTATTCAGGACATTGATCTATGCATTGTCCTTTTTGCCCGCATCGATTCGACCCCGTTCAGTCACGAGCAGAATATCGACTGGATTCAGGGGCACAAATGGTCGCCGGCCCCTTATGCCCCGAGACACAGCGTCACGATTCAAGCGAGAATTTGAGGAAGAATATGGAGAGAGCGAACTGCCTTTCTATGAGGGAGGTGTGGCTCAGGCGCATGACCAAGCCAAAAAGGACCTCAAGTTTATGCTCGTCGTGCTGATGTCCCCTGAGCACGACGATACCGAGTCTTTTGTCAAGGAGACATTGCTATCCCCGGAAGTTGTCGCATTTATCAAGGATCCTTCCAATAACATTATCCTGTGGGGTGGTAACGTGTTGGATTCTGAAGCCTACCAGGTGGCTCAGGAGTATATTTGTACCAAGTTCCCTTTCTCGGCACTAGTATGCCTAACACCGAAGGAGGGCAGCACCCGCATGGGAATCGTCAAGCGACTCGTCGGACCTATGCCCCCCGCCACCTATCTATCGGAGCTTCGCGCGGCTATTGAGAAGTACGGCGCTGATCTGGATGGAGTACGAGCAGAGCGAACAGTCCAGGAAATAACGAGAAATCTACGGACCGAACAAGACTCAGCCTACGAGCGATCTCTGGCTATTGATAGAGAACGCGCTCGCCAGAAGAAGGAGGCGGCTGCGGCTGCGGCTGAAGCAGAGAAGCGTGCTATAGACGAAGCAGAGGCGGCCGAAATACTCGAGGAGAAGCGCAAGCAATGGAAGGCATGGAGGGCTACAATCATCGTGGCCGAACCAGCCGCAAGCGATAAGAACGTTGTGCGCGTTGCACTTAAGATGCCCGAAGAATCGGGAATCGGCCGAATCGTGCGGCGATTCCCCCAAGACGCCTCCCTAGAAGACATGTATGCCTTTGTAGAGTGTTACAGCGTTCTTCAAGAAGAGGGTGCGGCGGGTGGTGACAAACCGGAGGAGTACGAGCACGAGTACAAGTTCCGAATCGCCTCGATCCTCCCGAGGCTGGTATACGAACCTAGTACGTCAGTCACAATGGGAGAGAAGATTGGAAAATCAGGAAATCTGATTGTGGAGGACATATCGCTGGATTCGGAGAATGAGTCGGACGACGAGGATGATGACGAAGAAGAGGAGGCGGAGAGTAGTCAGTAGTGGGCCTTGAAGGGCGACGACCAACAAAATCGCTTGTAGTTATACGGCTGTAGCGGTTAATAATTGGACTGATATATATAAACTTTAATAGACGCCGCCATGGGAGGATCTATTGGGATGATAGAGAAAAAACGGGTTGTTTATAAGATGCCCCTTCTAATGTTGCACCCGCCCAAACGAAAACTGCCGAGAGATCAATGATAATTCGGTATTGTTTGAGACTTTGGGTCTTTGTCAGACTTGTGCGATGGTAAGTCAGTTGCAATTTAATGGCAACAATTGATCCCTGCCGATTTCAAGGCACACGTATGTGATGTATCCGTACACCTAAGATAAGTGACAGTCTCAAGACTAGCGTATCATATAAGCAAATGAAGCTTACGTGGTTCAAGCTTAATAGCTTGACGTATGCCTTAGTCGTTATCAATGACATTTATGCCAAAAAAGAGGACACTACAATGACCTCCCTAGCTTTCAAACTTTAAGCCGCGTCCGTTGGAGATTTATGAGGAGCAGCTTGTGTGGAGATAGTGTTGATCTTGTCTTTTGACAATGCTCCCCCGCATATTGCGAATGACACCGGTTCTTGTCCGTCACCTCGAGTTGTTTGACTACGACGCATTCATGACAAAGCCCAGAGGCAAAGCCAAGACACAAGATGTCATGTGTTAGTGCTACCCAGCGGCGGTAGGCGGTAAAGAGGGGTTGATTGCGTAGGGTAATGAGGCTGTGCAACTGCAGCCATTTGAGTAATAATATATTACTTGGTCTAAAGACTTTAGCATCAAGAATGGTTTGATGTCAAATTTTGCATACTTTCTCTTGCAGTTTTACGAATATCGCACTCTAAGCTCTTTCAAACATCGACCTTGTAAGACCCTGCAAATCCTCAAGCTCTTAGTCCAGTGAGTGGGTGACGCACGGGGCGGTATTAGCGGGCGGCGCATCACGGACCCTTCCATCTTCAACTCGAACCTCGAGTTAAACATCAAAATCAACAAGATCAACAAGAAGGGGAAAAGAGACAAGGACATACACGAGAGAAGTCTAAAGTAAACAAAGGCGATGATACCACCACCACTAGGCTTTTCATAACCTCCTTCAATCTCTACAGCATCGCTTCTCTCTCCCCTCAATCAAAAGGATCAAGACCCTGGCTACTCCCAGACAACGGCGCCAATCACTTGACGCTCGCTCCAACATCGTCAGCTCCAGGAGAACTACCAACCAACATCACCGTTCGTTCCTGAAACGGTGAAACCATTGGGACCCCCCGGCGCTTTCCTGTTTGAGCACTTAATCTCCCTCTATCTTCTTCGTATCTTTATTTCGAGAAAGTCACCGTTGCTTTCTCACCACCGAAAAACCCGCTCTCCAGGCAACACTCTCGCCGCCTCCTGTCTAAACGACCACCCTCTTCGACTATCACAACCAGAAAGTCGCCCGCAGCGGCGCGAGGTTCCAACGCAGTCATGAAGTCCATGAAGGGTCTCGGTATGAGCAAGATGCTCGGCAGCATCAGAAAGAAAGCCAGCAATGTGTCAAACCGTACGTATCATCTATGCGCGCAAGTCCTTACCAGCCCCTAGCTGTGAGCAGCGCAAAACAAACAAGACGATATGGGCTGACAGAGCATTCACAGGAGCATCCTCTGACGGACCCTCTGGCGCATCATCATCAGGCACAACACCAGCCGGAACACCCGAAGCTACAGCTCACAACAGTGTGGTATGTTCCGATACTATTGCGCAACCCTGCGCAACCGCCCGTATCGTCTGGCCGTCGCTGACCAGAGCCTAGAAAGCATTCTGCGAGTCTGGAGGAAAGTCCAAAGTGAGATTCTGATCGCAACCTGAAATTGAGTACCCCCACTAACCATTCTCGCTCTGCGAATTAGGAAGATGAGGTTCTCTTTCTACCTCCCATCGTTGACGCTGCCGAATCCTCCCCGGCCGCTGCCGCCGAATGCGCGCGTCTAATTCGCAAGTACTTGTCCAAAGAATATTTCTCAAAGCCATCGTGGCAATACAACGCTATCATGCTACTACGCATCTTGACCGACAATCCCGGCTCGACCTTCACACGAAACCTAGACCAAAAGTTTGTTGATACTGTCCGTGGGCTCCTCAAGGCCCTACGAGACCCCAACGTGCGACAGATCCTCATGGAAACCCTTGATGATTTCCAACATACAAAGGCGTACGATGAGAACTTAACGCTACTCATTACGATGTGGCAGGGAGAGAAGGAAGAAGCTTTCAGCAAGTCTGGCGTATGTTTATCATATTCATATTTGAAGATGGGTCAGGCTAATACGAGTTGTTATAGGGACCACAGCAGCAGATGCCACCACGCGGTTACAATACCCCTCCCGCGAACCAGCATTCGCAAAATTACTTTGCGAGACATCACACGAATAAACGATTGCCCGACCCTGTTGAGCTGGTCAGTCGACTCGAAGAAGCCCGCACATCGGCCAAACTCCTGGAGCAGGTTGTTATGAACACGCCGCCTGGCGATATCCTCGATAATGAGCTTATCAAGGAGTTTGCCGACCGATGCTCAAGTGCCTCCCGCAGCATCCAGGGCTACATGACGTCTGAGAATCCCGCACCTGATAACGACACGATGGAAAACCTTATCGACACTAACGAACAACTGCAAACTGCTCTCAACCAACATAAACGTGCTGTCCTCAGCGCCCGGAAACAGTTGGGTCTCTATGAACGTACTGATTCACAGTCGCCTAGTGTGACCCCTCAGCTCCAGCCTCAGCAGCCAGAGTCTCAGTCTCAGCCCAATGGTACCAACCAGTACTTTAATAATGCATCATCGTCAGGTTCCGCTTACAACGAGGGAAAGGGCAAAGAGATAAGTGCTTATCCACCACCTCCTGGCCCTCCGCCAGGGGCCAGTGAAGGAAGCTCGAGTCGACCTCTCGACGAACCAACAGAAAATCCATTCGCAGACCCCCAAACAAGCGGCTCCTCATCCCAGCACCCCACAAACACGGCAAACCAATACTCCGAGCACGAACGCCTTGGTGCTGAGCCTTTCCACCCCGGCTTCAGGCCGACCGAAAGCTACTTGGGTCGTCAAGACAGTGCCATTGGAAAAGTCCACATGCACGGCGCTGGAGCCTCGACTCCATCGGGCCAGCCACCCGCACACCAAAGGCTGGACGAAGTCTCAGATGACGATGATATCTACGATGCACCCACCGGCCCACCACCACCCAAGAGCAAGGAGCCCATATACCGGTACTAAGGGAGACATCGGAGGTAAAGATTTCAGCATGACGAGTCCCGGCGCGGAAAGGCCAGACGACCCAGTTCTTTGCATTTGATAGGCTGTCTTCTGCTGCGTTGCCTTTGATTTGAGATATCAACGGTCTGGGACAAACAACCTAGGCCATGTGGGGGGAGGGCTTTGTTGGAAAGTTGAAACAGTTAGTCTTTTTTGGTTCGGCATTATTACTTTCCCGTACATGCATGAATTGGGCTGGCGCGGCGAAAGGGTAGATTCCTAAAGCGTTTTCTTTAGTTGTGCTATGTTATATTGTACCTATCGTGCCAACAATCGCGTCAAAGCGAGGCGTTAATACCCATTTTCGGCCTGTTCGTGACGTTGTTTCTGATGTGGTCTTCCTAACTGCTGTTCGAAGTTGAGGCAATGTTGCTCATGCCACCTTGCTGTTTCTGTAAATGGTCGATAACAATAGACTTGTGATCTGTCGCAGTCAACGGGACAGAGAGAACAAACGTTTCACCTCAGTGTGGTTGGCGTTGAAAAGAATGCATCCCTCAACGACAACGATGGCGCCATTCACGTACACGTTATCCAATCGTGACACGTTCCTCTCGGCCGGTTCGGAGTTGGTTCGTGGTAAACAAAGTGTGGTTACTTTCACGATTGATAAACACATGTGCTGTGATCCGTCAGGTTGGAGCCTTGAGATCTGCTAACGACGAGGGCCAATGTCGGACAGACAGAGATAGAGCCATGTATGTATGCCCGTTTAGGGTTCACTGCAGTTGCAGGTGCTGGTGCTGATGCAGATGTAGGTCTTAGGACTCGAGTCTCGGACTCGACAACATGGTCATAGTCTCATGATCACTAGCGAATGGCACTGTAGCACAGCCTGAACCGAGACAAAAGCTGAAAGACAATAATTCAGTGAAAGACTGCAGTGGTTTCGGACGAAAACACATTGAAACGGCGTGATGCAACGTAAAGTGATTTAGATCGTGGGCGTTCATCTTAAAGAATTGACCTCTCAGCATCCGTCAAGTCGTCAGAGTACCTTCGTACCTACTACCCAGTCACATCCATGGCCAGGATCCTAGGCCATCAGACTAAAAATGTTGAGATTGCCGTTCCGGGTCCGGCGATTATTACTCGATGTATGTAACCATAGGTAGGCAGCGTCTACCGAACCAGTCGCATCAAAAGGCGACCAACCCACAATCCACCCCCGACTTACCTGCCTTGCGTGCCTGCAACATGCAGTATGCAGTTCGTGTTTTGCGATACCACAATGAGACACCGTGCGTTGTCATCACCAAGCTAATTTTTGAAGCCGAATCGCGGATACGCGGAAATTTGAGATTCTGAAATTCAAGCATCACTGAAAGCGAACATCAAGCGATTGGGAGGAGGAATCGCCTGCAACCTTCAATTAAGATACGTGCAATGCAAATGGTTATTGTCTGCAAGAATAATATTAGATGAAAGTTATCTGGGAACGGATAAGAAACTGGGGTTCGCTATGAAACGACGGGAACGCATACCCAAATGAGGAAATAACGCCAAACCCCATGCTCAGTTTCCTTCTAGAACAGCACCGACTTTGATAGTTCAAGTTGCGGCGGAAAATTGGCAATCGGCACCATGCCCTTGCTCCTGCCCCTGTGTACCTTGATCCGTAGTCAAAACATGGAAAGAAGGACGGAGTTTGGGAGTATCAGCGATGAATGGTCTCACATGACAGCTGCCAGTTTACGAACTGGGTGGGTACCAAATGCCTAACAACTTCCCCAACCTCGAATCGTCAACATGCATTGCATTTCCAAAATTCTCAACACGAGCGTCAGCGTCAGCGTCAGCGTCAGCATCAGCATCAACATAAACATCAAGTCTCAGCGTCCCAGCTCGATGGCCCACCAACAACTCATGGCATGATATACACTTTTATCGCCAAGGGAGGAAATGCTTGCTTGCTATTGAGGTTAAATCTATGGATACTGCCTATACATACGTTAGCTGCAGAAAAGCCGATACAAAGTCTGGATTCTGCAGCCACGGGTCACTAGAACGATACGTATATCAGCCTCAAAGACAACGCTTTGCACGCCTCCCACTCTTTAGTGCCTCGCTTCCAGATATCGATCGCTGCAAGAGGTGTTCTTTCATGCCTAATACTATCCGTAGATTATTGGCCAATATCCCTATCGCGACATGATGCGCGTATATATACGACAGACCCACGGGATATATCCGTACAGCAAGATTGAGTAAATAATTCAGAAATCGGTTTCGGCCTCAACTTCAACAAGGTTTCGGCAGAATGCGATTGACTGCTCAGGTTCCTTCGGTTCCCTGGCTCCCCACTGCGTGCCGCACCGTGGTCTGGGGCAATTCCGAGCCTGCGATTGGCTCCGCAACAAGTCGCCATGAGGGGCCGCTGTCCCCTTCAATTGGATCCATTTATACCGATTCGGGACAATCTTGCGAAGACATATCAAATCTTGACTTTCATTCTATGTACGACAATAGGATCGGGAACAGCCCGCACACGACATGGATGTCACAAGCCATTTCGATCCGTGATGGCCGGAGGTTACCTATGGCAAGGCTCAAGCTTGATCTCGTCGATGATTGAACTGCGATTGCTTGCGTATGCAACATCACGGTCCGCCGTTTGTTTCCCTCCCTCAGCTTGACCCAGCACACGATACAGCATCTTGCTCGGCTTACTTCTTAACCTCGTTCCCCACTCGATGGCCAAGGCCCTCATTTCGTGCTTATCCTGGCCCATTCAAGACGCTTGAGGGCGTAGGGATGATTCTCCTCACTTGTTTGCGTGCCGATTGACAGGCCAAAAGAGGCCTGTTGTTTCTCCCTCTTCTCACTCGCAAAATGACGACTCACGCTATGCATACTATCACAAGAACTTGCGCCGCGTCTGTTCTGTTCTGTACCTGATGTCGTTTTACACACCATGTCTCTGCCCTTTATCCTTTATTCGTCCGATCTTGTTAGCTTCCTCCTTTCAAAGTCAGAAGAACACCTGGGCCTCGACCCGAGGTCTGGTCTGTCACCTCCCCGACTCGGACTAGAGTTCTTGTTTCCTCTTCGTCCACACTTCAACTTGTGTCTGTCTCTCTTTTAGCCTCTCCAGAAACAACTCCCCTAGCTTGCCCGATCTTGAATCGCTTTGGCGGCTCAGCAGCTCCACACCATCTACGGTCCACCCATTCTTAGTTTGACTACTTTGGTCACTTCACTCAAGTGTCTCGAGACAGGCCGAGCTTCACTAACCTTCCCTGGCTATTTTTCTTCTTTTTTCCCCCTTTCCTTTGCCTGTGATGGTAATCTCTCCTTCAGCTTCTCGCGATTCTTCCTTCTTACTGCGCGCTTCTTAGATCCATTTCCGTCGGGCGTACTTCGTGTATTTCGTACATTATTACCATGACTCTCTTCCTCATGAGGAAAGGACATGTACATAAATGACTCCAGTGGAGCTTATTCCACCCCTTGGACCTTGTTTCCATATCCTGGCAGCTGAACCCTGTTACAGTTCCGTCTTGTTGGAACCGCTTTCATAGTTCATCCCTCCATGTCGAGCGAGGATCCCCTTGATTCCCTACCCGCATGAGGCTTGACCATTTCTCCATTGCCCATCCTTCGTTACTTTCGCCTCAACCAGTCTAGTGTGTGATCAGGCAAAGAAGCAGAGTTTATGCCCTGTGCTCATTCCCGGAGCGCCATATTAGGTGGTCGGCCTATACATAGACAAAGCAACGTCCCGTTAATCGCTACTTATCATTCGCATTTCCGAACCGGTTTTTTCTCTTGCCAGACCATACTCTTTGGCCCATTTACTCGCAGTCGGACCAACTGACCATGCTTTCAATAACCGAATTGCTGGTTCCTTCGCCATCCATTACTCTATCGTACTCTGTACCACCGACTCGATCCTCCTTGTCATCCAAATCATCGATTGCCTCTTGTTGCATGGACACTTCGCTCAGGGCATTGCCTTCGCCAAGCCTGCCATTTGACTGCCTAAGTTCAGAACTTCTTGCTCTTGTGTTCGAAAAGGTATGTCACAACACTTGCAACAAGAAAATCCCCGCGTACAGGCACAGAATACTAAGGCATGGTTTAGCTTCGGGACTTAAACTCTCCTACCCTCACGTCTGTGCGTCTAGTATCAAAGAGGTTCGACGCCATTGCTAAGCCGATCGCATACCGATTCCTGACCTTGAACGAGTCGCTTGTGGCACCTGAAGCTCAACGGCAACATCCGAATCTCTTTCGAAATATCTCCTATCTTACGAAGCATGTCATCATACCAAGCAACCTGGACCCTACAGGAATTAACAACCTGTTATCGTGCATCAAGAGGCTGAAGTCTGTTCGGTACTGACACCCACCCTTAATCTCGCGATTCTCTTGCTGATCGGTTTCGGACAACAGTTGGCAATATGTAGATGGTGATATACCTACAGCAGGTCTGTGGACGCCTTTAGATCTCCGCCGTTTATCAAACGGTAACTCAAATAGTACTCGACTACACATCGAAGACCTTCCCTTACGACGAGACTACGAAGGCAATCCGCTGGAAACATTTATAAGTTCCATCCCAGCTGAGCTATTGGTGTCCCTAAAACTTGCCAACCCAGCTCCGGTTCTGTCAACGCGATTACACGCACTAAAGCAGCTGCTGGTTCGAGCCGCACACCTCAACACATTATGTTACGAAGACCGTGGTCAAGGCACATGCTTCAACTTTTCTCCCGAAGAGCGAATGCCACCTGTTTCAAGCTTGTTGCTGCGATCATATGACTGGCACCATACGGCCGAAGATGTTCAAAAACACTGGGATTTCTCTGAGATCCAATCGCTCGAATTGATCTCTGTCCCCGTCTTCAACTTCCTTAGCTCGGTTTCTTTCCAGGACTTTACCGAGCTACGTACCCTTCACGTGGAAGACTACAGTGCCCATCTATTGGACAAGCGAGAAGATGCTACCATTGGTCTCAACATACTGATTCAGGACCATATTAAGGCGCTCGAAGTTTTGCACATCACCTGTCACACCCGCCTCTTTCAGTTAGAGGCCATTACAACACATCGGAACTCCTTGCAAGTGCTACGGTTAAGGGATCACGTTGGGTTTTTCGAAGACGACCAAAAATGCCCGACGCTGGCACCTGTTGATCTGGCTGAACTCTCCCGACAGCTGAGATTCGTTCATACCCTCGAGCTTGACCTAGATACTAGATTATGTGACCCGGAAACCTTCCTCCGAGCGATATGTGCCTTTCCAGCAGTGCACACCCTTACTCTACACGTCCAAACAATTCTCCACCCACTGGAGGAGGTGTCCCCAGGAGTAGATCGCGACCACGAAGCCGCAATGAGGACTTTCCAATTGCTCGTGCAGGAAAAGGACCGAATTGGGACTCGCATACCCTGGAAGCACATCTCACTCAATGTTGGAGGGTGGAAACGAATCATGGTACGGAGGCTAGGTGGCATTTGGCGACGGAGAAACGAGCTGGGCATATATGCTGAAAGGTGTTTTGTCCTCGAGCGTGATGCTCAGAACGGCAAGATTGCAGTTCGTGAGGAGAGATCCGTGGAGAACACAAGTCGTGGAGGGAGCCCCAGCCCTGGCCCTTGAGGTCTCTGCTCGACCTGTCTCAGGAATTATTTGCCTGATACCACTACCAGCAAGGGTTTTATTGCTGCCACATCCTCGGGGGCAGTTTGGCTATAATGGCAAAAAATACGACATGCATTTAGAGGCGTCTATCTGTACTTCACAGGGCGCTCGGATCAAATAACGAGACAAACGATTTGACGACATCATGTATACTATACATAAATACATAATATAATAGACTATGCATATCGCATTTCATTCAATGCACTTCTTCCTACACATCGCTCAGACCTAGGCCATAGCAACAGTGCTTTAATTGTGTCATACTTGTTATGCCACTATACGAAGCAAACGTCGCCGGATTATTTACAACACGCGAGTCTCCGCCATCTACTGCATTATATTGACTACTTCCTGTTGCCAATATATCGTAGAATCCGCATTTCGTCCATATAGAACGAACCACATGAGGCTCCGTCAGTTTGTGCTTCCGATGTCGCAATCGTCACCAAGTCATCTGGCGGGTGGCAGACCACTCATGTCAAGTAATTGTCTAGTGACGTCTTGAGAACCATGATCTATGCTATACTTGAGAATAAGCCCTGACCTCAATGCACAGTCACTCGCGTGTCTCCGCCTTTGAAGTAGTCTGCAGTTAACTAGGCAAATAGCGAGGTCTGGGTAGTTTTCATTGCGTCAACTCATGCACCATGACCGACTAAACCACCCATCCTCGTCATTGCAAGGAAGTTTCGTTCCTTTTATCGCGTGTTCGGCAAATTCGAGGCTGATTTTGTGTTTCTATGATATCTCGTATGATGTTAGACATGTTATTCGGTCGTTTAATCACCAGTCTTGAGACCGAGTACGAGCAATTCATTTCTATGCACGTTTCATGAAGCTCGGGGACATCAAAACAAGTAAGCCCTGAATTACGTACGATCGAGTACATCTTCCCCCAATGATAAGAGCCTATTGCATTGCTTTTTCTGACTCCAAACCAATGCAGTATTCGTCAAATAACATGTCGATATCCCTTCGCGTTGTAAGCCAGATGTGACTAAACCCAGAAACTCACCTGAATGAAGTGTCGTCTCTTCAAGAACTGCCTAAAGAGATAGTAGCAGTACACGCATTTCTTTCAGACTCGACAGCGCGGGGATAGCATAGGCTACGGCGCTTACACAGCTCCGAAGCAATGCTCAGAAGTGCCTTTGGGCCTCTTGCAGTACCAGTAGCCTATATATCAACAGGTCTTCAGCAGGCCCTAATCACTTGATTCATTTGGAGACTTCTGTTGCACCCATGGTATCTTTCGTATCCAATCGAACCATGAGGGAAAACTAGATGGACGAACCAACGAACAGGTGAGAAATTGATAGCTTATAAAGAAACAAGCCACTGCAATGGCATAGCCTGACATCTTAAACATCCCATTCTTGTTCTTGGTGGTGATGATCAAGTAGAACCAAACTTAGTGCCGAACCCTGGTTCTTTCTCACACTTGGCCAAGTACAACCCCTGTCATGTGTTGGTCCGTCGCTTCCTACCCGTGCGGCCCTTCCCGTCCCATCTCTTCGACCAACACTCAACCATCATGACACGTCATGATGCCTCATGGCTCCACGTACCAATTTCACCCATCATTGCGTCGACGGCTACCCTCAGTGAACAGAATGGAATTTGCCCGATTCCATCTCATAGAGAACAGCAGGACGACGTCTTCCTCGCCTGCACAGTGTGGAGCGTTCTGTTTTGTCTCCGGGTCCTCCGGCCCGGTCGCATTAGTCCCCTTAAGGTGATAAGCAATCCTCAAGCGAGATGTACGAAAGTGGGAACCTGTATGGGATTAAACGCGGGCATCAAGTCAAGAGTATGGCAACCTCTAAGGCCTTGAATCAACCATCGAGGTGTTGAGTTGGTCGGTGCAGGCTGTAGGGCATCAGAAGGTAGGCATGAGGGGTTGCTGCGAGTTTGACCGGCGTCCAAGGGCCAAATAATGAGCCAAAAGAATCAAACAAAGACAGAGAGGTATTCAATCGATTGCAGGCTCCTGTCAACGGTCGACAAGGTAGTGATCAGTAGAAGAGGCTGCTACCAGTCAGCCAAGCTGTTAGTATTTGAAGGGTACTGTTGTTGATCAGGATCTGCAGATAGATCAACCCCGTATTCGATAGTGAGCACGTTGAAGGTATGTGAAGCTGATGGCTTACCTTTCCAGGTAGCGGATATAACAGAAGACAAACAACAACTAAGGTGCATCTTGTGTACATGAAGTACCACGGCACTGAAATCGGCGATAACATCACGGCTTATTTTCCTCTTCTAACAGCTTCAACTATGAAGCAGCGTTTCAGTCAGCATTGGCTGCCGTTGCTAGGTATGGATACAGCATGTTGAACAGAAGTATGCAACTGGGACTTTATTCCCGGCCATGTTTTGAATTAACTCGCAGCCGCAGTGCAACAACCAAGACCAAATCCAACACTTGTTGGATAGGTGATTTTTGGAATCTAGCTACAACCGAATATCCAACGAACCGTTCAGCAAGGCGCACTTAGAGGCCGCCTACATGTAATACTTATTACAAAGAGCCTCCTAGCCAAAGGCGTACCAGTATGGGCTCGGGCACGAATATGTCCGAACCGACGCCCATATGTAAAGCATCATTGAATCCTGCCTAGCAACCAGAACCAGACACCCTTTGTGCTTTGAATGGTTACTTTCAGCAAGCTCTTTGCTCCTGTCTCCTTGCAAAGTTATGAGTTCGTTCGCTGCGAGGTGGACGTGGATCGAATCGATATTTGCTTATCAAACATTCAGAAGCTCATACAGCCGGAAGCTATTTGAACTCTTTGACAAATCGAGACGGCTGGACTAACTTTATGGCCACCGCGTTGATCGGATGTTTCTCGCTCGGCTAGGGGCCTTGGGCTCAAAGTTTGCGGTTGTTTCTACGCAACGACAGGCCTTGTTAGCATATATTCCGGCAAGAAATAGGAAAGAAAACCCAATTGTTCTTGTCCCCAAGCCGACTAGAAATAGGAAGTGCTCGCAGTGTTGAAAACACTCTGCTCCACAACACTATGTTGTTCCCCTCGAGATTCATTGCCGAGTTTGAAGAAACACGCAACGAGAGCCCAGCTGTTGTTCGGTGCTTAGGGGCAAGAGTAACTCTCAGCTGAAGATGCAAGGCACAAGCTCTCGTATCAAAGATCCCTCAACACAGGAGAAACAATCCCTCACGCATTCAGCCAAGAGTCCACACACACTCTCTCCCATAGCAACCTTTCCACTGCCGGCCCAGGCCAAGTCTCAGAAGCCAAACCAGCTCGCCATCCGTCAACGACAAAGAAAAGCCCGTGGCGTCAGAGTCGTTCGAGGCAAGGCAAAGTCTCATAACGGTTCTCGAACGGATCGATCTTGTTACCGCCTCTTCATCTCCACCAAACGTTCTCGGGTCTTTTAGGGGTCCGTATGATGCTCGTCGTCCGGATGTAGAGAAGGGGAGAAAGTTTCCCACGTCTGGTGATGGAGACGGCAAATCCGTGGTTCTGAACGAGAGGTGAGGCTCGGTTGCAGGGTTGGAGATGGAAAACATGGGCCGAAAACGGATGAAGCCACCGAGTGCTCAGCTTAACAGGTGCACTCAGCTACACTTGCGCTGTTGCAGTTTGCAAATGCTTTTGGAAGGTGATTTAGGTTGTATCCTTCCTACGATATCCAATGGAAGCCACCCTCCCGTGACATCCCGTTGAAAACTCGCAAGCGGGAAGCGGAAAGTTACTCTTGGTGTCCTTCTCCTTCCCCCCTCTTCCTTCTTCGCCACCCTCGTCCGACAGGAAAGCAAAAGCCATCAACTTCAGCTCGCGACTTCCCGCCCGTTTTCGCTTTTTCAATCCCGATCCCGCTCTCGGCTGCGGAGCCTCCGAAGCCATTCCCGCGCATCCGGACCCTTCGTACAGATGAAGCCTCCGGTTCCCTTCGCTCCGACGTCATCCGCATTCCAGAGCCTCGAGACCGCTCTTTCTGCATCGTTTTCGGCCAAATAATCACACGAAGATAGAGAAAACTCCTACCACACGCCCCTCCTCCCCTCCAAGCTGCTTTGAATACGGTTCTGGTTCTGGCGGGGGGGCTACTGCGAAAGTTTCATTCGTTTCCAGGTTCGTGGGAGGTCGAGGTTTAGGCGAAGAGCTTTCTAACTCTGCATTTGGAAGAAGCTTAAACCGTGTTTGGGTCTTATTCCCAGAGTGTCGGGTATGGGCATGTGCAAAGCGCGAAGTGCTGGATTGTGGCAAGTTGGCGGTGAGGGAGAGAAACAGAAACAGAAACACCAAGGAGAAGCCATCACAAAGTGTAGAGCCGCAAGTAGTAGGTTTCCCGAAGACGCATCACCCCTAACGATACGAACATTGTTTCCATACCTTGCCCAGTTAAAATACACGTTTGGAAGACTCGTGGGTGATATTTCCGGGTCTTTGTGTATCCGTTTCTTCTTCCGTTGTAGCTTGGTAGCGTTTGCATCACGCTGTGATCTCGAGTGTCGTAGGATGATACATGAATAGGTATCCAAGACAGCAGCCGTGTACTACAACCAAATGCATTCTTTGCGTCTCCCTTTTTCCTAAAATGTCTTAGAAAATCATCCCTTTCCGTCGGGACGGTCCATACCTAGTGTTCAACGCATTTTAATCTCGTGGTTTGGTATGTGTAGCTTCGTCTTCTGGAACCCCTTTTTGTCATAGAATGATTGTTATTCTGCATTAACCCCTTCCTCTGGCTACATATTTCCTAAGAATATATATCTGCGTTCATGTAGATGATTCTCCAAGGCACACTTATGATTCTTTAACTCTAAGTCGTCCATTCTCTCACAGTTCTCACATACCCGTCCCTCAAATGCCGCACAACTGGGTCCTTTTGATTGATTGTTGACATGGCAAATCTTTCCCCACGAGCGAAATTGACTTTTGAACTGTGACAATTTTAGAAACGCAGGAACCTAATCATCATCGATTCAACGAATACTCTTTCTGAACGCCCTTCGCCAGCTACGGCAAATCTTTTAGCGTTCCTTATAACCTTTCGTCACAAACTCTACAGTAAATGGAATGGCCTCATTTCACCTCGTTTTTGACAGCGGCAAGCTACTCTGCCGCCGCATCTTGTTCACATTGTATCACTTACAGCATTCTCTCTAGTGGGAAATGAGCGAGCCCAAGATTGCAGTGTCTCGTTATGTAAATACCAATACTGATTGCCCCTCAAGTCAAGTTCAAGCCGGGACTTCAAAGGCGTCTCCCTCCCACACCCATCTTGCCTTCTTGGCTCTGGAATCTCCCATCGTATGACTTTCAACAAGCCTGGATTATACGAAGACAAAGTCCACAACGGAAAGCTTCCCTCCTCGACTCCGGCTTCTACCAGTCACAATCACTATCCCATCACAAACAAACCTCTGTCTTTATTGTGATATCACATCAGACATCCACATTAACAGGCTGGACTTGATTCGACTTGACTTAGACTCACGCCCCCCCGCCCCCCCCTTTGCACCAGTGGCTACGGCTGTTCCCTTTCTCCCTTTCTCCCTTTCTCCCTTTCTCCCCTCCTCCTCGCTTGACTCATTTCCACTCCCTTCACAAGCCCCGAATGAGCACAGTCCAGGCAAAACCTTACCGCCTCATCAGTTAAACACCATCTGCACTGCACTGTAGACCTGTCCATACACACGCCCCCTTTGACTCCTACTCTGTCACTGGCCCCCCCTGTATGCTTATGCCTGATTGCATACTATACTTCTTCCAATAAGCCGAACCCTGCCCTGGCCCTGGCCCTAAGCTTCTATTGCTGCTCAGGCCGAGCCAGAAGTGAAGGGAGTCTAGGTAAGAGAAGGGAAGTGGGTAGAGGTATCCATACAGTACGTGCCGTGCTGTGTTGGAAACCGGGTCCCTGGAATTGCAACGCACCGCAAACAACGCAAGGGATGACACTCTCCCTGCCCTAGCTCTCTATCCACTGTAATGGCAAGATCCATTGCACAGATGGAGAGTGTATGTGTTTGCAATCAAGTCCAGGCTAGGCTGTGTTTGTTTTTGTTCGTCTTTTTGATTGTTTGAATCGTTTTGAGTAAATCATCTTTTGATATCATCTCGTCTAGTTTCGTCTTGTCGTAATCGTCATTCTTGTATAAGGTCCATGTTTCGTTCCGTTCCGTTTTATTATTAGACATATTTGAGCTTAGAGTAGCTGTCGTTTCTTTTTTCTTCAGTAGGGATTCCGTTAGTATTAGATTAGATCCAAGACAAGGACAAGGCCATTAACTACCTAACTTTAGTATTAGACAAGGCCAACAAAAAGAAAAAAGGTTGCTATTCAGAAGCTCAGACCAACAACTAACGTAAATACCAAAGCAAAGACCCAGGTTGAATGTCTTGCTCCAGCGTCGCTGACCACATCAGTTTACGGTCATGTGCCTCTCCCGTCCTGCGCTCCCTTCCCGCTGTAGCTGTAGCTGTAGGCTGTCTAACATAGGCTTTTGACTGGTTGACTACGAATATGTTTGGATGATCTATCACCAAGATAGGTACTAGGTAGCAGCAGTCCGTTATGATGAGCAATAGAGAAGCGTTTGCAAACGCTACAATAACACAATCTAGTGACAGCTTCCTAACTCTTTGTAACCAGATACACGGTAATTCACTACTCAGTTTAGTATCTACTACATAGTAGTTAGTCTCCAGTCTCCAGCTTCCAGTCATCAATCAACGTTCCTCTATCACGCCCCACTTTCACCTCTCCTCTTCTCAATCTTCAATCTTCAACGTTGGTCGTTTTCCATCAACAGCTACAGCCCACCGTTTTCTCAGTAACGCAAGCCCTCAGGCTAAGTCGAGGCTTAAAGCAAAGGCGGGTGAGAGCTAATAAGGTGCGGTGCAGTAACCAACGTTAGAGGTTCCATACCATCGCATCAACAGTAGTATGAGTTAGTCTTTTAGCAAACAAAGAGCCGCTGGTTTGACCCCCGCCCTTCTGACCTTCTCTTTCCTTAGTCCAATATAGCGGTGATCATGTTCTGCTGTAACTGCACAGATGCTACCTAGTCCTGACTCAAAGTCTGTGGTGTCTTGGTACTAATGGACACCTCCATACTTGGTACCTATTGCCTGCTTGCCTAGGTGCCTGCCTGCCTGCCTGCTCGCCGCAATGCGCTGCCCTATGGTTTGCCGGGTGCTGTATTAATGCCGCGTGCTATACTGTTCTGCCCCTATTGTGGACGCCTTTCCCGCTACGTCCGTGACCCTAACTCACAAGCATTGTTTGTATGTCGATTGTCATCCTCTCCAATGTCGATTATCACAATCAAAATCAAAAAGTCTCGTACTGTATTCCGCATTCCGTATTCCCCGGTCTTTGTTGTCTGCTTCTTTCTACCCCTGGAATCTCTCTACGGTAACTATCTGCCGCGCATCCGCGGGAGTCCTCGGGCGACACTTGGCCGTTAACTTGTTTGTTTGGTTGTTTAGGCTTGGACTTGAACTTGCAATTAGACCCTCACCCCTCCCTCCTCTTCATCCCGTTCATCCTCTCTCCAAGCTCCCTGTTCCCTGTTCCCTGGCCTCACTCACTGCCTTAGTTGATGTACCCTTCTAACTCCCAACAGTAACCCACCCCTTGTCTTACAGATCCATCTTTGACATGTACAGTACGCTCCAGTGTTGGGCTTAGCCTGGCTTGATTTTAGTGCGTCCAGTCTTTTTCAGCGCCGTCGCTGCCCGCTTCAAGGGTTGAAACCATCACATGTTGCGCCTCTTAATATCAAGCCACTCATTGGGTGCTTCACCCTTCTTCCCCTCTGTGGCTGCATCTTTTTCCGTGGGCATCAATGTTAGTAGCCAGATGGCAGCTACCCTTAGTACCCTGTGCTGCCGGGTGGAGGTGACTGAGAAATCATCCGAGGCCAGACTCAACAACTAAGGTAAGCAAAACAGAGCAAACTGCTTATCGTCCTGTATCACAAATCACATCAAGTATAACACCAAAACTATTGCAGCAATAGTAGCCCTGACTGTATTGGGATTTGGTTGTTGCAAAACTCATAGCTAGCTATATGGGCAAAAGAAACGGCAATATCAACAGTCGCCCCGCATCTTTTGCCGTCCTCCCTCCATCTGCAGCCCTGAGCTCTGCTGTGTTTGGCCTGCTCACTTATCGTCGCGCACACTCTGCTCCACCATTCCCATCGTTCCAATATCATCTGGCTTTTCTTCTTCACCCAAAGTGCTTCTCGTAGCCCACCTTCTAGACCAATGCGAGTCCATACCACTACAGCTCTCACTGGCTCTGCCAGCCAACAACAGCAACATTGAACAACATGATACACCCTCCCGGATCAGCCCAACCCCAATGTAATAACGTAACAAAGCATCAACATAACTCAAAATAAAACCGCATGGTGCCGTGAGGCTATCCTTCTTTCCTGGAAACACAACGTGGCCGACCGATTAAAAAGAATACAACGACTTCGCACAGATTGCTTTTCGGACAAATAATCCCTGCCCCGAAAGCAAACACGATGTTAATGACAACCGCATGTAAATCAAGTTCCAAACAATAGTAGTCCCGCAAAACATCAAGCGAACGGAGGGGTCGTTTGTTGCCAAACTCGCGTCTTTTTCTAGATCCAGTAATTTTGTCCTGTGTGGTTATCGCGTCCTCCCCTCCGCCTGTGGTGGGTTTTTTGGTTAATTTCTGGTTTTTTTTTTATATTCCTTCCAGCCTCGCTCCTGTCGCTTCCCGGTCAACGAAAATGTAGGCGTGAAATAGAATCGGAAAGGGTATGAATAGCAGAACGGTCGTCGTTAAATTGTCGGCACCCTCCCTGCGGAAACCGACAGACTCGTCGGCAAATGTGTCGTGTGTGGTATCGACCCTCCCCGTTGACCTGTCCGGCAGCGTCAACTCGTGCATCGTTATCTCGTTAACGACTAACATCACGACGTCCGCCTGGTTGACCAGGTGCAGGTCGGTTAAGCCTGTCAATCATGGTCTTATCGATGTCGCTCTTGTCTACCAAGTTGCTCAGACTCATGATCGACGAATTTCCTCCCTGAGACTGCTGTCCCTGTCTGGCGGGGGTTGACGCACCACTTGACCCATTTTGGCCAGTCGGAGATCGGCCGCCGGGTGCAGAAGTTGCATAACTACCGCTCGCCGCAGCCTGAGGTAGGGTCCCGCTTGTCGGATTGCGTGGACTCTGTCTTGCGCCCTGATACTGCGGGTATCCAACACCGCCTGGGCTGCTATGGTTCGAAAACTCGGCGGGAGACCTTCTTCGTGGGTCTTCGTCTATTGCGCTTCGAGGAGGTGGCAGTCTGTAGGCGTCATCTTGTTCTTCTGAAGTCCTGCGGCGACGTCTGCCCGCAAGCTGGCTGCCATCGTCGGTTCTCGCATCTCCGTAAGACGAGAAGGATTCAGTCGGCGACTGTACAGGAGCGTAGTAAGCACCTGGAGGTGGAGGGGCATTAGGATGAGGGTAACCAGCATGTGGCGGAGGTGGTACAGTGCCTGGTGCCAACGGTTGTCCATAAGCACCAAACAGTTGTGTGCCTGGGGGAACACCTCCTGGGACTGCTGATACGGGGATAAAAGCTGTGGAACTCGACGAAGAGACCGGCTGAAAGATACATTCTTGGTTCATACGAGCACAATTCTGGCACTTGCCGCCGGGAGCACTTTGGTAACCACTGCATCGTATCTGGAGTTGATTAGCTTTTTTTCTTCGCGGGAAACACGTAAGTCACAAACCTTTCTCTTCCGACAATACCGACAAGCAATTGATGTCCGTTGTCGAGGGGCTGCCTGGGTCAAAGGAGGCGCGCCGCCAGGTCCAACTGGGGGGTACTCATATACACCATTAGGATGACGGTAGCCGTTTGGTGGAGGCCCTGGAGGGGGAGGTTGCCCGCGATAGTACGCATAGTAGGGATCTTGGCCATACGGTTCTTGGCCGTATGGAGGGCGGCGATCGTCATAGTAACCACGCTGATCTGGCGGAGGAGGATAGGCTGATCTGGGGTCAGACTGCGGCTGCAGAGGCGGAAGATACTGTTGGGGTTGTCCTGGTGGAGGCTGCTGGCCAGGGGGCGGGTAACCGTTGACAGCACTGGGAGATGCATATCGCGGGTCGGTAGGGTAGCCCCGTCCCGGAGCAGCTGGGGGCGGGCCGTAGCCACGGGAATCGTGAATGGAGGGCAAAGTGACAGACGTAGCCATACTGGCTGGAGGAACGTCGGAGGACCGCTGGGCGGTATCCGGCGGTGGAGGATAATGGGGCTGGGGTCGAGAGTGACTGTCGTCTGGACGGCTCTGCTGGGGATACTCTTTTCGGTAGCTGTCGTCGGCCATGCTATGTTGATGCGCAAAGGGCCGCAAACGGGCAGATGCGGTCAACGGCAAGGATACCAAATGCGTGCAGTTGAGTGAGCTCGTTGATGTTTCTGCAAATAAGCATTTGGCGAAGGGAATGACCCAAGACCAAGACTTAGCGGAGCGGATGGGGTCAAGTAATTAATCCGAGTCGTCGAGGTCCTGTCCGGTCCTTTTCTTGTGTTGTCGCTTGTGCTGTTGCTGTTACTGTTGCTGTTGCTGTCGCTGTTGCTGTTGCTGTTGCTGTCGCGCGTGTCCTAATCCTGGTTCCTGCTTCTGTCCCGAATGCAAGTGGTCGGAATGATCGATTGCTGCGAGTCAAGAATGAGCGAGTAAGTGAATGTCTCGGCGGAAGATGAGATCAGATTCCACGAGGTCTTGGAACCACAATCCAAAGTCTGACCTGGGTGTCAAGACGTTCTTGTTCCCGAGAAGCGGAGGAGGGTAAAAATGGTCTCTGACGTGGGCGGGAAGAGTGCGGCGGGACAGGCCGACAATTATAGCGAGGGGAGGGAGGAACGTCCGATCCAATCTGATCCACGGCGTGGGAGAAACCAGGAACCACCCAACCGTAAATGGAGCCTGGGGATTTTGGGGATTGTGGGTTTGCTTGGAAGACTTGGGACTTGGGACTTGGGACTTGGGACCGGGACTAAGAGACTGGGACTGGGACTGGGATTGGAACTGGGACTGGGCAATGGGGGTGAGAAAAGAAAAATAAATAAAAGAGGGGTCACTTTTGGGCCCTTTTTTTTTTCTCCTTCTTCTTTCCCTTTCTTGGGGGTGCGGAAATAGTCAGGTGAGAGACAAATTACTTTCTCCCTACCTACTGCTGTCTTGCTTGTCTTGCTTGTCTTGTCTTGCTCTGCGTGTGGCTGCAAGAGGCGATATCATACAAGAGTTTGCAGATTGAACGAGAACCTCTGGCGCACTGCACGGGAGATTGAGGGAGAGAATGAGGCTGACTCTCTTGTTCGTTCTTTTCTTCCTTCTTGAGAGACGGCTTGATGATAGCAAGTGTACGAACCAGTCAGTTCCTGGTGTTCCGTCAATGGAGATCAAGAATCTCGCTATTGCTGCCACTGCTGCTGCGGAATGTTGGAAGAGGTAAATAAATAAAAAGAATTTGAGAGCGGATGGAAGATTGAAGTGAAGTATGGATATGTTGATGGAAACGTAGGTAAAGGTGAGATGGAAGAGGTGAGCTTACTTGGAGTCACAAGTAATAACACGGTGCTATGTGCTATGTGCTAAGTGCTGTTGTATAATACTTCCAACTCCTTACTACGTATCCGTACTTACAGCAGGTGCCAAGGTGCCCAGGTGCCTTCCATAACCTCTGCAATTGCGGCGACAAGAAAGTGGGAACACAGAGGGCAGAGCGCGGGCGCCAGAAGGGAAGGAAGGGGCGTGCGAGCACTGTGGCGTGAGACTAGTAAAGCACACCAGAGAGGGTATGTGCAGGTAGCTGGAGGTGTAGGTGCAGGTGTAGGTGTAGGCGCATGTGCAGAAGGAAGGAAGGGCATTTTAGGGTGGTCAAGTGGCGGAGGCCAGGGCGGGAGTGAGGTAAAGGGACGGATGGCCCGGTGTCGTGCCGTTCCCAGGGAGCCGGCCCCAGCCCCAGCTAGCATCAAAAACCACTTTAGGGACCCAAATGCTAGGTGGTGCACTAGTTGAGGTGCACTGTAAGCCTACCTAGGTACCTTGGGTGCAGTGCAGTGCCCGCAGTGCAGTGTTTCATCTGTACTGTAACTATCGCACTGCACTGTCCTCATTACCTCCTTACTGCTTGTACTATTTATCGTGAAAGGTAAATGTATTGCAGCGGGATTGAATCAAACGGGCAGCGCAATACCACACCACTTCAATCATTTCGAACCCGTACGTGCATGGTAAGCCGCGGCGCAAGTTTTACTCAATATGACACTATTTATAACAAGCTTCCAAATATGCGGGCAATGGCAGGCACCTGGAGTACCTAACTCCGTAGAAGAAACAAAGAACCAATGGAACCAGGTCCACGACAGGGCGTTTCTGGCGTCAAAGTCAAGGGCCTAGCAAACCACCAAGAGATCCATGAAATGACCAGCCGAGCACGTACCACGCACACCTTAGCAGAGTAATAGTATTATGTACGGTCTTGAGTAATAGTGACGGTGACGGTGACGGGTGTACCATGGTAGTATAATAATCCTCAAACTTAGAACCCAGATAACGCCGATTAAGGTAAGGATCTAGGTAGGTATTGGCAATCAGGGCAAGGCTACACCAGGCTGTAATACGTATTATCATTATTCCTAGCCTTACGGCCTTGGTCAATCCGTATACTATTAAACTCCAATGTATGGAGTACTAAAATTGCTATCTTTATTTCTTTACTTAGAAAGGGGGATTATATATATAACGTAATATAATAGAGTTAGCTATTAACCTACCCTACTTAACTAATTCTTTAGCCTACTTAAATAATAAAATAAAATAAAATAAAATAAAATAAAATAAAATAAAATAAAATAAAATAAAATAAAATAAAATAAAATAAAATAAAATAAAATAAAATAAAATAAAATAAAATAAAATAAAATAAAATAAAATAAAATAAAATAAAATAAAATAAAATAAAATAAAATAAAATAAAATAAAATAAAATAAAATAAAATAAAATAAAATAAAATAAAATAAAATAAAATAAAATAAAATAAAATAAAATAAAATAAAATAAAATAAAATAAAATAAAATAAGACTTTTTATAGAGATATTAAGATCTTTAATAGCGCTTAATATTATTATTTATAGGGTCTGGACGTGTCGATGATATTTAATATGCGGAGCCTCTCTGCTCTATTAACCCTTCGGAGAGAAATAACAGAGGCGTATGCATACGTCAAGTCTCATCCATAACGACGTGAAGAAGAATTCCAATGTCCTTCTGCCGGCTGGAATGTCTGCCGACCACATCTCAACGGGTGTGGCGCCTCCTTCGCCTTGTCTGATCCTTACTACTAAAAATACTAACCATAAAGTAAGAGCCAAACGCGCTGCATCGTATGCTTTTCTATTAGGACAACCATATCTTGCCCCTGGACATTGGTTTGCTGTGGTCACTGGTCCAAGATCAACATGTTCGATATAACAAACCACCCCGTTCCGGAGTCGAGTCTAGGATTTTGTATCCTCGGTCGGGCATATACACAAGCAAAACACGATAGAATCACTGCAGGTTTTTGTGCATTTCGCTCCCTTTCGCTCCCTTAATTGATGAGGTCAGGTTGCTGAATGGTTGGTTCGCTGTTCGCCGCCTAATGTCTACCGACTCATCCAGTGAGTCATGACGCCAGTGAGTTGCAGGTCGGTGCATTATGGGAGAGAGTACGGAGTACACGAACCACGGAAGGATGTCAGGCCTGGCAGAAAGAGAACCTGCCAGAGCTGGAAAACAACAAGACGGTGGCGGTCGCCTGTCGAAGGTGAATGGAAGCCGATATTTTCCTGACAAAGCCGTGAAAACACCGAGTGAGTGCACTTATTGATGGTGTAGGTCAGGTGGCGTAAGGTAATACACGTCAGTAGTATGGCTGGGCTTGATACTATTTCGTCTCTCAACGTCATGTGCCAACAATACAGCATGTACGGTTCCATCCTTTGTGTACTGTAAAGCCCATTGCATTGAGATCATAGCCCACCACCGCGTTGTCGTTAAAGCAATCTTTGGCTGCAAGAAAGCTGACGGTACCTTGCATCAGCCGAGGGGCAAGCAAGCCGAGGCGGCGATGTACTATGTAGGTGGTGGTGGTGGATTCGTTCAAGGAGGCGCCGAACAAGCCCAGCTGAAGGCGCGGAGCGTTCTAGCCATGCCAGATGTCCCGTATCCCGCAATTGACAGCAGGTACATAGATGAGGAGTAGTATTTTTGACTGGCTATCATTGAATACGCGCAGAAACCGCTAAACAAAGCAGGCACATGCTCAATAGTCAGTGTCTAGCTAACAGCTCAAAATGTGGAGGGGTTCTGTCGAATGTGTGCGTATTGGAAGAAAAGTGTGATTGAGAAAGTCTCGTGAAGACCCGGTTGTGAGAATTGCCGTTGAGAGTTGTACGTAAGAACTGACAGGTAGGCATAGATAGCCTGGAAACGGCCGGGCCTATCAGCTTTAAGAAGTTGCCCAAGGCTCAAGATCGACTTGCTAGATGACCTCAGCCTGCCCAAAGGTGTCGTCGTCTTAGTTGAAGTAGAGCAGAGAGACACCGTATCGCAAACGATACGGTACATACCCTGAAGTCTGTCCGTTTATGGAGTAGTTCGCAGCTAAACAGCCGTCCAATCAAGGATCGACACAACTGTACTGGGGTTCCTGAGAGCTGCTCCCTTGTCCATCGTGTCGGAAACAAGGACTGAAGGATAGATACTGTTGGGACGTCGCACTGCAGGCGGATGATTTTGGGGTTTTTACGGAGTACGTATGTAGGTAGGTAGCATCCGTGGTCCATTCCGTAGTCCGTAGAGCCCTGAGCTTTGGACCGTTGCGTGGTCTGGGGTTCCGCGCTTGTTCCCGAAGGCGGGTTGCAGAGGCGGCCGCAGGATGCATTACCAGTGTGTGCAAGGCGTCCATGTGCCAGATGCCAGATGCTAGATGCCCCTAGAGGTAATGGAAGGGAGCCCACACTCCACTGCTAATACTGTACGCACGTACTAATTACTGATAGTGCCTCAAGAATGGGCCACAGGTGTGGGCCTAGACGGATTACGATGCTAGGAGTATGCGTGTGAGAGCACACCTAACCCTGGTAACAATCGGGGGACCTGACCGTCCTGTGTTTGCTTGCTTGCTTGCTCCGGTGGATCTCGCTGCCTCGGTCGGTGCGGCGGACTTGAGCCTTGGACCTTGGACGACGATATTGGAAATGGCCGATGGGATTAGTTAGTGTCACTTCCTTGCCAATTTTTTGGTATCATTCATGCAGCTTCATCACTCTCTTT